TTCCAACCTTTCTTCAAAGTAAATTCCGCCCACTTCGAACCGACTAGTACACCTATTCCCGTGTTCAATGCATCGCCAACCCACTGTAAGTCAATCGGGTCCAGATCTGGTATAATACGTCAAACATTGAAACTTGTCAAAGCCTGTCTCCACTCTTTCAGATCTTCCATCACGTCTGCTGGTACTACACGCCGAGCCGACTGTACTCTCCACTCTGCCTCCCACCGATGCAAACCTGGCATACAGCACTGGAGGTGTGGTAGGATGTACGTTGTGGTGAGCAAGATCTCTACTTAAGCAAAAAATTTAAAAATTGTGTGAAAATTCGAGTTTTTGGTCAAAGGCAATATTATTATTGAGGTTGTTAGTCATCAAGGTTATCAAAGTTGATTCATTATTTTCATTTCATTATCTTTCAGAATATATATTTACATAAGCAATTGATAAGATCATTTAAGAGCAAAGAAAAATTCGAAAAGATCAATAAAAATAGTATAAGAGTGAAAATTAAATTAAGAGAATTAGTAAGAAGGGATTTGAGGAAGAAGAACATTTAGTTTGGATCTCTAGGAATGGAAACTGTTATGAAAAGAATGACAGAAGAAGAAGAATATTAAGCAAGTTGGAGAAAAATTCGAAAATATGGGTATGAAAGCTTGGAAAGTGGTTTTTAGCTTATTAATAGAAGAGATATTGGTTCAGGAAGGTTTTTATTGTGAAAGAGAAGGATCACATTAGTCATCAACAACTTTAATCATGAGGATTGATAAGGGAGGTGTGAAGTTATTCAAGAAAAGGGAAATTTCGAAGGAGGGTACTATGGTATTAATTCCTGTGTAGTGATGTCATTGATGGATTGATTGCGCCAAGAGTTTTTCAGAGTGATTTTTATGCTGTGTGATTGATTGGAGTGCTGTGGAATGATCTTTTGATAGAAGAAAAATCATTATTAGACGTGAAAATAGGTGAAAATCATCAAAATTGGAGGTTTTCAGTTAATTACATATGGTAAAACTTGTCAGAACATGATGAGTAATAGTTCATTCGACGCAGAATCATTGGTTTCATAATTTAAAACCTTTAAATCATTAGTAACGGAGGATTAGTAAAGAAGTTATAAGGCAACAAAGAAACTGGAGTGAATTTCAAATTTGGAGGTTACATGTGACATTTACATGAGAAAACCTTATTATTGCAAACTTTACAGCTCAATAACTTATTCATCACACATCAGAAATAGGTGATATAGGGGTGATAAATGATCAGAATCACGAGGGCTATCAAATGAGCTATAGTAATCCAAAATTGAACAACTTTACAAAAAAATTCGTAATTCCAAAAATGGATTTCAGCTATGAATATTAGGAAAAAATCACCTGTATTCATCATAAGAAGATCTGTTCATCATTTATTCATATCAATTGATCAAATTCACGCCTTGAATCATTACAAATAACAATATTTATGACATCATATGATTACTTTGGAGGATATTCTATTGATTTTGACGGTTTTTTTGAGGTTTTTGGAGGTTGTTGACCATTGTGGAAGTTTGTTGGAAGGTTATATACTATTGTTAAGGATTTTACGGGCCTTTGTTCCCTTTTTTACTCATCTTATACTTTTGTTAGAGTGTTTTTAATCATTATTAAATTACTTTAGCAGTACTAAGTTCACTAAATAGCCCCTTTACATCAAAGGAGAGATTTCTTTACGTGTGATAAGACTACAAGTCTTCATTTGGAATAACAATCAAACTGATTGTTGCTTGCTAGTAATTAAAATTGTGTTTTGTTGTGTTCAAATTGGAATAACACTACAATAGTGTTGAGATTTCTTTATTTCTAAAACTCACGGGAATAATACTTGAATTAAGTATTGAGACATATTTCTCTGGTGCCTTATCCCAAAGAATTCAGCAAAACCCCGTGTTGATTCTTTCAAAGAGGCAGTCTTAGACAACTTCCACTAGTTAGTTATATTAGTAGATTATCCCTCTTTAAGCTCTGTAAAGCTCTTGTTGAGCTTTAAGTTCTACAACGTGCAATGTACCAATCTGCCTACAAGTTTTTCAACCTCCTTCAGTCTGAAGGAACCTCCGGGGGCCAAGAAGTCGGTAACTTGATTCTTCCTTTCTTCTAATTTCTCAGCTGGTAACCTAACGGTGCGTTCCTTTACATTCCAGATGAAACCTATATAACATTGCTCATCTGCAAATTCGTGGACCTTTTCGAAATTTGACGCGACACCCATCTCATTACTCAGATTCACTATGTCCTTTATTGTCGTCGGGTTTGTCACCGTTTTTACCAGTAGGTTGTTGTCTACCCACCGGAACGCGGTCTCCAAACGGAAGTAACGCTTAACAATTTCTTTCCACAAGTCTGCTGCTCTCCCGAATACACCACACCCCGCTACACCTCCAAATTGAATCCTCGTATCTACCCAAACTCGATTTCGCATGTCTAACATCATGAGGTATCTCCACTGCGAAGGGTGTATCGCTATCTGGCAATACGCCTTTTCCCAATCAAAAATAGCCAACTGTAAGTCTCCTTTATTATCCTTGAAAAATATCACCAGTACCTTGAAATCGTCCCAGTTTGTTTCAAAATCTTTCTTATCTACTAGACTATTAACTGATGGTGTTGCTGGGTCGTCTTGGGGGAAAGACAGGTCATTGATGATTTGAAAGGAGCCATCACCATTGGTTACACTTCCCATGGGGCTCGTCCGAAAAAACCCAAATTTTCTGTACACCTCTTCGTGAGTGAAGGGGCCAAATATCCTCTTGGCTCGTTTTTCTTTTGCTAATGTGTTTTCAATCTTCTCTACTGCGATGTTGGCTGATTCATGATTTGGAGGGGTGAACCACTTCCTTCCTCCTAGTGTATGATCCGGGATTCCCTGGTGAAATCCGAGCAAGCAACCTTTCAACACCTCTTCTGCATCACCTTCGACCTTTAACGCCGACACCAAGGATCTCCACTTCTCAATATTGAGATCGCTCTTTGCGGTTTCCTCCGGCCATCTGCTGTCATACGTAGGCCCCGAGTTTTTGTATTGAAGTAGCTCTACGTCGACATTCCTTCTCAACTGACCCATCGAAGGGTGCCGGAAACTTCTCAGGGGTGTCGACACTGGGCTTCGCATGCGTCTGCTTTTTTCAAGACACGGGCATGACAAAGATGGTGACGTACCAGTCAAGGTTCATTTTAGCAAACGTGGCAGAAAAAACGAAAAACAATCATCAGATTCTGCTGTGGCATTTGACATTTCAGTCATGGATTACGATCAATCTTTAAGACATTTCCACTATCCACAACTCAAAACGGACTACATGTGGGACTCTAAATTCCCTGCCACCGCACATCTGGGTACTGATCAAGAAAACTTAAACATAACTCAACACTCATCGTCAGACTTGCAATCACCTCCTGCAGCGGTCTGCCCATTTTTGGAAACCTCTTTCACCAGATATAGGAAAGGGAAGTAAAAGGTAAAACTTTTCAGACAGTTCGGATAGGTGTCTCGACCTCAGCTTACTTTGCTGGTCCTTTCCCATTGAAGGGCTTTCTGCCTGTGTGGTAATCATGGTCCTCATTCCTTCTATCGTCTCTGCGATTGTCTCGGCGCCATGCTCCACTTCCTTCGGGTACGTTTGGTTGCGATTACAGATTGTAAACTCCATTTGACCCCAGGTACATTGCCCCGGGGCAATTGAGTTTCTTGGTCAAATGGAGTTTTTCTCAAACAAACTCCGTTATGGGTACATTTGACAAAATCACGTTTGGTTGAAATTTATCCCAACCAGACGTATCTTGTCAACTTTCTTTAAAAGTTCCTCACCTCCTCTCACATCACCTCACTTCACATTACACCACCTCACATCCACCCATATGGACATCCTTTGCCAATGTCTGTTCCAAGTAATGAACACATGACACAATCTTTGTCCCCATCCGACAAAATTTTCAATCGAAGTCGATGTTGAACGATCGATTGGAATGAAACGGGTGAATTTGAACAACTGACTGGAATTGAATCGTCAATCAAAATTCAACACTCTCCTCCACTTTCTATGTATTTCATCTTTTAAGAGCTATCTGTTTTTGTATCTTTTGATGTTCTACAATTGATCAAGGTTGAGTGAACAATTGCTTTTGAACATTTGATTGGAATCGACCGATTGATTGAAATGACTGATTGATTGAAATTGCACAATCAACCAGAAATTGAACGATTGATAACTCAAATCTACAGACAGAAATGGTTTCCAAGTTTTCATTGTGCAACACAAAAGATAGTAACTTCTGACACCAAAGCAATCAGAATTAGATTCAGTTCTATATTCATATTTGAGAAACAGAAGATAGATTTGAGGCAGCTAGGAGCTAAAAGTAGAAGTGAAGATTACCTGGTAAGTGTTGAGTGTGATGGTGTAGTGTTGAAGGTGTTGATCGAGTTGAAGAAACAGCATCTGGTTTGCTTGCTATGACACCGAGGAAGGTCGAAGCTGGTCAAAGACTTTTCAGATGAAGTTTCTGTAAGTCCAAAAAAGAGTTTATCGCATGATTAAACTCCCTTTTGTCGTTTATCCAAAGGACCCTTTTAAACTCCTTTTGGGACGGGGAAGGAGTTTATTTTGGGGTACCATAAATGGTCCCAAACGTATTTTTTCAACGGCGATTATTTTGCAAAATAATTGCGATTATTCAAAATAATTGCCAAAAATAATCGCTACCAAACGTACCCTTCTCCTTGGCGTGTATGACCTCGATCTTGGGCGTGTCTAAACGGTGGGCTTGGATTGTGATTTCCGCCGCCACCCGAATACCAGTTACCACTTCTCCCTCTACCTCGGGTGTTTCTTCCACCACCTCGGCCACCTTCCGTAAACCCATAGCTTCCTCTGTGATCTTCGAACACATGCTGGTTGGCGTGTGACCAAGACCTAGCATTTGGCTTACTGCCCGACTGATACCCTGAGGTGTGATGATTTACCGAACTAGGAAAACTTGAGTAGGTTCCTACGTTTTGGGCATGTGCAGTACCAGTCAAGGGGTCGATGTGAGATTTGACTTGACCATCTGCGTAGGGATTGATGTCGTTGAAACCCGGCTGGAAATCTTTCCACCTCTCGGTATCACGGAAAGCGTCTCGTTCGATCTTGTCATCACGTACTGCTGGGTTCGCTAGTTGGCCATTTGAGTTTTGGAAGGTCAAAACAGTCGTACGTATCGCGAGGTCATACCGGAAGGCCATAGGCCAGTTGAGGTTTTCACTCTTGATGTCCATAACATGTCCTTTATGAATCACGAACTTATTTGCAATGTCGTTGTGTTTGTAATGACGTAAATAGGCGACAAACAGGTCGAAAGCAATAACCCACTCTCCAAACGTCATCTTCCATTCTGGAGGGACGTTGTGACCGACGTAATTATCGTCAAGTTTCTCTTTGATGATTCTACGTCGGAAAGACTGTTGAATTAAGTCCGCCTTTAGCCACTGCAAGTTGAACACCGACAGAGGTATATAACCTTTACATGCGATCATTTTGTCTTCAAAGTATTTTGATAAGCCTACTAATCCTTTGACTTCTATGCCCTGCTCACCACATTCTACAGTTGTACCTTCTGATGTACTGGGAGCGTCTGAGTTTTTCTCTTTCGAAGGAATGGTCTGCATAGTTGATTTCTTTGACACGGTTTGAATTTCGACTTCCTCTTCTTCAGAGTCATTTGTCAAGTTGTTCCACACAACTGACTTACTCTTGGCGGTAACGCCTACAGCATTGGCGCTCAATCGATTGAGATCCGACTGGTTTCCCGCGACTGACGTGTTGGTAATCGCATTAATTTGGCTGTGCAGAGGGGTCGAGTTGGATCCGGTTTTTGGTAAACCTTGCTTTGGCATGACTGTGAGACCGTTTGCCGCTAACCATGAATGGAAACCGATCGGAGGGCTCGCTCCTGTGCCAGTTACCGTGTTGCGTCTTGAAGGAGACTTAGACGCTGTATCCGAGGTAATCCACACCAAACAAAGGGTAAAACGTAATGGGTACGTTAGTTTCCGTGATCGATCCTTCCCGGTAGGGGCATCTCAACTGAGGCAACATTCTGCATTAGAATGGCTACACTCCCTAGAGTGGCTTCGCTTTGCGGCAACACCTCTGGTGGATCAATACGGGTGACTTCTCCTAAGCAGCTTACGTGTTAAAGGGATAGTATCTCGTGATATTAAACCCGATGTCTGTTTATCTGGGACAATCAACGTCGCGCCCGCGGGGGTAGGTTGCTTCTCTGTGGCGGGGTTCGATGTACTCGTTTGCTCCGTAGGTTGATTGTCTTCCGTGGTGGAGGCTTCAGTCGTCCCTTTGTTTGCTTCTGCTAACTGTCTGGCTGCTGCTGCTGCCCAAGTCGTCACAGTTGAGGTCTTCTTCCCACGGCTTCTCCCACGTCCTCTCCCCGTTCCGGTGCCTCTAGATGCGGCGGCTCCATCGTTGGTTCCAGTAGTGCTGGTGTCGATGGGTTCCGACTCCTGACCTGAACCATTAGTAGATGGTCGAACGTCTGCTGGTGCTGATCCTGCTCTGTTGAACACTCTTTCACTCGTCTTTTTCAGCTGTGCGTTAAATTTTTCCAAGTTGCTTTCGATGTGATTGGTGCTAGTCATCGTGTAAAGGAATTATGTATGATGTTTGAGATCTAATAATAGAAATTCCTATCTGAGTTTTGTTCTGATGCGAGAAAGATCTCAGAGTGACAAAGTGAGAGCTATGGGATGACAGAGGGGATTTCCCGTCACAAGCGTGAGATATCTTGGGAGAGGAAATCTTGGCGCGTGGGAAAAGAAGATGGAAAAAGTTTTCCTTGTGAGAAGGAAATTTTTTCTTTGTCTTGTTTGACTCTGTGTATGCGCCTGGAAGACATTTCCCCGGTATAAGGATACCTCCCTGATACAGGCCCAGTACGATATCTCCTGTGTCGTGGAAACCAACGGTACCGTCGTGCCTTTGGGTACCGTTTATTAATATTCTTAAATCCGGATTCACCCCCCCCAAAAGCCTTATACCCTGTCATGACGGCAAGGTTCAAGCAATTTGGGTGAGTGAACACCAGGATCTCGCCGCTTCCCACTTACGACTCACAGAAGTGCAGCCATGGGTAGCTTTGATTGATGAGAAATTATTGGCTCTCACCCCCCTTTATTTATATCCTTTCCCTCCCACCTTTGGTGGGCCTATTTACGGAAATCATCCACCTGTGGTAAGCGCTTTTAGCACATGCTTGCTTTCGGAAATCCATATCTCAAAAGCAACAATTGCATCAATCCCCACGTTTCCGACTTCAATGCATTTGATTTTCTAAAAGGCTGCTTTGAAAGCACTGACAGTCTGCTTTCAAATCATCAATTGCTTCGAGACAAGTCATTATTGCCACATCACTAATTTCTTCCATCAAAAAGCCGCATGTAGCCAATTGTTCCTGCTTTCAATTCATTTGCTTTTCTAAAAGTCTACTTCGAAAGCATCAGTCGCGGTGAGCATACCACTGATTTCTTCCATCAAAAATCATCCAGTACATACATTGTTTTTGTTATCGTTGATGTGCTTTTGAAGATGTTGATCTAAGCACCAAGTTTCTCAATCAATCCTCGCGCCTGTTACATTATAAATTTGCTTTTCTGAAACTCTGCTTTAAAAGCATCAACCGCCGAGATATTTGCAATCTCACCAATTTCATCCATTGAAAAGCCCATGTAGTACCTCCTTTTTGTTATCAGGTGTTGATCCCGCTCTGCTTTTGATGATTGTATGCCGACATCAAAATCCTCATTTTGCTTTTGAAAGTTTGTTTTCTTTGTATGCCAACAAGCTTTGCTCTTCGCAACGTGATATGGTACATCGTTTAAAAATACACACCCGGTGGTATTTGCCCGTGCTCCTCAGATCCTATGCTGCCAGTAGTACATTGACTCTTTTTTCAATGAAACAAAAGCTCTATTGCTTACACCAAAAGACTTTTCATGATCCCACGTTTTTGATCCATAATTCAACTAATCGATGTTTTCTTTTGCGATTCAAAAAGCATATCCTTTTTCATCAAATCGCACATCCCGCCTTTCTACAAGGGTCGGTTTCCACTCATGATTGTATATTTTCCCCAAAGGATCCATAACAAAATAAGTTGAACTTTCATTTGCTACTCAATCTTGAAGTGGAACTTCACATTTGGACTCAAAAGTGTGCTTACACAGTCCAAAAGCACATTTTTACATAGATGACATGAGAGCAAAATCGAATCTCAGTGTTTGTGTTACCTTTATTCAATTTCTTAAAACCCCTCGGAATCAATCAGTTGATGAAACTTGAACTCTTGACCATTCTTGCCTAAGCCGATCAAAAATCCTGCAGATCAACCGCCACCACATCGGGATTCCGATCAATTCACTTCTTCATCTTCCAATCTAGATGATGATGATGAAGAAGAAGAGATAGACCTGTTAGGAGATGTTGATCAACTTTCATTTTTTGAAATCGTCAACAAATTGTTAATCATTGTAACATTTATGATCCAACTCCTCTTCATAACCATCAATCTGATGTTCCATTATCTTTCTTACTACCTTTATCACCTCAACCTTTATGAACCACAAATTGACCACAACAACAGATCAATTCAACTCAATCAAATCCAACTCTTAATCATGTTTGAGTCTATTCAATATTGGATCATCAGACAGATAAATGTTAATTTGAACTCCTTTTTTCCCACAGATTGACTTTCTAATCAACAACCATTTTATTCAACAAAAAGAAAAATGACTTTGTTTGATCATCAAAGTAAAAATTAATATTTAACTTCCGCTTCCCAACTACAAAAAACAAAAGCATTACAACAATCAAAGATAATTACCACCATATTTAACCATACTAAACCAATATGTGATTGACCAAAGCCAACAACAACAACAACGAATATCACAAGATCACTCTCAATCAACCATCTTAACAACAGCTGCTGCTACTACAATAGATCACCCCAACCCACATCAAATGTGTTTTTTTAGTTATTGATATTGAATGAATTTGTTAAGTTATTGAGAAACTTCATTAAGTTCCGGCCCAATTCGTGGTGTAGTTGATACAAGTAAATGATTTGCTCTCCAAGAAAAACATAAAAAAAGATCACACTTGGAACCTGAATACTTAACTCTAGGTTTCACAATAGATCCAACACTATAAAATGCCACCTATGACAGTTTATTAACTTGACCTTCAAAAGGAAGATAATGCAACTCTTGCAAGGCATTTTCCCTTGAGCAGTAGGTTCATATTATCTTATGCTGCTTAAAGAGGCCACTGAGTAAGAGAGTGAACACAGGTGGATGCAGATATGTGCTGTTAAAAAGTAACTACTGTTGAAATACAGTTTTCTAATCCAAAATTGCCACTGTGAGAGTCTTGGAAGGATTCCGCAAAGAGGAGAGAGCATGATGTAGATTTAACACTTTGCAAAATTCATATGGAAGACAAAGAAATTTCAAGTGTAGGATATTGATACAGGAGAGGGCAAGAAATATGCCTATCCCATCAATGGGTGTGGTCTAAAATGCAGTTCCCTGTGTGTCAGGAACAATTATCTATACTACAAGTTGAAGTTGATGCCTTGATGGTGGGTCTGTTGAAGCTCAAAAAGGCAACCTGTGTATACAATGCATCACGATTGTCTTTATTAAGGGATGGACCTGCCTGGCCAAAAGATCACATTGGGTGCATGAGCATTGGTAATTGTGGTATTACTGCACTAAACTATTGCAAGGTGTGAAGGGGAATAGAAAGTAAAGGGTTTGAGGGAAGACACAATAGGCATAATTTAATCATATGGCGGGGCCAGGAAGTTGCAGCACTGGTACCACCACATATATTAGAGATCTAAGGAGAGCATAACTGAGATCAACCACACCACCTGAAATACTTCATTAACATTAGAAATGCATAAACAAGTGCATTTTGTGAGTATCAGACCCTTACTATTTAGAATTCCCAGCATTCATATTAATTTGAGTCTGTTTTGGATCTTCCATTCATCATTCATGGAGGGCAACTTCTAGAATAGCCTGATAGGGAGGGGAAGGAAACAAGAGTAATTACAAGTAGTGAGATTTTTAATTCTCAAGTTACAATTGAGGCAAGATGACAGTCTCAGGTAGGCTCTACTACTAAGGCTACCTGTCTCTTTCCTAGAGACCAGAGAACCATTTGGTGTGGTGTGGGGGGAGTCCCAAATATGGGTAAGACTAGCACGGGGAGACAATTCCCTCCTGTCTACACCACGGGGTGACTTTCAACTGGCCCCACCTGAAACGAGCCATAGTGGCATCGTGTGGTGGGGCTGTGAAAATATAAGAGTTTTTTGGGTGACAGGCACCTGAGGGAGGCCACGCGGCCCTCACCCAGGCCGTCACCTAGCCACAAGGTGAAAAAAATCGACCACATCGGCGTAGTGTGGACTACCAGCCGATCGGTAGGCACCTCAGGTTTTTCTGAGAACAACCTGTCATCCAGTGGCCAGGTGCTGAGCACCCGGGATGCTGATCATCCAAGCTCTTTCGGATGCTGGCCACCTGGATGACAGGTCGGTCAAGTATGGAAATACTGACCTGCCATCCAGGTCCTCTGTGAGGCTGGCATCGGCTGCCGAGCTCACGCCGGGTGCTCAGCACCTGGCCATTGTGCAATTGACAGGTGAAATATACCTGGGTCCTTAAAGTAAGGACAACAAAAGATCAGCAAAAAGATTTGAAAAAAATGATTCAAGACTTTGAATCATTTTGTTTACCATCTGTTTGATCGATCCTAAATCAAACCACACCAAATTGAAAACTGTGAATCTTTGATTCCATTGAAACCAGTTCTCTTTGATTCCCAACCGAACACCATCTTTGATTCCATCAAAAACTGCTTTCTTCGATTCAAAACCCAAAATAAACTGACTTAAAACTGTCCGACAAAGTCAACTCGAACAACCTCAATTCAAACAACCTTGAGCGTGTCTCTTATACATAGGACCAATCTCTTTGTAATTAACTTTTTGTGGATGATTCATGTAAACTTGATAGAATACTAAATCAATGGTCTTGATCTGCAAAATTAAAAGTACAGTTTGGTCTGAAGAATTCAGCGTTGGGTCTTCACATTGTCGTTATATTTCGCGGTTCTTTGGGTTTACAAAACATCTGACCACTGGTACAGCCGTTTGCAGTTTTGATGAACTTACGACGAAAGATGAGCAAATGTTGAGTCAAACATTCATCGAGTTTATATTTAATAAATGTCGAATGAAAAAACCAAAACCCATAGTGATCACATAAGCAGCTCAATCGCCCTATTTTTTTGCTTTTGATCTTGAGCGAGTTCCACTTTGACCAATTCAATGATCAATCCCTACTTTGATCACTCAAGATGAACGCCAACTCTCATCTCAATAGCGCTCAATTTATTGATGATGATTCACTTGACGACTTACCAGCCTTTGATGAGGTTGAGCTGATGCAACCTGGAGCATCCTCAAACAACAGTCCAGATAGTAAGACATAATACACTCTCTTACTTTTATTAAGCAATTGCAATATCCGCTGATACTGTGTATTTTAATTACAATTCAATCCTTACCCTGCACACTGTCATAGTTATTGCGGTTCTCTGCTGCGTTTGCCAAGGCAGTGCGTGATTACAAAGGATGTTTGATCATGGACACCACTTGGCGAGACACTCATCAATCTCTCCTAGCTACCCGTCTTCGAGCCATTGATCTCAACATTGCTCGTGAAACTAGTCATGCTCTAGCCAACGCTTACTCGCTTGAATGTTGGGGAGGTGCAACGTTCGATGTAGCGATACGATTCCTCTCTGAAGATCCATGGGAACGACTTCGAAAGATTCGTAAACTAGTACCTAACACTCCTCTCCAAGCTTTAATAAGAGGAGCGAACGCGGTGGGTTATACTTCTTACCCCGACAATGCCATCTACGAGTTTTCGAAAAAGGCTGTCGAGAATGGCCTAGATATCTTTAGAGTCTTTGATTCTTTGAATTATCTTGAAAATATGAAACTCGGTATTGATGCTGCTAAACGAGCTGGAGGAGTGGTTGAAGCTACATTTTGTTATTCACGTGCGTGCGATCAAGGATATGGCGGGCTTATTGACCCCTCGAGCTGCAAAGATGTTTGTATGGTTTCCTTGAGGTGCTGGTACCTTGAGAAGGCTGATTCGGTTTGATCCTCCGAAAATTGTTAGTCTGATCGGTAACTTGCGATAAAAAGACCCAGAGTTACCTATCCACGTTCACTCTCACGATACTGCCGGGATCTCCCTTGCGACGATGCTGCAATGCGCTGAATCAGGTGCCGATGTCGTTGATTGTGCAATCAACAGCATGTCTGGAATTACCTCACAATGTGCTATGGGCGCTTTGTGCGCTGTGCTTGAGCAAAACGATCTCGGGACTGGAATCCGCTACGACGACGTCCAAGCTTTGAATGTATGTGTTCCAAGTTTACAATTCAAATTCTTGAACCTGTTTACTCATAAAAGTGGACCTGTCTCGACAGCTCTACTGGTCTCCATGCCGAATGCTTTACAGCTGTTTTGATGCTAACGTAAAAGCTAGTGACTCGGGTGTTTATGAGTTGAGTATTTGATCTGGGTAAAGCTGATATTATGAGAAACTTACAATGTTTCCTCTATGTGATTGTAGGCATGAGATGCCCGGTGGGCAATACACTAACCTCATGTTCCAAAGCCAACAACTTGGTCTTGGTACACAATGGGCTGCAGTGAAGAAAGCTTATGTACACGGTTTCCTGCTCGATCACGCGATTGCCTCGCTGACTTGGCTATCTCACTTCCGGTTGCTCATAGATTGAAGCCAATCAACTCTGTGGTGATATTGTAAAGGTAACCCCTTCATCAAAAGTTGTGAGAGACTTTGCTCAGTTCTTGGTGTCCAACAAGCTCTCTAAGGCTGATGTTGAAGCCCGAGCCGATAAACTTGACTTCCCTAACTCGGTGGTTGAATTTTTCCAAGGATATCTTGGTCAACCTGTGGGTGGATTTCCAGAGCTGCTAAGTAGTCAAATCATTTGTGATAAACCTAGAATTGAGGGTGGTCCGGGTATCAGTATGGCACCATATAATTTTGATAAGACCAGGAAGGATCTTCAAGAGAAATTTGGAAAGAGTATCACCTCAACGGTCCGTTATCTTTTTCAGACTTGATAACGAATTACAATTCCTGCAAATGCCGATTGACTTTTTGACACCTTCTATAGGACATTCTCTCTTATTGCATGTACCCCAAAGTGTATGAAGCACAGCTATTGCTTCATACTGTTCTGAACTTCAATACCTTGCTTCACCTGTGACTACTCATGTTCAAAGTGCCAAATCTCATAATCAATCCGTGAATTCACTGAAGAAGAACAAAATAAAGATCAGCAAGATGATGATGGATTCGGAAATGGGCTTCATGATCTGTCTGTAGATGAACTTAAGACACTGGTTCACCTCAAGTTTAAGATGATTTTTTGTTTTTTGTTTTCAATTTTCTCGTTGTTTTCTTGTTTTTTTTTTTCAATTTATTTGTTAGGCTTTGTTCTTAGTGTAATTACTATTTCCTTCCTCATTTGTATTGTTTCCAGTCTTCCTGCAGTATACTATATGTAGCAAGAATGCTATAGATGTGAGATGCCTGAGCCACAACAATAAATTTGTGTCTAATGAAACAGGACTGGAATAAGGTGAACCTGAACAGGTGAGCCATCACATTATAACCAGGTGACCCATCACCTGTTCATTGGGCGAGACAGCCCACCTGTTCATTAGATGATGGCTCACCTGCTCATTAGGTGATGGGACACCTGGTCATGGTGTGAGTCATCTCACCCAATGAACAGGTGTCCCATCAGGTGAGATGACTCACACCATGACCAGGCAAGGCTTCTCACATAATGACAAGGTGAGCCATCACCTTGTGATCACATGGCCATGTTGGGTGATGGTCACACTGGCTTTCATGTGTTGCCGGTAGATGTGGCATAGTGTGAAGAGCCTAGGATTTATTGGCAGAGGCTGATTTCACCTGATCTTCACATGCCAGCTGCCCCGTGGTGTAGCCTTACCATGTTTGGGGTGAGAACCGGTCTGAGAAGATCATCCTTCTCAACCCCCCAGGTGGTGGGTGGGTTTTTGAAAAAAATTTTGAAGGGAAATTTAGAAGAGTCTAACTTGCTGGGAGTTCAGATGACAGTGCAGGATGAGATTTGGAAGGATTCCTGGAGAGAAGAAATTTTCTTCCATCCAAGTCTTCCAAATTCATGGTCACTAAGTGTCAACCTTACGTGATGTCCCTGCATCCCTGACAATCCCTCTCCCATTTGAGAATGGAATTCAGTGTACCCTCCACAGGCTCTGGGGACACTACCAATTTTGAGATTCAACAGGTCAGTTTACTACAGCCTGCCCAACATTATGTCATGGTATAAAGGTATAGGATGGAGCAACATATGTAATCACAATACCAAACCAGTTGGAAAAAAATTCATCAGGAAAGTGTTGGCAAGGGCAATAGCACACAAGTAATAGGTAGAATATATGTTTGAATCTAGCTGACATACTGAGTCAAAGTATACTTACACATTTCAAATATTGCTGGAATGTACCCCACATGTGAAACTGATGAGAGTGTGTGGCAACCAGTAAATGTGTGCTACCTAACAATATTTGCCAACTTGGTAACTGTAAGCTATGTGATCATTAAAATGCTGTTTTGATAAACCCATGGATCAGTTTCCTGTCTATTCCCTCTTAACGGCATTGCGTCATTGGAGGTGAGTGTTTGATTCTGGGCATTTGTATTTTAGCGGGCGGGCCCGCCTATGCCCTAGTCATTAATTGATTCTTACATCGGCAGGCTTCATAAAGCAGGATCCAGACATACATGATCCTTTTGGCAACTTCTTTATAAGTAAACATAGATTTTATCAAGATAAATGCCTATATAATCGACTTCATCCAGTCCCCACTCAACACCCAAGCAACAAAATAGGGCTGATGTGCATTTGAGCTTTGGTAACCTGATCTTATCTTGCATCAATAAAGTGCAAGCAAAATCAACACTCCATGTTAGTCTGATGAGGTTGTTCAAGAAGGTGGATATTTAACACCGCGGGAATGAATTAGTTCAAAACCCGATTGAGGAAAGTTGCGGTGTCCGAGTCCGCAACTTCCTTCAATTGTGAATTTCGTTCGCAATACGTTCACAATGGGTTCACAGGTTCCCCTCGAGATGCCCTGTCTATTTGCTGTGTGTGTAAAACATGTATACATAGCCAATACTCCCATCCACAGTATCAACTATCATTGATCTCATTCATATCTTTGGCTCCAGGCTCACTGTCAGAGCTGGCAGAATGGTTTTTTTTTTTTTTTTTTATGCATTGCTTTAAGTGTCATTTGAGCCTTTCGGCTATGAGACACTGCATATTTCCAGCACCGGTAAAACCCCTCTGGCTGTTTCAGGGGAAAGGTTGCTGTTGGCTGTTTCAACTATAATACATATGTTTTAAGGGAGACATTTTACGGCGCTAAAGGATGGGGGTAAAGAGATCAATCTCTTGGTGGATGCCTGTGAGTAGGCGGAATTTCGTCTGTGATTTTTGCCCAGTTCCATCGGCTTTTCAGCCTCCAGGTTCTGTCGCAATATTTTGCGATGGCTTTGAATGCAGAGGGTTTGTTGAGGATTGCTGTGGTGGGTTTTTCTTCTATCTCTTTGAGATCTTCTTCAAATTGTTGGCGTTCTTCTTGGAATCTTCCGCATATGAAAAGATAATGTTCGGCTGTCTCAATGCCTTCCTGGCATTCACAGCTTGGGTCTCCGATCTGTGCGAATTTGTTGAGGTAATGGTTAAGATATATATGTCCTGACCTTAGTTGCGTGATGATTCCTATTGAATGTTTGTTGAGTTTTGAGAGTTGTTTGAGGTGTAGTTTTTGTTGTGGTTTGTGACCTAATCTTTTTAAGTCTTGAGGTTCCGTGATTTCTGAGTTTTTTGATCTCCATTCTTTGATTGCTGTAAGAAAACTTGCGGCTGTTGGTTTTGCTTGAAAGGTACTTGGAAGTTTTGTTCGTGCTTTCTTGTTGGCTATTTCGTCTACAATCTCGTTTCCATAGACGCCTGAATGTCCTGGACACCACCTGAATGTGATTCTCATATTCGGGAAAGTCCTGTGTAAGTACATCAAAAGTTTGTAAGTCTCTTTTCTATCGTCCAAAGTGGTAATAGGGAGTTTGTTTGATCTTAGATCCTTAATAACACTCTGGTTATCGAGTAGTATTGTGGTTCTTTGTGTGTGAATCGACGCTGTGTTTAGTGCTAGTCCGAGTCCCATTTGGACTCCTCTATATTCTGCTTGGTAGATTCCATGCATTCGAGCTGTGCCTAAATGTTCAGACATAGATTTGTGAGTATTCTTGCACCACGCTGCAACAGCCGTGGTGCACTTTGGGATCCTAGATCCATCAGTAAAAATTACTACGTGCTCTAACGTAGCTGTGAGTTTGTTAGCCTCGGTTTTCGCCAAGCTTTCGTTTTCTTGTATTATCGTGGTATAATTTGAAGGTCTTGTCAATATATCGGTCGGGTCGAGGGGGATCTGTTGTATAAATTCAGCCAATTCTTCACTAACAGAATGTTGAAAGAATCTATGAAACGGGTTGTGATGGCTTTTCGGATTTGAGTTCTGTGCTTGCTTTACAAAACTATAGATTGGTGAGTAAGACGGTTTTGTTAGAGATGTTGCCATGAAGTTCATGATTTTGCTTTGAAGGCGAATCTTTGGTGGTATGAGATTAGCATCATGGCGTAGGTAGATGCTTGGTGTCGACGGGAGGGCTCCTAACGCGGCTCTTGCGCACGTGTTGTCGATGGCGGCGAGATTCTTGATGAAGTATTGTGGTGGTTCAAAGGCTAGCCAAGCTGCTACTCCGTAATCTAGGGCAGTGTGGACTGTTGTTGTGATCAGAATATTCATGAGCTTTGGAGGAATTCCCCACTCAGCTTTTGACAATGTTGCTAGAAATCCAGCTCTTTGGCGTCCCTTGACGAGGATTTCGTTTCTGTGTTGTGAAAATGAAAGAGCGCTGTCAATTGTAATGCCCAGCCACTTAGCTTTCTTTTCTGGTTGTATGTTCTTCCGGTCCACGAAGCTGATTGTTGGTGGATCCTCCATGCCTTTTGGTGAGAATGCCACCCAAAAGGTTTTCTTAACATCAAAGATTGCCCCGTGGTTTTGAGCCCAGACATTTTGGTGGTATGCCAGTGTCTGCATTTGTGATCGTAGTTGGTGTTTATCCGATGCTGTCGTGAGTAGAACTACATCGTCGATAAAACCTAACGCAGTTGATGTATCCATTTTGTCAGTTATTTCTAGTAAAGCATTGTTGTACAGAATATATAGGAGAGGTGACATCGGCGATCCCTGAGGAAGACCGTGTGTTAGTCTGAAAGGATCTGATTCAAAACCATTGAATGAGAGTGTGGTAGAGCGATTGTTGAGGAAATTGTGTATTAAGTTGACAGTTTGATTGTGGAAACCCTTTTTCTCTAGGATAGCTAGGAGTCTTGGATGATGGACTGAAGGAAAAGCCGATTTTACATCTGCAAAAAGGGCTCCTACTACTTTACCTTTGGTCCATTCTTTCCGAATCCATGATACCATATGAACCAGCGCTTCCTGTCCAGATTTGTTTGGCCTGCCTCCATAATGGCCTTCATGGAGAAGTCGTTTCTTTTCCACCTGTTCTGAGAGATGTTTTGTCAGTAATTTTTCGTAGATTTTACTTAGAGTGAGAAGTAGCGCAATTGGCCTGTAGGCTGAAGGTGCTGTGTAGTCGGGTTTTCCTGGTTTTGGAATCATAATTGTTCTTGCCTGTTTCCAGTCTTGAGGAATGAGGCCCGATTCTGTGATCTGGAGGAAGAGAGATCTAACGTGAGTTTTAACCATTTGCCACACTCTACACCATACCCAATTCTGGAGCGAGTCCGCTCCAGGAGCTTTGAGTGGTGGGACACTTGTGACGACGGCTTTGATGTTCTCTTCGGTTAAATAATCGAAGAAAGCTGGCATGATTTGTTCTGAATTTTGTGTGTTTTCTGTTAGCGGAAAGTTGATGATTTCTGAGTCGTCTATCTTGCAGGGAGCTGTTGCTACGCAAGTAGTTTTAAAAAGAAGGTCAGCTTTCTCTTGATTTGTCGAGCATATATCACCTGAGTTTGTTATAAGCGTGTTGACTAAGGATGAGGGTTTCCGTCCTGAGGCAAAGCGTTTTGCTTGAAAGAGGTTCTCGTGAGTCAAAGTGGATAGGTATGTCTTCCAGTTGTCTTCTTTCATTTTATCGACTTTCTTATTGAACTTGTTTCTTGCTTTTTTGTAATTGATCTTGTTTTCTTCAGTTTTTTCTTTCTTGAACTTGCGGTGGAGGCGATGCGCCTCTTTTCTGAGAGGGTCAAGCACTTCAGGTATCCACCATTGCTTATGTTTACCCGGTGGTGCCTTATTTGGTGAGTTGTTGTTTAAGGCGTCGGTGATAGTCTGTCTGAGAGATCGGTCAAAAGAGTCAATATCTTCTTGTGATGTTAGTCGTGTTACCTTGGGTAGAGTTGTTTTAAGTTCTAAGAGTAAGTTTGCTGTTTCAACTTTGTTCCAGTTTTTTCGTTTGGTCGAGTTTGGGTGTGGCGTGTCGTTTGTCTTTGTGGAAAAAGTCGTAATGAGAGATTGGTGGTCTGAGAAATGGTTCGTGATGTCCTCGGTGTCTACGAAACAGGCTTGGATGACATCGTCAAGCTGCTCATTGACCCACACTAAATCGATTGTGGTTCCTTTTGTGGTTGTTGAGTTGAGTCCAAAGGTTGGTTGGCCAACAGGTGATCGCAGCCGTAAGTCCCATTTAGACATGATGTCTATTAGGTCGTTTGCTGATTTATCTGATGTGTTGCTGTGTATTGGATTCCAAGCCGGTGAGTGTAAATTGGCGTCTGTTACTACAATTGTTGGTAGTAATTGTAGGGAAAGGGGTAAATTGGTCATTAGCGCGTCCCACGCCTCAAATCCTGTGAAGGTTTCGGGCGCGTTGTAAACATTGGTAATCAAAAGAGAGAAATCGTTGATCTTAATTGTACATGCGGATATGTCTCGCGAAGGGGAGGAAATTGGGTTGAGAGCCACTTGGAGGTCTTTCCTAACGTATAGGCACGACCTCGGGCGCGAGTCTTCATTCTTCTCTGCTGGTGTTGGGCTAATTAAAGTCCAGTTCGTTTGATTTGGTGGTAGGTAATCAACTTTGTTGATATGAGGCTCCTGGATGGCTATTATGGAAAACTCATTAGTGAGGTCGTGATTAAATAAAGAATGCATTACATGTTGGGAGCGGTGGCAGTTCAGCTGCAGCACCGCCATTGTGTCTTGTGAAGTTAATAGTTCTCGCAGGTTTTGTTCTATCATGATGATATATTCATGTCGCTGCTTTCTATTATTACGATCTTTGGCGATCCGCTAGGGTTGTAAGGAGGTTTGTTTGCGGCTATCCTTGTTGGGCACGCTGGGCTGAACGGGTGATGTATAAAATCAGCGTGGTTGGATTTGAAGATTGCTTTGATATCTGATGTTGGGTCAAGCTTGACTTTGTGTCTTACACACGCCGTGCATTTCATGTCGGTTTTGCCCTTTTGGGGGCAGACGTGTGTGTGATGCTTTTCTCCGCAGAACGGGCATAGAGGATCAAGTTGACAGCTCGTTGCCGTATGACCTGGCTTCTGACAGTTGTAGCAGCGTTGTGGGGGTGGGCCACTTCGAAGAGTGGTATGTCTACCTCTCCCGTGCCAAATCTTTTGTTTGATGCATTGCTGAACTTCGTCGTCACTGCGCAGGCCAATCAGTATAGACGAGTGTCTTTTTGAAGGATCCTCAAGCGCTTTTGGGTTCAACCATCTGACAAATTTCATGCCTTTGAGAAGATTGTTATTACTTGTTTGTAACTCTTCTCTATGGTCTGATAGGTCTGGATCAAATGTTGTAGGTATTCCATTCACTATGATTTCGTGTCTAGATTCTTTCATTTTTAAAGATTTGGAAAAACCTTGAACCCATAAATTGGGCAGGGTTCGCACTTTGGTAGCGTGTGCCGCTGTCTCGAAATATATATCAATGTCGTTTGACGGATGGCGTCGCACGCTCTTTGCTTCTATAGCCTCAGTGTCCTCAGGTTTCATTTTTACCTGATAAGCTCTGAGCGCCACATTGATCTCTTGGATGAGTTTGGCATTGGGTAAATCAGGGTGCGTGATTTCAGCCCCCACTTCGTGAACTAACGTTATGGTGTTAGTAGGCCTTGTTTTTGGTGGCGTTTTAGCCGATTTAGCTTTTGGTTTTGGCGGCAGAGTGGTCGTCTTGCCAGTTGTTGGAGCATGTTTAGATGCTGCTAGTGCATACGATGGAGTCGTTGGTGTCTTTTTTGAGGGTACAGGTATGTTCTTCTGTCCCATTGTTGTGGTGAGTATGGCGAGTTGCTCAACGATCATATTTAATGTATCGTCGGTCTCTTTACCCTTGAATATTATTGAGCGTTTCTGGGTTTGACCGCTTAACGCTTCAGGCGTTGTGTAATTACGACGAGCGTCTTCATACATGATTCTATCATATACGGCACCGGTTAAGACGAGAATATCTGCAGCAGATTCTACGTCAACCGAAATCTGCTTGGTCCTAGCGGACTTATTGGCGAGTGGGAAACCCGCTTTGATCACCTCCAGGAGTTTGCTTACCATGTCCTTGAGTGACGTAGGTTCGGCAACTCCTGGGAACAGATCATGCATTCTGTTCGATCTCGGTGTGCCCGTTAACTCGGCAGCTTGATATTCGGCGGTTACGCCCGGCGTTTCAAGACGACTTCTCTTCTTCGAGAAGCTTCCAAGATCGGAAGCCTGAATCGAGGGAGATTGAGTCAACCCTTGGCTGAGTTTCGTTTTATCGAAAACGAGAGGAGTAGGGGGGATGGACGATTTGGTCCTTTCTTGGGGCCCGACCGGATTGATAAACGCGTTGGACGCGTCGCGAGTTGGGGTAGTGTTCTTTGGAACACTCTTCTCCTTCTGGCCCGTATCCGGCGCGTCGTCGACCTCCATAACGGCCGTTATCGCGTGGAGAAGGTGGTTCGATGGGGTCGAAAAGATTAGGATAATGAGATTTTGAAATCTGGACGAGTACTTGCGCAGTCACGGATCGGGTCACGTGACTAATTGCTGATTCGTGGTCTTCCCCACTCTGTCTGGCAGAATGGTTGCATGACAGCAATTCCAGGTGAGCTGTTGCTCTGTGTGTTATGTTGTGTATGGTATCGCTCGAGGGGAACCTGTGAACCCATTGTGAACGTATTGCGAACGAAATTCACGATTGAAGGAAGTTGCGGACTCGGACACCGCAACTTTCCTCAATCGGGTTTTGAACTAAATTATTCCCGCGGTGTAAATTGGGTAAGCAAATTTGAAAAGCTACGATATCTTTCCGTCGATCTTCCAAGCATCGACACACAATCCAGAATCCAAAGTGAGACTTGGTCCAAAGACTTGACTTAAGCGTAAGGCTTCACAAGTATGTAATACACACATGTGTAGTGAAACCTACGTATGTAAGCAAGTTTTGGGTATCACTCATCTCGATTCTCCACCATTCGAACTTGAAGTCAACTTCCCCAAAGGTTTGAGGTGTTCCAGGTCTACGGCATTGAGGTTGGTCTTCTGGTTTTCATCTTCTGGTGGATCCAAATTTATCCACAAAATATCTTTGAATACAGACCTTCATCGACCAACGACAATCAACGATTGCAACAGATATGATTCCAGTTCCCATGGACCAAAATATCTCTCCTCTCTCTCCCCCTGGTCAAGATAGTAACTATTTGGACTGGGCGTTTGTTGCGGAAACCCACTTTCGTTCGATGAATCGAGATCATGTTCTTAAAAAGATTAATCCAAAAGATCGTGACGAGCTCTGGGAACACGACAATACAGCTGTTTGCGCTACTCTTAGTCAAATTGTCACTTTTCCTAACCTGAAATATATAAGACGACATCCTGATGACGCTCATAAGATGTGGGAAGCCCTACGAGTAGCACACGAGGATCTTTCTTCAGGTGGTCGAATTCAACGTCTTCATAACCTTATGGTCACACGTATGGAGGAAGGCGCAAGTCTCGAAGAACATATCAATCAGATGTATAAAGCTTTCGATCGACTGACCATCCTGGTGAATGATGAAAACCCTTTAACTGTCGATGAAGTCTTCGCTGCCTCGTTACTCGGATCTTTACACCCTGCATGGAACTCGACTGTTCAGCAATTGGTTCAGCGACCTACTATTACCTCAGAGAGCGTCATCACGGCTCTCATGACCAAAGCTACCTGCGTCAATTCAAGTAACGAAAAAAAGAATGAATCGCAGCCCCAAGAACCAACATCATCAATCCTATCAAAAGGTAAAACATTCTGCAAGTTTTGTAACAAGGCTGGTCATGATCTAGAAACATGTCTTACTGCAAAACATATATTAGATCAAGCCAAAGGTGATTTTATTGAAAAGAACCGAAATAAATCTTCAAGTTCGTCACAATATTCTAGATCTACCGCAGCGGCTCCTCTCAAAAATAAAGGAAAACAACTTCAAATGGCCTCTCTAGGTGGATCTAAAAATGATTGGGATCAAACTTTCAACTCCAGTAAAATCAAGTCAACCAAATCTGAATCGAAAGAAAAACGTCCTGCTCAACTTGGAAAAAGCTCTCAAGATAATTGGTATCAAACCTCGAGCACCAGCAAAACAAGTTCAGAGATCCAAAATCCTTGCCCGGCTTCACATGGCGGTTGGTGGTAATTCCTCACTAATTAGTAGCACTCAATACAATCCTCACATCATAAGAATGCAATGTAAAATTGACAAGTATATTCAAAACGAAATCCCTTCAAATCGTATAAGTACAAAAGTTTTGTAATGCTCTTTCAAAAGGAGGTCGTTAAGAATTATTATCATCACACTTTAAATGTTTCTTACAGACATTAACCGTAGCTTGACACAAATCTTAACCTCATGATATCAACAGTTTAGATATATATTGTATGTTGATCGAGAAGAATCAAAAGTGTGATATTATATGAGTAATGTAGGATGAGTTTGTTGATCCAAACGAGAGTGAAACTGCCTAAAGCCCATATCCTCTGAACCTTGAGGATGAAAAATGGATTGCTTACTTGATATCAAAGTGAAAGGTCAAGTGGTTGAGCTCTGATGTCACCTGCGATCACAAAATCAAACACTTCTCACTGACTGATGATCGCAGGTGGTGTGATCAACCTTCATGATGACATGAGTATTTAGTGGGTAAAGCGGAACTGGTCAGGCTTATGTGGTTGCAGATTGCTGAGCTTATATGAGTTATTGATGTGCCTATCGAGAACTCAACGGTCAAGGTACGAAGTGCACAAACCAATTTGGATTTTAATCCAGATTAGTTCATCCAAGCCAATTAATATAACTTTAGCTTTCAAAGAGAATCGATAAAGAATCAACTCATACCACACTTTTCTTCGAGTTCAAGAACCTTTAGGTGTTTAAGCCAAAGGACCAACATCACTGACCTTTGGATTGATTATGAAATGTAAGTGTTTTGATCTAGTCTGAAGTTTGCGATGCTTAAAAAGACTGATAATAGTTCTTGAGAATTGTTTAGATTGATGGTCATGGAACCTAAAACCAAACCAAATTACGTTCTTCTTGAAAACAAAAGTAATTTCCTTTCCGGATAACATCATCAACTTTTAGGATCAATCGAGCTAACTTCCTTTTCTTTGACTCGACTTTGGTTAATCGATAGTAATCTTATCATTTAATGAAGAAAGTTCAATGTCAAAGTTGACTAATCCTCAAACTCCGACAAACGATCATAATGAGACTCAAACAAAACTTCTCCAAACCGTTCTATCCTACCCCACTTCATCGAAGCCTAGCCCTCAAAGCCCTCCTTCTTCCCCCGAATCAGAGACTTTGTTGTTGTTATCAGGACTCCTGACTCCTCGTGAGTTATAAACTCCTCGTTGACCTCTTTTCAAGGATTTGTCTGATTGCGCACTGTTACAAGCTGTCTAATATTGCTGATCTCTGCATTGATTTTCCGGTTTAGACTTCCATCTCGGATCAGGCTCCGAGCGCGTTCACAAGGAACGAAATGAATTCATAAGTCAGTTAAATTATTCCATCGACGTGATACCAATCATCAAATTTTTGCTGACTAACCTTGACTGTACGGTGAAATGATACAATCAAGGTGAGAAAAAGTCTAAGAAGCTGTACTTTCAAGTCTCACATCAACAAATCTCAGCAGTTCCAAATCACGATGTTGCGAAAAACTTGACAAATCAGAAGCCTTCAACCTTTGTACCAATGTAACTTAAAGACAAAGTTTTCTATGCAGTATGTAGTAGTACTTGATCAAATAAAATCATCTTGGTTGTTTTTCTTGAAACGATTCTCTTTAAATAAATTTCGGAGCAATCGAGTCTATCAAGCCAGATCAAGAAGAGACAGTCAATTAATCAGATTCTCTCTGTGCTCGAAACCTTTCTGATTGTCTGAAGCTCTTTGGAATCGGAAATTGCAAGATTTGGATTTCTTGATGTCAAAGCAGAGATGAAACTTGAGTATTAGAAAAGGAAGAGCCAGTTAGATTCTAGAAGGACATGATCAAATCTGAATAAGCAAATGACAATATCTATCAATCAAATAAAAATACACTGATACATCTTGGCTACAACCAACGCCGGTGTATTTTAGCCTTTATATTGGCTTGTTCACAATATTTTTCCAATGAAACTAGTTCGTCTTCAATTTCTTGATCTCGAGGATCTCGAGCTTCTTCATTCAAAGAAATGTTTTCATATACAGCCAGTTTCTTGAGCTGAGGCCAGGTGGGTCGAAACAGAAAGCCACTCAATGTCCTGCAATGTTCTAATCTTACGTAGGTCCATTCAAGATAATGTAAAGATTTGCAATCTTGGAAGCTGCCCAGTAAGTTCGGGTTCCGGGTACAAAGCAGCAAGTGATTCAGGTATGGAAGAGAGAAACACAGTCTTGAATTCAAGCTAGGATCGATTGCCCAGCTACCATCATCTTGATCAAAGCTAAGCGTGAGACTCTTTAGACGTGGTGCGATGTGGTGAACGATTCGATGCGCTGAAATCGGTGATAAATTACCGCAACGGTAAATTTCAAGGTGAGTAATTGTTTCCGCCCAATTGTAAAGACACCATTTCTCGGATATACCCCCAATGCCGCATAAATCTAATTCTGATAGATGTCGGAGTTTGGATAGATTATATCCAAAGGAATCTTCACCAAGGGTCCCTTGATCTAACAAAACAGTGAGTCCAGTAAGTCTCAGAGACTCGAGCAAAGGAAGGCCAACAATAAGTTCTGATGGTAATTTAACCGCGTTTTCCTCGCCCATATAATTTAGTAACGACATGTGCCGGAGGTGCTTGAGACTAGATATGAGAGGAACAAGGTCTAATAGAAAAGCTGAAAGTTGAACTCCGTCTTCCGTATCGCCACGAAGTGTATAGCTGATTTCTAACTTAGAAAGGTTGGGGCATCGAGTTATCAGGTCTTTTGCATTCTTTGGGGAGACTCTTTCTTCATCGATATAATCCATATTGATGTTCAAATTATCGTAAAAGGGATCGCGGTCCACAGATCCTTCAGGTCGACTGCAGTTTTTGGAGAGATCGAGTGATAGAGACCGGACAAGGGAGCCTTGTTTGAGGAGGATATCTTTGGTCCATAGATCTATTGGTGCTGGTAGACGAGTAGGAAATTGTAATTTCTGAACACTATAATCAGTGGTTGGTCGTGATGAGGTTTTCAAAGTAAGTTGAAGATGACTTACTTGCCACAGCCATGGCCGACACAGCTGATATATTTCACGAGAAGTCATTGCAAAGGATTGAATAGTATTCAAGATTGGAGAATTTCTGTGCAAATAAGTCTTGTACGGTTGCTTATCGCCTGAATCCGAGATTACCACGATACCTTGACGCTTTCGAGGCTCGAGTTCATCACTTTCAAACTTAGCCATGCGATCAAGTATTTCAATTATATTGTTCACGATTTCAGGAGGTAGATCCATGAGCCCTAGACGAGGAGTTTCACAATGTCACAATCCCTCAATTTGTATCAGGTCTTTGACTTGATCAGCTGGACTTTCAAATCCTAGAAGAACGCGAGACTCGAGTATATTGTTGACAGATGAGAAAGCGCTATATATGCTGGCCTTCTGGTAAGCCGAGCTGGAGGAAGATACCAAGTATCGGATCCTTGGAGCAAACAAAGAGTGCCGATTCGAGTTGTTCAAAACAGCTTTGAATAAAATCAAGATGCCAATTTACTGGCTTGTTCAGCTCGTACCGTTTGGATATAAGCTCGCGCCAAAGTGCAAGCTGAGATGGGCGACTAGAGGATGGCCTTTGATATATCTTCAAGTGACTCAACGAAGAAAAGAGCCGATCGAAGCTTCTGATGAGTTCACTTCTGATGGATGATGAATGCCAATGGCCTCTCGAAGATTGTAAATCCTGCACACAGAAGTGAATCTCGTGATTGTTTGAGAGTTTCCACGATTCTGGGAGTACCAGAAAAATCAAAAAGTCTTTCTCAAAAGCTGTTCATCCCAGCTTAAAGGGCTTTATGACTAATCATGGATTCCTGGCGTGAGCACTACAAGGGTTAAGTATCCTTAAGTGGTTTTTTTTGGTTTTCCGCTTCCCTCACGAGTCACTGACATATGTACATCACTTTACCCTACAGGGAAAGTTGTTCAAAGTGTTTTTCTACATGTCTATCTATTAACCACTCCATCATGCTGTTCTTGAGGCGAGTTCTGCTTGTAAAGGAGCGTAGAGCGTATATTCACACCGTACCCAATTTTTGAATCAGCAATGCAGGCGTGTTGTAAGGATCTTCACACCGCTTTTTTGGCTGTGTTATCCAGAGTGCCTATCATGCTGGGGTATGAGAAGATGTAGAACATTGTACTGAACAAATTTACCTGCTGAGTAAAGTGAGATTTACTTGTGAGGGAAGCGTAAACATCCAAAGAACTACTTAAGGACACTCAATCCTTGTAGTGCTCATGCCAAGAATCCACAATTAGTCATAAGCCCCTCTGTAAGGGTGCCAACACAGCCGCGCAGAGAGGTTTTTGTTAAGCCAAGTTCATTTCTAACTTATCCAATTAGTACCTTGATGCTGAGAGAGCTGAGGACAGCTGTCATTCATTCAAGCAAGTTGAATCTGCATGTCTCAGTATGAGGGACTTACATCCAATGTTATGTTTTTGGCCTGAGGCCCAAGGATTTCCCTGTAGAGGAAATCTTGATTCATCCTTTTCTGTGAGCTCACCAAAAGAAATCTTGACTGTGCTTCATGGGAACATGTATGCACTAACCCTCTCTTCAAAATGTACAGAATCATCAAGAATCCTTGGTTGCTCACTGAGCTGTATAATTGTCCATTTTGTGATTTTCACCTCCACTCTTATTTAATGATTTGATTTGAAATAGGGGCTCTCAAACCTGACCCGGTTTCAAAAAACCCAGTTGACCCAGTTGACTTTTTGGCTGGGAGCTGTCAATAAATGTCAAATTTATATACAAAGTTACTGCCAAAAAGTCAACTGGGTCAACTGGGTTTTTGAAAACCAGGTCAGGTTTGAGAGCCCCTAATGTACAAGTCTATTTGGAAAAGATACAACACATTAGTCGGGGCCGGCAGAGTAAATTAGGGTGTTCAAACCTGTGCAAAAACTGTGCAAGAACTGTGCAAGACCGACATGCAAGATCTGTGCAAGATTTTTTGCACTAATCTTGGACATTAATTTTTTTGACAACCCGAGTTATTGTGTTCCAAACCGTGCAAAAACTGTGTGAGACCGACTCTTGCAAGTTTTGTGCAAGATCCGTGCAAGTTCTATTCATATCTTGCACAGAACTTGCACAAAACTTGCATGAATCAATTTTGAGGTTTGAACACCATAAATGTGTTGTATCTTTTCCAAATAGACTTGTACAACAATCTAAATTACTCTCTGGATCCATTCAGAATTGCTCCCCACAGATGTATTGGATGTGTTGTCTCTGTATGGAAAGGTACCCCATCAAATTATGCCCAGTTATGGTTTGAGGCTTCTCAAGGCATACACACTCCAGATATCCATCCCTTCTATAGAAAGGCAGAGCTTTACAAGGCTTAGGAAACTTCATGGCTTCTGTGAGGAGTGTGCGTCTGTTAGGCGTACTCTTCACTAAGAAGGTGATAAGGGAAGTAAAGCGTGGTCTTCACGTGGTACACCCAAGTGAAGACTACAGCTAGTTGACCTCTAAGAAGAGGATTTGAGGGAGAGATAAAGAGATTAAGGGCGGTAAAGAGCTAGTACGCTCTAACCTCGTGAGACTGCAAGGGGCAGGCTTTACACTTTGGTGAACCAAAGATCCTGAAGGCTACTTTAGACTCCGTATAAGGGAGGAAGCTTTGCTGCTTTACGGTTTATTTCTAGAGAATACGATGGCCCAAGGCTCGTAGAAATCAATACCGGGGTGCTCAGCAATAGAACCCGTGATGCTCAAGCTTGGTCTTTAGACTACACAACTAATCACGTACTCGAGGATCCTCTATATAGGATTTCAAGTATAATGTGATTCTGATGTTGTGGTGTGTAAGAAGATGGGGGGTGATTCTAGGGAAGAAGAGGGGGTTTATATAGTCTCAGTTCCAGCGTCAACTTGTGGTTGGCGTGTGAGTCTTGTCTATTCACGTGTCAACTTGTGGTTGACACTTGGGTTAGGTTTACTATGTATTTAATACATTACATACATGTGTTTAAGTGGCTCTTGACACTGAGCCTTGAGATGTAGCTTATGGCTTTATACAATATTTTGATATTACATATGGTACTGTTAGCCCATGGTCCTGTAATTAGGGCTCAGGGCTGACAGCTTCAGCTAAAAGTAAGAGTTTTTGAGCCTGAAATTTTTTTCCATTGAACCCAAAATCATGAATAAAGTCTTGATCCACAACAGGATATTCACTGGCTTCTGAATCTCCAATACAACTGTCATGATGGAAAGTTGAGATTCTTCGATTCAAGACCCAGCTGATCAAACATTGGTCATAAAGCAAGAAGGATGGGAAGTTCATCACTCTCAACTAAACTCATAAATTCTTAACTTCATTGCATTTTATTCTTCTGAGGTGCATTGTTGAATGGCTGACTTTGCAATAGCAGATGTCAGTCCTGAGGAGTGGCTCTCATCTTTTAGGCAAGGCCTTGCAACCTGGAATGAATCTTTTAAATGGGTTACATTGAGTATATGACCATAGTTTTTGAAGTTTGTCTGTGTTCTGTTTGTCAAATTGTAAAGAATGAAATGTAGCTGTGATTTTGTATGAACAAAAAGACTTGAGTCTGTGAAAATAATATCATGATGAATTACATAGGTAACTTACATATGTGTTCAAAAAGTTGATGTCACCAGCAAAACCTCATTTCACCTGTCACAGCTTTAACTTCAAAGGGTAAGCCACTGCTTGTGAATCTTTGTAGTTTGTGCCCCTTGTCCAAACACCCCTTCCATTCACCACCCACCTCCAAATCCACCACCATTGTGCATCTGTTGAAGCCATCTTGATAATCATGTTAAACTCCAAAGGTTAAGAATTGTTTTCTCTTGTCATCTCTCTCCTGTATTATACTCATGGCTCCATGGTATTTTGATTGTTCTCTAGCTTTGGACAACTTCATTGGCACGGATACTTGCAGTCATTTTGAGAAATTGGGGGACAAATTATTGCCTGCACCACCTCCTGCTGTACAACATACAAGAATTGTGGTCCACCTGTAGAACATCCCAATGAGGGTGGTAGCAATTTGCATACTTGACCAAATAGCACTGTATCAAATTCCAAATACAACACTTCTAACTGTAAATGTCTAAGAAGACGGATACCTGACAACAATAGTGCAAACATGAGCACTCTTCTCCTTACCGAGGGTATGCAGACCCTGGAACTAACCTAAGTAGTTGGAGGAAAAAGTTTATAAAGATGAGAAAAAATATAAGTGAACACTTGGCTCGTGATGATATGATCTAAACGGAATTTTCTCCTTCCAAAAGATAAATTGATTACTTCTACTGTTGGAACCAAACCATGAGCCTACGATTATTTCTCTTTTCTAATCTATATTTCATTGCTTCATATGTGCGCTTTCATTTACACTACAACACTTAGCAGTTATGTTCCAGGGTATTACTCACAACCTTTTGTCTAGCTTAACCTAACCACAAAATGTATCGCTGAACTAAGCTTATCTTTTCCTGATCTGTGGAAGTTTTCTTTTTCTTCATCTTTATTGAAAACTTCTATATCAAACAACATCATATCATCCCAATCATCTCTCCGGATATTCTTTCTCCTACAAGATAACTTGACTGATACTTACATTTTTATTGATCTGATCAGGTATGATTTGATCTTTGTTGTTGATTTCTTTTCTCTCGATCATTTGTTTGTGGATAAAAGGAATTCATCTTTATTGAAAACTTCTATATCAAACAACATCATATCATCCCAATCATCTCTCCGGATATTCTTTCTCCTACAAGATAACTTGACTGATACTTACGTTGTTATTGATCTGATCAGGGATCTGAGCTCCCTTTATCTACTAACCTGACAACAATAGTGCAAACGTGAGCACTCTTCTCTTTACCAAGGGTATGCAGACCCTGGAACTAACCTAATCACAACAAAGAAATCAAAGCAGAGAGTTTGAAGACAACAAGTTAGATAATAGATGATATAAAGAAATAGGCTGTGAGAGATATACCTAAGTAGTTGGAGGAAAAAGTTTATAAAGATGAGAAAAAAAATATAAGTGAACACTTGGCTCGTGATGATATGATCTAAACGGAATTTCTAGTAATAAAACTGTATTAGTATATCTACGCTATTAGAAAAGGTGGAAATATATGTACTATCTTCCGAAAGATGGGAAAGAGAGCATTACAAGGGAACAGGTCAGAACATATATCCAGACAGAATTCAGAACAAAATGATTGGGGATAATGTTCAGTAAGAGTATTGGGAAAGATGTTTGTGACACAGCACACATTGCCTACTTATAGTTTAGAAAAACAGAAAGAAAAAACACCATGTGACCACAACTAAAGTCCTGCATAACACTGTTCAAACATCATTGTCAAAACCCATTCTTGTGTCTTGATTGTATTTCAACACTAACAACTTTTTCCTTCAGCCTCCAGCCTCATTCACCTTGGTGCTTCTCACATTAATACAAAGTTACATCTAGAGTTTGTTGCCTAGTTCTTAAAAATCTTGTGCAAGATTTACAAGCAGACCATCAAGATTTGTGAGGTAAGGCTTCCCTTCTATTTCTCTTCAGCTCTCTTTTGTTTCTATCCTGCAGCACAGCAAGCTGAAAGTGTTTACTCTGTCCACTTTTCCAGAAAATCAATCGGTTACAACTGTTGGGCTTCTCACTTACTCTCATTCACTATCTGAGATGAAAAAGACTGCCACTGAACATAAGGCCAACAATTGGACCCCTGATGATCCCTTTAAGGTACACTCATTATTTCTCATACACCTTCATAAACTGACCTTCTGGCTTGTGATATATAATATTCTTCAAGCAGACATGAACAACACCATCATGAATGTCAGACTGAAGGCGTACAGTTGCACTCACGACTCAGACAAGCACCCAATCAACTATTCCTTTGCTGACCTATGTAACATAAGTTTTCTTGTCTCCCTTTTACCACACCAAAGATGATCTACTTTTTCCTCACACTGAGTTACATTGAGCACAAGGATGAGGGATTTGCCAAGCCTTTTTCTCCCTTGGCTATGGAAATGAGGTCAGGAGTTAAGCACACATGTGTGCTTCACTCAGAAGCTTGATGACTATCTCAAGGTCATCAAGACACAAACTCAAAGTTGTTTTGTACAACGGTTTGTAAGTCTATCCCTTGGCATCTTGTATATCAAATGAGATGCTGATCTTTAACCCTGTTCAAGAGCCTTACCAGAATTCTTGATGTGAAATAGCAACAGCCCACTCTTCCCATGCCATCTCTTGAAGAACTAACTGTCTTGGTAAGTATCCTATGTTTTCTTGTCTTGTCATCATCAGATCATTGTTCTCTTCTGAGGCAGGTTTGGCGCACATCCATAAAGGCAACTGAACCTAGATCCAATGAATTCATATTTAAGGAGGTCCTGAATCCCTCTGATTTTGTTTGACCCTTCTAGTAAGTCCTTGTTGCTTGATTCTCTCTCTCATCAGACTGGGATTATTTCTGTCTCCTAGCATATATATACAGTTTTGTTGTATCAAAACCCAACCTCCAATAGTCATTGGTTCTTATGCAACAAAGTTGATGAAATACTTGAGGACTTGCAAACTCAAATTGGGACCCATGGATGGTATTTAAAGCATAAGTGGATTTAATTTTTATGTTGTTTGATTGCTCCTGGCTGACATTCCTCCTGATCCCAGCTTCTACAAAATTCTCATATAGCTTGACACCAAGTATTTTAAATCATCAAAATTGTATTCCAATGTGCCCCCAAAAGAAGATATGTTACCCCCAGACTGCACTTGTGGTTTGAAAGCAATGGAGTCTTTGACTACCAAAAAAATTGAGTCTGCTATCACTGACCAGCAGCTTCCCACCAATGTTCCTGGTGGCTCGGTGGAAGTTTAGCTGTAGTTAATTCACAGCAAGTCGTCCCTGTACATTAGCTACTTCCCTTTTGGGCATCTGTATTTGTTTTTTGGAACAAATCCAATCTTGTATCTTTCAATTCTCTCAACTTGATTATACATTCTTTTGAAGTTGTTCTCTATCAATTTCTTAGATCATGTGCTGTCTGTAAACTAAAAAAAATCAGCATCATAGTGGCCTTCTCAAAATCATGGGTGGAGCAGCCAATGCTGACCGATCTGTCACACACTGCTCATTGATTTCTCACTTGAAGCCAAGGTGAGCTTCTTCACAACACCCTAAGTCAAGCAATACATGTTGCTCACATGATGGGGCCCACATCAATCCCTTGTATGGTCATTCTGACATAGTGGTCACCCTTTGTTATGAGGGGGCCGGTAGAGACACATATCCCTCACATTGGACTTCTATGTAGCCGCATCTCGTGTAAAATTGGCATGCCTTGCTTGACTCTGGGATGTGTTTGCAACTTGCTCGCAGCTGTCACCCTCAAGTAAGATAGAGTAAGATCCAAAGAGCCTTTAGCAATTGGGTGGTGTTCAGCCCTGTTCAGCCACACAAGGAATCATTTAAGAGGTGTTGTATGAAATCAATCATCTTCACAGGCTTCTCATGCCACAAAGAGTCCATGTCCAGTTATACAGTCGTTTGCAAAAAGCTTGCCGCAAATTCACCGCCAAATTGCTCGAGTTTTGCGGGCAAATTTGGGCAAGCTTTTTGAAAACGACTGTATATCATGTTTAGTCCAGGGAGATTGAGTGCATGATAAGGAAAGTGAAAGCGCATAGGAATGACCACAGCATGATCAGTTGATCCGGAATTTTGAATATCTCACCGGTCGATCCGAATTAATCTGATCATGTCCTACTCGACGGATCGGGTATGGTTTATTGTACCCGGATCAGACACCCCGCCTACCACCAGTATCTATCAAGAACTCATCGTCATTCATCAAGTTTCAACTTCAAAGTTAAACTTCACTCGACAGCTCAGCTATTCATCGGAAACATCGTCAAGCTATCCTCATAAATTTTAGCCCCTTGTCTTTTTGATATCACTCCTAACTCCCCAACTATCGCTCTCATTGGAAACTCGAGGAACTCAAAAATACATATTACCAAGAATTCATATTCGTCGATCTTCGTCCTGCAAGATGGCTCAAAATGGAATACAAAACCATATGACAGAACGACTACAAGTGATCGGTGAAGAACAAAGATTCACGTTGGCATTCAGATATCAAATATCATGTTCCTATATCCTATGGTGATCATGAGCTGATTTGCTTAAATTCTCGATCATTAGGACCGACTTGTCGAGCTCGATCGAAAATTGGGGTTTACTCGAAAAGGGTTTCAATTATGACTTGGTAGCAGTATTTGGATCACAATCGAGTGGAAAAAGTGAGTCTTATTATATACCCCTCTGATCAACCTATCTCATCTTGAAACGGGAATCTGATATTTCTCTGTTGAACGCAAAGGTACCCTGTTGAACCGAGTGTTCGGTACTACTTTCGAGGTCATGGATGAGGCTGATCGGCGTCAAACCACCAAAGGTTTGCCATAAACCTGTAGCTTCCATCGATCCAATGCGATGCTTATCAACCTGCATCCTTCTCGATCGTATCTTTGCCGCGATCCTTTAAGGTATCTGGATGTGTAAAGGCAAGGAGATGGACGTCCTGGTCATGGATGTAGAAGGTGCTGATGGACGAGAGAGGGGGGAGAACCAGGTAAGGAATGACCATAGCCTAGATTTCGGTTATTTGGAGCCTGGTCAGAATCAGAATATTGAACAAAGCTCGTCATGATCAGGACTTTGAGCGAAAGGCGGCATTGTTTTCTTTGGCTGCCTCCGAAGTCATCATCGTCAATTTATGGGAACACCAAGTAGGGCTTTACCAAGGTGCTAACATGGGGCTACTCAAGACAGTCTTTGAGGTCGACCTAGCATTGTTTCAAGCGAACAAAGCGAAACAAAAGCTGAATTCCCCTTCCAAGTTAGTATTCTTCTTTTCGAAAACCTACGCATATAGCTTACACAATTGATTTTATGCCTGACATCTCAGCTCTGGTCACGACAAAACCAATCTATTCTTCGTCATCCGTGACCACATTGGGGTCACGCCTCTCTCAAACCTGGAGAAAACGATCACAGGCGATTTAAATCGAATCTGGGATGGATTGGCAAAAGTACTGGTCCCAGAGCTATCTACTTTTGGATCGGGCATTCGTACTCACCCCCCTTGTTCTCATCTTTTTGCTGTGATTCTCAGCCAGAAGGCACCGAAAACTCCCGGATTACAGATTACTTTGATCTTACGTTCACTACCTTGGCCCACAAGATCCTTCAGCCTGACAACTTCAACAAGGGGGTCGAAGACCTTCGGAGGCGATTCATCGATAAAACTCATCCTGACTATATTTTCAAGCCAATCTATCACAAGCGTATACCTGCAGATGGCTTGGCTCAGTATATGAGTGGAATCTGGGTGCGGCTCATTCTGTGATCGTCTCTCTATACAACTGTACAACTTGTTGAGCCCACTCTCTCCACTTAGGATGCAGTTGTGTCCAATAAAGATCTCGACCTTCCCACACAGCAAGAGCTTTTAGCTCAGTTCAGATGTGATGAGATCGCTGTTATATCGTTCAATCAATTTTCAGACTTACTGAGTCCTATCAAATCAGAAATGGAATTCGGTTCTGTTTTGGCTGAACTGGGCAGTAAGATGGAGCATGCGCGCTCTAAATCGTTGGGTAAGTGTTCCTGCACAGATCTTCGATACAATCAAGACTAATTCACGAGCACGTAGCTTCTTTTGATCTGGCCGCTTCACGTTATCATGCGGGCGTCTATCAGCGAAAACGGACAGAGCTTGTGGGGAAAATGAATACAACTCTGGGACCGATCTTTTGGGCACAGTTGAAAAACTTGACGAAATCGATTATCAAAAAATTTAAAGCAGATCTACTCAACTCTTTGAAAAGAGATCATACCAACAGTCGCCAAGATTTTGGGGAAGTTGTGAAAGAGCATAAAGATAAGGCTACCAAAGAATTTGAGTCTGCGGCACAATGTGAGTCGAATGAAAAGTTTTACGGCCTTTCTCTGGAGAGCGGATTTTCGACTGATCACGAGTATGGTAAATTGCTATAGCTTTGGTATTGAAGGACACAGATTGGACATATTCCGATGCAACATCTCAACTTCAAGAGGATTTGACAACAATCTCTAATCAGTGCAAGGTAGATGAGATGAAAAAGGTGACGAACTTGATAGAGAAAAGTTTGAAACGAGAGATGAATGAGCTTGTAGAGTTCACTTTGGCGAAACAGACTCCAAAAATGTGGGATATGGTGTTGGATAGCTTTCAAACTGCTGTTCAACTCTCTACGCAATCTTATTTGAAGAAAACTCAAGGTTCGTCCAATCTGGTACATAACTAACTGTGGTTTACCGCTTTCAAGCTGAAGCTTTGATGATTGGTTAGGCTTTAGTTGTACCGATGAAGAGAATGAGAAGACGATAAGTTTGATGACGAAAAAAGCATGGATCGCGCTCCGAAATAAGGTCGACGAGCAGACAGCCGATACAACTCTCTTGGTCAAACTCAAATTAGCCTTTGAAGAGCGGTTCCGTTATGATGCCGATGGAGTGCCGAAAGTATGGAAACCAGAAGATGATATTGACACAGCATTCCGAGGCGCAAAAGATGAAGTCAGTAAAATCTCATATATCTGGGTTCTTTGATGAGATCTTCTCACTTATAAGCTGTATTCTACTTTGTTTCTTTAGACATTAGCTCTAATTCCTCTCTATGGGTCAATTCGACCATCTGATCCATCATTACTCGATTTTATACCTACTAGCGTCTCATCAGATGATCTGGATGACTTGGACATAGCAGATTATGATTTTGAATCATCAGCAGCAATTTTATCAGTAACGAAACAGAACGAAATAAGGGATCGATTTAAGAAAGAGTGTGATGCGTACTACCTCGAAGCCAAACGTAGCTTAGTTAGCAGTATCAGTCAGATTCCTTACTGGATGTATGCTGTGATCGGAATCCTCGGATGGAATGAGTTCTTGGCTGTTGTTAGTAGTCCGATCTATTTTGCTACCTTATTGATCTTAGCTGTGACTACTTATATGGTTTTCAAGATGGATATGGTTTGTTTCAAATTTATTACTTCACCCTCTTTCTTCTCGAAGGTTTTCAGCTCACTTACGTCTATCTTTTCGGTGAATATAGCAAGGACCTGTGATGGCTGTTGGAAAAGGAATCTATAATGAAACAACGAGAGTAACACGAGAGAAATTAACTGAGTACCTAAATGTGAGTTCTTTTTGTCCTGATATTATTTTGTATCGGATTGAAAAAGGTTTTGTGAGGTTTTGTCTATATTGATACTGATTTATTGGTATGTTCTTTAGGATCCGAGTGTATCACAGAGGCCACAGATGAATAGTACAATGAGTTCAAGTAGATCGAATGATTTTAAGAATTCAAAAAGAGATGTAAAAGAAGAAATCGAACTTCAATCACTTTGAAAAAAGTCTTTTGTGTTTTGTTTTGTGGTTTCTTCTTAAATTATTCTTAGCTTCTGCTTTTTCTCTTTTTTGTTTTTTGCTTTTTTGGAAGATCTTAGAGGGTTTATCAACATTAATACAAATAATTATATATTGTCATAAAAAACAAAATTGATCATTGTTAAGTTTATTTGTTTGTTCTTTGAGTTTAGTGATCATTAGTCATATTAATTTTAACACAAAAGATAATTTCTAGCAGATTTTGATGGTGATGTGAATGATCATGTTTTATGCCATACACACATACACTGTGAAAATAATGTGTTTCTCCCTAGCAAAAAATGATTGCATTTTTGGAAAAATGATTGACAAAAATTGTACCTGGAATTGTGGGCCCAGTTGTGGCCCAAAACGCTTGGAAAAAGATCTGGAGAGAGATACAACACTCTTTGTCCTGCAATGTTTTTTCGGGGTTGCTTAAAGCCTCATACTCAGCGTGAACCCAGCAAGCAATTTTTAATGTTTTTACCAGCTTTTTCCCTCTCAAAGAAGTCCAAAAAATCCGGAAAAATCAGGAGAGATCATCAATCCCCTTTGTGATGTGTGGTGTTTTTTTCGGATTTTTTGATGCCTTTGTCTTGGATACATGCAGGTTAAAACATTAAAAGTCTGCCAAATAAAGTTCAAATGCATTTTGGTTCACAGGGGCATCAAAATTCCACACACTGTCTTCAAACTATGTACAGATGATCTTGCATCCTTTGTTGTGCTGCAAAACTTTTTTGGGTGGTTTTGGAGCCTTGTACATATGGCAGTAGCGTTTAAGTACCTAAAATTACACACATGTGATGACTTGCATACTGAGCCAGAAAAATTCTGAAAAAAACGTTCAACAAAGGGGATATTGTCCTCCACTTGTATTTTTTTTTTTAGATTTTTCTTGTCACTATTGAAGGGTGAATTTAGTGCTTCAGTGCTGCATATTTATGTGTTGATCCACAAAAATTTTGAACATCACCAAAATGAGTGCTAGAATTTTTTTACAATAGCCGGTCTCAAAGTTAAACCGGGTTTGCAATAACCCGGTACACCCAGTTTTTTTTTGGCGGTGACTGGGTGTACCGTGGTACACCCGGTTGGGACTTCAGGTTTGAGACCCAAATGATACCACCGAACCACTCCCGGTCCAACCCACCCTTATCTATCTCCTCGATGCCAACCTCAACCACCCGCCGCAATGTCTTAGCCTACCTGAATTGTTTCTTCGCACTTCAGGTAGCGTCTTTGGCCACCAAGTATTACGATTCCGATACAAGACCCAGCAACTTCACTACCATCTTGGCAGCAGTCATCCTTCTCAAACAGCTCAATTCCGATTCAGATCAAGCTACCGTTGATCCAAATTTGCAAGATACTCTTCTCTTGATGGCTTCTCAGGTGATCCTTACTAGTACCTTTGACTCAATGACATTCACTAGCAATCAAAAACGCTGAATCATCGATGACGAATCAACACTTGCGATCATAGCTTTTGGATTAGAACATGCTCAAAAGAAACGTTACCTTGCTCCTAGAATTCCTCGGGTTTTGCGCCGTGAGAGAAAGCTCGCATGTTTTGACAAATGGTGGAATGAAACTGATAGGACATGGGTCGTGGCTGTAAGTAACATCCATGTGCTTTTTCATGTTTACAAATGACTGACTTGCTCTTTGATCGTATTAGGCCCGGATGTCAAAGGACGCTTTTAACACTCTCGTCAACCAGATTGCAGATGATCTGATTTTTTACAACAATTCACCTAACCCTCAAGCTCCGGTCAGATGGCAACTCTTGGTTGCCATGGCCAATTTTGGCCTCTCGGGTAATGGAGGGCAGTGTCGAGTGATAGCCAAGCTGTTTTCAATGGCAGGTAAGTGCTTGAGTTAATATCAAAAGCAGACAAACCTGTGCTGACATCGAAAATAGAAGGGAGTGTGGACAATTACACCTACCGTTGTATTCAGGCTATCAATCGACTTGAATCACAATATGTCAAATGGCCTACATTGGATGAACGAAAAGAGATCAAATCAGCAATTGGGTCTCAATCTTTTTTCAAAGAGTGTGTTGGATTCATAGATGGCACCCTAATCCCTCTAGCGTATGCACCTCAGAAGAACTGTGAGGATTATTACTGTTGAAAGTCGATATATGCGGTGAATTCATTGATTATCTGTGATCATCAAAGGAAAATCATATACGCTCACCATGGCTGGTGTGGAAGTGCTCATGACCAACGAGTACTTAAATCGACCAAAGTAAGTAGAAGTTTCCTGTTTTTCATTGTTGAGTTATTCACTGATGTGTTTTTCAGTTTTTTAAAAATATTGAAAGGTTTTTTAGCCCCGGAGAGTACCTCTTAGCGGACTCTGGTTACAGTTCTTCTAAATGCATTGTACCCGCCTTCAAAAAGCCCAGAAACCAAGAACTTGACCGCGCTCATCGGCATTTCAACTTCCAATTAAGTCTAGCTAGAATTGTGTCCAAACACACAAATGGACTCTGGAAAGGTCGAACTCAATCATGTAAAGAGTCTAGGTTGGTTATCAAAGATCAAAGGAGTGCCAGTTATCTCAATGTGTGGCTTTCAGCATGTGTGGTAATTCACAATTTTGTTCAAGAAGAAGACGGGACATACAATTTAGGCAGTTCAGACGATTGGGAGGGACACCGAGAAGCCCCTCCTAGTTTTGAGGAAGAGGAGAATGCTGCGATGGGCAATTCTCGTGTATCTGATCAAAGAAGAGAGCGTCTATTTCAAGACTTCCTCTCTACCATCAATGGTCGACTTTTGTTAGTTTTATGTGAATCTTACCTGTATTAGCTGATTGTTGTGAGCTTGTTACACTATCCTCCAATGTCTTTCACGGTTTTAAATATGATTGTATTAAAGAATAATTGGTTTTAATTGAATTATAATTCACTATAACTTGGACCACCATTTCGCACAACTTGATATCAAATATATTTGATATCAAGGCTTTCAAAAGAGTTCTTTGACACATCCTTTGGAAATGGAGAAGACACAACAAGAACAAATGACATTTCATATTTTTTTGAATATGTAGAGAATTTTAAGCAGGACAACCACTTTAATTGAGCTCTGTAACATTTGGTCATTTAGGACAACAACTTCCAATGAAATTACAATCTGATAAAACATCCTGTTTGAAACTGACCAGAGACAACAACTCTGTGAGCTTATTACAAAAAGGGTAAAGGATATCACATGATTCTCCACAATAACGACTTGAACATAATTTTTACACACAACGTAGATACTGATATGCGCATGTGTGCACTAGTTAGACCACAAAGAAATAGAGAAAATAATCGCTTTTTTTTGCTAATAAAATAAACGAGAAGGTGTTGTTTGCAGGAGTCATGGTGACTTCCATGGTGATCACCTTTAAAACAAAAAAATATATATATCAGTTATAATACGATCTGATGACACATAGGAAGCATGAGCCTCTGGACGTACCAAACCAGTAGTCATACCTATGGTGACCCGTAGTACATATTCAAATCATCGGAGGGGTTCCACCTAGGAGGGCTTTCCGACTCCGCGCTGGCGTCTTCTTCTACACTGGGGTTGATATCTAAATCATCCAAAGTGTGTTTACTAGTACTCGCCTGAGGAGCTTCAGGCGCTTGAGGGGATGGGTACATCAACAAGGCTTTTCTGAAAGCCTCGTCGAAAGTATCGCCCAAAGACATGAACTTCGTGATTGCCTCACCACGTAGTTGCTCCCGTTTGAGCTTCACATCTTCTTGTCGATTGTTGGACATTGCAGATATGGCATTCGCAATTTGGGCATTCAATTTAATTTGTTCTTGATCCTTTTTTTGAGACTCTTTCGCAGCCTGAGCACGTTTGGCTTAAGAAGGTAAGAAATCATTCATTAAGGTTTGAAGACCAAGGGTGTCACAAGGCGCACTGCCGTTTCTCGAATCACGTCTTTTGCCTGTCATTACAGTAATTAAATCAACTTTTCCTTAAGCATTATCTAGAAAAACATCACGTACGTTTGTTTTTCTTGCGTGCCATCTCCCGAGTGCTTGAGGTGTCCTCATGTTGGAAGACCTCCTTCACATCCTCATCGCCAGATGCCAAGTTGCCTTCTCTCGAAACATATTCTTCTTTTACAATGTCCATATCATCATCATCATCTTCCACTTGCACCAAGTTACGTTTCAAATGAGGCTTTGATGACGAAGTTAAAGAATCTACCGATACATTTCCTAAAGTATCACGAGTCGCCTCCGGAATGATGTTGGACCTTTCAAGCATCACCGATTCCAAGAGACAATACCAAGGACACACGGCGATGGCTTTCTCTAAAGTCAAGCATGATCATTAGTATGTTTCCAGATCAAAGCTTTTGAGACCATTTACCGAGAGCAGTACCTTTAGCAGGTGCTTTACACTTTTTTGATTTAGCTAACTTTCCAACCACTACCTCGTCACCGTCGCTATCTACAGTATGCAAAATTCAACCCAACTTTTCAAGCTTGTCCTTGTAATCTTCATTGTCAAGAACACCTTGGCCAGTCAAATTAATTTGTTTAAACCCTTCTTTAAATTGATCTTTGAGGTACTTGATCTAGAAAACCACATGGAAACATCAATCAACATTACTAATAGATCAACATCAAAAAGCATGATGTGGGAAGTGAAATGAGGAAACTACCTTCTTGTCCACTTCTCTTGGGGGACGATTGATTTCACTACCAGCATAAAGTAATTTTCCCAAGTAAAAAATGAATACATTTAGAGCCAAAAACGATTGAAAATGCATTTGATCAGCATTAAATCAGCATTAAATCAGCATTATTTAGCATTAAATGAGCATTTTTGATTGAAAATGCATTAAATGTAATCATTTTTTCCTTGGGAAAATTACCTTTCGCTGGGAGTGTTTGATGAATTTCCTTCATATGAGCCGCACAGATTGCCGCCACTGCAATCTTGCTCAGATTCTGACCTTTCCATCTTTGAAAGTTATCTTCCTCAGCTAACCATAACGCAACCACATCGATATCGGACAAGCCACTTGCTCGCTTCGCAAACCAAGACACTTGAACACTCTTCGGCTCCTCAACAACCTCGATGACTGATTTCTTGCGTCGACCTCGACCTTTTTTTTCAGGGACTGGTTCCTTGGCGGGAGCGGTCTTTGATTTCATGGCTGATACAGTGCCTGATTGAGTTTGAGAACCTGGAGGTCCAAGAGGACTGTGTGAAAGGGGTTGCGTTGGAAACAAGATGAAACCCGGAGAGATCACTGGTCCTGGTGATCCACCACTTGCAAGAAGCTGTAAGTGTATCAAGTCGCCTTGCGAGAGATGAGCAGAGGGTGATACTTGAGCAGCCGAGATTGCTGGAAATCCTGAGAGGGAGGATACTGAAGGTAGATTTCCGAAGTTTGCTGGATTCGGAGTGATCAAGGGTGTACTAGCAGTATGTTGTGGAGCAGGGGCACTGGTTTGCTTTGGGGTGGTCTTCTTACGCGGCATGGTGGCGGCTTTAGTGGCTTGTATGAACTTTGTAAGTCAACTTTGTAAGTAGAATTTGTATGGCAAAGGGTAAATTGAAAATTTTCACCGGTAGGCCTTTCTCTGACCTACCCAGTTCACCCGGTTGCAAAAAAACTGGGTGTACCGGGTTATTGCAAACCCAGTTTAACTTTGAGACCGGCTAATGACCAAAATCTCCAAACTGGAAGAAAATAGCACATTTTGCCTTACCAGATTTTTTCAGATTTTTTGGGCCAATATCAAGCAAGGCATTTTGAATGCTAGAATCAATCATTTTTTGCCATGGAAAAACACATTATTTTGGCAGTGATATATTAAAGGGGTTCAAGTTAGCTTTTTTTGTGTAATTTCACGCTACAACAACTTGCCCGTTGTTGTAAAATATGCGTCATCTTTTTTCAAGCGGGACACCTTTTTATGTGTCCTGATTTCAAAATATGTTGGTTTTACGCATTTTTTACGAAAAACTTGCCCGGATTTTTCAAAAATACGCAAACCAAAACCAAACTTGAAACCCCCTATTGTATCCTTTTTCTCTCATTGAACTTATAAATCTCGTTTTTAACAATCTTTCTTTTTAGAATTGTTCTCTTCTCTTCGATACGTGTGCAGCTTCTTTACAAAGCTGACACTTGAACAATCTCAGTTCATAGTTCAATTGTTTTGTGAACATTGGTAGGTGAGTCTTCAATGAAGGATCCCCACTGAAGCCCTTACAACCTGCTCAAATCAAAAAGTGAAATTGCAAAAAATGTTGCACATTGCAGAGGATACGTAGAAACTGATATAGAAAGATGGGTAGGATGAATAGAAAACAATTGATCAAGTAGATGTAGCGAGCATGATCATCAATATGCAATGGATTTCAAAGTGGACACTTTAACCCTCATGAAACCTTTCTTCGGGTCAGGATCACTTGCATGGGTTGTGCCATTGGTAAAGTCAGAGACGAGCCATATCTCGGTGTTTCTTCGGTCGATTCTTGAGTGATCTTGGCAATCTTTGGTACACTAGCCAGCCTAATGATAGTATTTCTTGTTAGTAACCCAGCTGTTGATCCATGATATGTTCAACCTACCATCCTGGGGCAAATGCCATGTCATAGCGTCGCACAATCTCAACGATCACAGCCACTGCTTCTAATGTAGCCAGATGCATTCCCAAACATATTCTTGGCCCACCCTGTCAAAGATTGAATAAAAAAGATAAATCAATCTGAAGTTGATTGTGAAACAAAATTCAATTGGATAAAGACACGTGAACGAGAGCAGAATACGACGCACATTGAAAGCATGGAATTTCCATTGGCTGTATTGTTTCAGTTTGCCTGCCTCGTCAATCCAACGCGATGGCTTAAATTCGGCGCAATCGTCACCCCATATGCTTGGATCACGCGCCATTTGCCAGTCACTTGTGAATTGCATTTTTCAATATCAGTTTTTCTCAAACTTCATTACGGTGCTCATCGTAGGATTTTCACCGGTGAGGATTTTAGTGGTCAGACAGCTTACCTCCAGTACAGGTAATCATTTGGTTGAACAATGGGACCATCCGGTAGCTTATCGTGATCTACAGCAAATCTGAGATTCTGTGAATCAACCATGAGTGAGTATGCAATGAGATCTTACTACAAGACTTCTATAGAAAGGCGTCTCTCTGATGATAAGATTAGGGCTTATTCATGTTGAATTGACTTGCCTTGGGAACGCTCGGGTGAAGTCTTAAACCTTCATAAAAGACGCTGAGAACATTGATGAATTGTTTATAATTTTCATAATCAACCAACGCATCGTCTTCAGGTAAAATTCCTTCGATCTCTACTCGCATTGAAGCCACGAGTGCGGGCCGTTGGATGAGATGGAATAAAGTCCAGGAAAGAGCTTGGGCAGTAGTATCCCTTGAAGAGTAAGAGGTGGCAGAACTTGTATCTATCAGCCCCGATTTCAGAATGTCTAGAAAGCGGTATGGGTCAACTTACCTTCCAGCAATAATGAAGTTGATAGCCGCGTCCTTCAATTCATCTCGACTTAAAGAAAACCCTTTCTCATCATTGGATTGCATGAAGAGACCAAGTAAATCTGCGGGTGATTCGATTTGAGGACCGGCGTTCAAACGAGCATCAATGAGGTCATAGGCGTAACTGTCAATGATTTGACGAGCCGCCTTCATCTTAGGAAGCCTAGCCAAGATTTTAGCGAGCTTAGTAGAAAAGGCGCCAAGGACCATTCCAATGTCAAGTTGCCTTTGAACGTAGTCAAACGCATTGACAAATGGATCTGCTTCGTTCTCGGCCTTGAGAACGCTAAGTGCGCCAATTTCACGTCCAAACCTAAATCACTCATTACTGATCAGCTTGATGTCAAAGAGATGAATAAAGCGTATCGAAGGATCGTAGAATATGACTGACATCATTTTCACAAATGATTCCAGGGTGAATCGATGGAACACATCGTCCATTTTCACAATTGCACCCTCTCTGACCTTGAGATCCAAGAAGCCATTGAACGAGCGCAACGTTTCATGCATCGCAGGAGTGACAATCGTCTATACACACCAGGCTTAGCTCGAGTAACGATACTTGTGGTTGGTTTACTCACTTTGAAATTTCGAGCGTTGAAAATCCTCGTCTTGGTCTGCCGGGTAGCCTTCCAAGCCGCTCCATCAGTGACAAAAATTCCTTGTCCAAAGACAGGGGACATGACATCTTGGAAGAGGTTTCCCTGCAAAGAGTGGAGGTCCCATTGGGAGTCAGCCCGCTATATCAATCGGCCTTGGGAGCTCACGAGCTCACTTTGACATAGTTGCTGAAATTAGCTATACGGCCATAAAAAAGTCAGTTTAAACATCATTTAATACCGTTCTGCACTGGAGTGATCTGATGAATTTATACAAACTTTTCTGAACATACTCAATCCATTCAGGTCGACTTATCTGAATAAGCCTTGTTCCAGGAAGAGTGAGCTATAAGATAGGAAACGGTGGTTTCGTTTAGATTCTCAAGTAGAAAGAGCAAAGTCGTGAAGTAAATGAAAACTGACGGCCGCCCCAGCGCCATAGACGCGTGTGATTCTTGCACCCCACTCTATGATACATCGTCTATTCAAGATTACCTCTGGTAGCTAAGGCGAAACCATTTGTCATTTTTTCGCTACCTTGAAGTACTGCATGATCGAAGAGGTCATGAAGAAGAACCGCTAAATGGTACGTTCAACTTACTTGACCGATGCTATAGAAAATGTGAAGAACACCTTCAGTGACCGATTTTCTTGAATTTCAGTTTCGTTAGTATTGACTCACAGTGGCCATCCAGGTAGATCGTGATACACGTCTTTTCGCTCGCTGGTTCCAACAGCTTGGTTCGTTCGGAATCAAAGAGATATTTATGAATTTGGGTCCAGTTTTGTGAAACGAATTACTCACCACGTTTACGACTGAGTATATATACCCACCCAACATTTCAACGAAAAGACAATAACAACATCATCAAAATGTGTCAATTATTGAACCTCAAATGCATGACTTACTACTTGAAGATGTAGGATACTACTCTCAAGGCTATGAGAAAGAAAGCCAATTCTTTGATGAGATGTAAATATTCCGACATGATAAGTAGAAACAATCAGAGATGATCAAAAGGCGGGAGTTTGTTGAGTTTAGGAGAAGTTATAAATTGATTGCTTCGAAAAGGTCCTGATCATCGCGAGAGAGAAACCTGTCCTTCCTCCTCATGTCACATGATGTTGTTTCCCAGGCAACTTCAATCTTAGCTCACTTACCCACGACCTACAACAAAACATTCATCGACTTCTTTTGGAGATAATAAAACTTGAGCTTCATAAATCTTCCAGGTGACAATGAGTAAAAATTTATTTCTCTTCCAGTATGGTCTGGCTTCAGTGATATGTACTCTGCGGTCGAAGCTTGAAGAAATCGGCCTTGTTTATGTCGAAAAGAAATCGTCTTCTAAAACAAAAGTACTTGATATGTTGAACCAAATTGGTTAGAACGCGGGTGTTTGAAAGGGACCCATATCAAAACTCGGATCAGACAATATTTAAATAAATACTTCAAAATGCAAAAAGCATTTGAATCTCAGAATCATTGAATATAATGGAGAAGTACATATAATAATCCAAAAGAGTGACGCTTATTAAATTACAACAACCCCTCTGACTCTCATAGCCTTAATCAATCAAGTAAGCTACAAGAGTTAGAGGTATAAAGACAAAAAGATTAAGATCCATAAAACCAACTATGATCCAGAACCAAACACATCACTATCATTTAACTCACCAACTGCACATCACGTGTACATAGAGACAATCAAACACTTACCCATAATCATACAACAGACTGAACATTTAAGAAATAGATCACTAAGAAAAAAAATCATTGAGAAAAAGATCATCAAAGGATGCGTTGAACTCCTCTCTCTCTGTACCACTCTTTCAATCCAAAAAAAACTTTTATATCCGAGCATAATTCTTCATCCACCTCGACCACCGTATCCACCACTAATATTAATCACCACTCTTCCTTTCTTTTTCTTTTTCTTATTACTATTATTCTTTTGATCTTCTCGATCTTCTTCATCTTTAACTCCTTTCAAAACAGCTGCCCATGCATCATGATCGTGATCTTCGTTTGATTCATCAGTTATCATCGTACTTCTCACTATTCTTGTACCCCAAACTGTTCTTGATCCACTTGGAATTTCATTCAATTTCAAAATTCCTTCTCCTTGAGGGCTAACTTGTTCATCTTCAACTTCTCCTCGTCTCATTGAATTCTCAGACGAAAAGTCATGTTCATCAGCATTGAATTCCGGAAATAATAACTCCTCTAGTTCTCCTAATGAGCTATTATTCTCTTCACCTAAATCAAGAGTCTGAGGATGACTTGCTTGCTGAACTTCACTCTTCAATCTAGCCCTTTCCTCTTTCCTTAATTGTTCTTTACGTCTCATCCTACGTCGTCGAAGTGCAGCCCCTAAACAAGTATCATCTGCCTTTAAATATTCATCTATCTTGGTTTCTACAATCCTCACACTTGTACCTGTAGGTAAGTGTGAAAGATACTTGCATCTCTTCCTCAATGAGTCTGTCATTCTTCCTTCATTTGAACTTTCAACTTCTAATGCCAACTCATTAGGAAAGTCGTCATAACTTCCAAATCGGGCTAATAAGATCCTGATGTCCAGTGGTGCGAGATAGACGTGTTGACCAGAGGCAGCTTGATAAAACCGATATGGTGGTGGACTGGCTTCAGGCGGGTTCACATTCTTCCGAGTTAGCGTGGGAGAGGGACGATTCGAGATTGGATCGGTTGGATCATATGGCTCTACTACTCCTTCCTCATCTTCATCCGTCGTACTGACAAATCCGCTGATCGAATCCTCAGCTCGGGAGAGCCTTTCTTTATCTAGATTTTCTTGTTGGTCTACAACTGAAGAGATCTGTCGAAGAGCCTTCTTACGAGAAGTCATGACGGCCGTAGTCTTTAATAATCCTACTTTCACAATCTGTTCTCGTACCTTTGCATCGGCTGCTCGAACAAAGACTACGCCTAGATCAGCTTGAGTGTCGGAGGCAGACCAAGTAACGAGTGTAGCTAGTTCTGTCTGTAATTCTTCCAAATCGTTATTCAACTCATTGTTCATATAATCAGGTGCTGCGACCATGAATTTAGCATGAGTAAGAGCATCAGGAGTGAAATGCCAAGGAGATTGAAGAGGTTCGATAGCAGATGAAGGCCAAGTTGAAGAACGAGGAAGTGCCAAAGTTGAAAAAGTAGGACGTTCCATGAGACGAAATCGAATATGAGTTTGTTCTGAATCAAAGTTTAACCATTTAACAGATTTGAGATCTTTCTTCATCACTGGATCTGTACAAACTGGACATTTTCGACCTTCACCCTTCTTTTCTTCACTCAATTCAAGATAATGAAGTAAACAAGAATAACAAAACACATGTCCACACTTTGTGATTCGTGCTGCTGTAGTGGGTGAAAGACAAATCGGACATGCCAGTTTGGATAAACCAGAAGATTCGTTTTCTTCATGAGTCGAATGATCAGGTCGGGAAACATGAACGATGACTTGAAGAATATCTTAAGAAACGATACAAGAGGTGAGATGTAAGTGTGATGAAGTCAATAGGTTGGATTTGATGGTGAAAGAAAAGACAGACCGGGCCAATGGAATCGGATATCCGGATCGGCAAAATGTGCTGTATAATCGCCAGTAGGCTTGAGTATGAATCGATATTGAGCATGTACAAATCCTTTTGAGAAACGAAGAGGAAGAGAGCAAGATGAACTCCAAGTTGTCCAGACAGTCTGATGATTGATATCACTCACTATCTTTATCGTAAAATGGATGGTTTGATGCATGACGTTTTACTGAACGTCGGGCTGGTAGAGAAGTAAGAGGAGAAGACCTTGGAGGTAAAGTGAAACCCAGAAGCTGAAATCAATGAGAAAGATGGTTAGTTTTAGTTGAATGAGATTGAAAGATGAGATTACTAACATGATTTAATGATCGATCAGCTAATCTTCTTTCATGTTGTGATTGTCTGTTTGAGATAGTTTGTGGTTTTGGTGATGTGTTGTTGTTGTTTGATTGAACTGATTTAGTGGTCATGATGTTGTTGTTGTGGTTGATGATGGTGATGGTGATGGTGATGGTGATAGTACTGGTCTTGATGGTGTTCTTGATGGTTTGATGCTTTCCAATTTGCTGTGACTCCAAATTTGGTAATCTCGGACCCGGCCTTGTGACTTTGCCGGGTGCCGTACAATGCCAGCAATGCCACCCATACGGTACATCACTCAGTCATCCTTGCACTTTAGGTGACATTGAAGCTTTTTCAGAAGGAAATGGTGATGAATGTTCTAACGTGACCCATGCTGGCTTTATTCCTTCATCGTAATCTCTTTTCTAGGATGATCATTTGCAGAAAAGCAGGTTTGCTCAAACTATCCAAGCCATACTATATCAAGAGTGAATAAAATTGTGTTCAATTCTTTAACATTCATGCATACTACTGATCATTGCGATTAAGTTGAGAAAAAAGAAGACAATCACAATTATTTGAAGGTAAACATGAAGATATTTATATATATAACATCGGTCTCGGACCAAAAAAAACTGAAATCACATTGATTAAAGAAAAAGAAAATTAAATTGAAACGATTACGAATGAAAGAAGATTTAAGTTTTCTAGAATTTGAAAACTAGTTAGTAGCAATCACTATTGTCGATAAATCTATCCACACAAGGCTTGATTGTATTGATGTTGAGAAATTCAATTCACTTCTCCTGACTTGATCAAGTGCCACTCGAGTCCATGTCCATGATTGTCATGTTTTTTTATCATGATTTGTTTTTGATCTTCAAACTCAACCTTACACTTCATAATGAAAAGTTATAAATTTAAACTTGACGTTAATGGATGTTCAATCAGTTACTTAATCTTCCTTATCCTTCACATTTTCTATCAATTTTCCATTGACTTTTTAAAACGAATTACAAAGAAAGAATCCATAATCTTGATCAGTATTCACTTCAATCAATAATAAAATCATGTGACCGAGTAGGAATTTCTTACGTGGCTTAGCTTCTCCTCGTATTTTTGTGATAGCTTTGGCCAAATCTGATGCATGTTCAACTGCTTTTGATGGATCAATGATAAAATCCTGTAATAGAATCCTGTAAAACATCATCAACAACCCAACATGTATCATGATCAATGTCCAAGCTCTGATTCTTATGGATCAAAGTGTAGAAACAAAGATTCGAAGCAAAACTAAACAAGTGAAAGAAAATGACATACACAATTTGATCAATAAGAGGTTTGATCTTCTCATAAGATGTTTTAGATTTTTGTTTTGCCTTACGAAAAAGTCTAAGCCGACTAGCGTTTTGCATATACTCTGAACAAATCGCTTTATAGGCTACATCAAGTAATTCATCTCTATCTTTAGAATCTGCTAGTTTTGAAACATAATCATTCATATTGGTGACTTCTTCGGTTAATGATTTGATCTCATCTGTGATACTCTTTTTGGATTTAATAGGACAATACTTGACGTTGGCGGCAAAACTGGTGGCAGCTGAAGTCAGCCCTGCAAACCAAATTAAACTGAATACGATGAGGAAGCAATCAAATCGACGAGAAATCATGATGAAAGTATGTAGGTGTTTAGGAACACTGTCTGAAATTGACCAGAATTTACAGTTATCCTGACAGATGCGATCAAATTGACGAGTTAGAAACTAGGTAAATCGCTTATATGTGGGTGGTAGGAATTTTTAAATGGATAGGATATAAATCTTTCAAATTCCTAAGCAGTTTTCAGAGTTGACTGGAATTTGAAGATATCGTAAAGTACGAATGCAAAAAGAGATAGCGGAATGAAATCAAAGTGATGGTAGATTATTTATGGACTTTAATGTTGTCAAGTGCACAACTAGCTGACGGCAAGAGTTGAACAAATAAATAGCATGAACAAAAAGCTGAAACATTGCCCCGTGACATCGACAAACATCTTTGCGACTTTCAATCATTTGATGAGCCACATGGGTTTACCACTACACGAGGATGCATAAAAATGTGTCTCTGGTGACCGATGCTATCCTGAGCCTCGCACTCAGTTGAGCACTTCGACGCTCGGGGCCTTGTCTTCTACGTCGGGCGTTCGAAAGCATGCTGTAAAACAGACTTGAGCACGGGGCACTGCTCGCTGGTTCATCGACGATTGATACCTGATCAACCCTTTTTCAAGGCTTCGTCTCCATTTTTGATCGCAACCCCGGGCACATCCAGGTGACCCATGATCAATTGGCTTCGGAGACCAACTCCGCCATCAATACCCGCAAAGGGTCCTGGTCGCGAAGAAATTCAAGTTAACAAAAACCTAGAAATGTTTGCGACACAGACGGCTCGTTAGGTCGCAGGGTGAATGTTAAGCATGTCGGTCAATGATTGACCAAAGGACAAGTGCAAGCACTTCAACTTGGAGGTAAATACTAGAAGTGATGCAATCATGATTTCATCACCAACTTTGATAGTATTGCTGGAAGTTGATGCTGTTTTGACTTGCGACTTTCAGATAAAGTCAATCAACTTTTGTAAACCACTTGCCTTCGTCAACTTTGTAAACATTGAACTTTTCGGCAAGATGAAATTTTGGGTTTAGTTTTTCAGCTTTCTTTTTGTCACAGTGTTTTCGATTTAAAAAAAGGTGATTGTACAAGTAAGGCAGCTACTGCAAATGCGACCACAGAGCCAACCACTTCTGGCTTAGCATACTTTTCGAGTCAATTTGCGTTATCTGCACAAGGTTATAGGATTTCGTAAAAGCTTTACAAATTTATGTGGACTATCTGAGACTACACAAATGTCTATGATTTGGTTTTACAAAGAAATTATGGAATTTGATGTCACTTCATCAACACCGAGTGAGGCGGTAGGCACAGATTAAATTCTGCACTTTTAGTCACTGTTGGTATCTTAATATTGTATTGGTTGGATCTGACTTCATTTAGTCTTGAAGTGTGGCTATTCATCTTCATCGACCATATTAACCTTCCAGATACGCGACCACACTGTTACAAAATCTTGTTGAGCTTTCTGACAATCATTCATGAACAATGAGATTATTGCTTGATGTGTCGAATCACCTGTTGTTATTGACCACCTGCATTTTTCCTCAATTCAGCATTGACTGTATACGCATTTTTTGAGAATGAATCAGCCACCTGAGTTTCAATTTTTTTTTTCAAAATCTCAACTCGAGTTGAAAATTTCTTACGAGGCTTAGCTTTTGCTCTTATAGCTGTGATAGTTTTGGATAACTCTGGTGCATTTTTAACGGCGGCAGATGGGTCTATGATGAAGTTCTGTAAGTGTATCCTGTGAATATTGATCAGAACACAATCATTGTCAATGACCAGGTTTTTGTAAATGCGAAAGTAGAGAAGTTCAGGAAAACAAACGACATACAAGATTTGATCAATGAGAGGTTTAATCTTGTCATACGCTGGCTTTGACTTTGGTCCTGCTTTCTCAAGAAGTCGAAGTCGACTAGCGTTCTGTTTAAGTTCTGAGCATATCGCTTTATATGCCACATCAAACAAAGATTCCGAAGATTGTTTAGGTTTTTCAAAATCTCTAACATACGCATCCATCCTGTTGACTTCACTAAACAGATCTTCTAATTCTGATTCGATAGAACTTTTGGGATCAAGTGGACAAAACTGGATGCTGGCTACTCTGCTATTGGCTGCTGAAGAAAGACCGAGAAACCATATTGAGGTGACCATTATGATGAGACAATTAACTTGACGGGAAATCATTGTAAAAGAACAAGTTTAAAATTCCTGACAAAAATTAACCAGAATTTGTAGCTGTCCTTGAAGTGCGATTTGTCCGGCGGGTTACTCAGAAACTAAAGAAATTAATGTGTGGTCAAAGTTTTACATAGGTTGGATACCACGTCCAAATTTCCAACAAGTATTAAAGAATTGACCTGAATTCTGAGATATACTGATATGCGAATGAAAAAGATGATGACATAAAATTGGGGGAATATCATCCAGAAGGCGTGGATATTCATGGGCTTGATATGTTGTCAAGTCCGCAACTATGCAGCTGAGGCCGAGGAAGACCTGCGCAACTGGTTGCCACTGTCCTAGGGAGGTAGAACCTTGAAAAATCGGACCAAGATAACACAATATGTATGAAGAAGTGGTTCTTTGATATCGATTCCTTAACTTTTCTTGGTTTTTATCAATTTTGAAGTGACACTCCCTCATGTAATCCCATACTTTAATCTGAACCCCATAACCTTTCAACTTTCCTTCTCTTTCAAATTCACTTTCTTATCAAAATATTCAACTACATGATCTACATAAACACCTCACTTGTGATGGATCCTGAAAAAGTTATCCAATGTATCTGAATTATTGAACTTTTTAAGACCACAATACGAGTCAGGAGTTCTTTGATTCGCAAAGATGTTTCGTCTGATACATGTCAAAATATCTGTATAAACCTCGCGTCGTAAGATGAGGTGGTGTAAGATGAGGTGGTCTGTATTTACTTTTCATGAGGCTTCTAGCTGTTGAGATTGATTTATAGAAAATTCTTTCTCACCAAACACGGGAAGGAAGATTCGCAATTGTAAGGAACACGAAACCGGAGAGATGAAGCGGATGTTTGCAACGGAAAGATGATCGTAACAAAGCGACATACGAATATAATGAGTCTATTGCCAGCATTAGCTTAGTTACCGTACGGAAAATTTTATCAATATTCAGGAAGCTTGTATTACACAAATAATGCTTCGATAATGCTTCGATAATGCGATCAAGAAATGAGATTGGCCGATCATCTGTTTGTACCCTGAGCGTTATGGGATTGCAGTATGGGATTGTATGGTGGGATCAGCACCGATGTTTCCATATAAATCTGAGGACATCGTCGCCTCGCGTTAATTTTCTTTCACCCTTCCACACAACTTCACCCTTCACACTCTTACTCATACCCGAATCCCTTCAACCACTTCTTATATTCACCACCATGCCTTTACAAAGACATCAAACCCAAGCCAACGTTCTCGCCCCCCGACCTCCCCCTCTCCGACAACGTAATCCAATTCCCAAACGCCGCCCTGATCCACCCACAACACCAGTCAAAGATGAAAAACAACCAAAGAAGGCATTTGAACCCGTCGAGCTTCATCCTAAGAAGTTAAATCGACTTTGCTTGACACTTTTAATGAATGATCTTTCTCTCACTTCTACTCGAACACACACATACCGCCCATCTATCAAAGGTCGTATCATCATTCTCAAAGACCTCTCCAAGATTCCTCAACCAATTCCTGAGTCTGCTCGAAAAGTTTAAAACCTTTAAGATGTGAGTGTGATATTTTCCATTTTTTCTTATATACTTACTGATATCACTTGTTCTTTGTTTGTCTCGGTCGCGATCTCACAGTGAACCTCTGGATATGCTACTTTGATCGATGCCTATGAATATCAAACATTTATGGAGCTGATCAAATTGATCCTTTTTTCAAGTTCTCCAAAAAATTATTCATCTTTATATTAGACTTTATAGCTATTTAATTTTCTTAAACTTAACCCGATGATGTTCAACAATAAATCTTTAACTGAGGGTCTCACTTTTTTAAAGTCAACCCAATGATGTTAAATAACAAATCTTACTGAGGGTATTATAACTGCATGTTTCATTTTATTATACATTGATGTTTTCTCGTCCTTCTTCACCAATTTCTCAACTCGTAAAATACCATAATGTCGTCAAAACTCTAGACCAATAAATCAAATCTCATTTTTTAACGTATTGTAATAATTTCCATTGCTATCCGATTCAAAAGCCAAACGAGCAGAAAAGAAATATATGAACAAAGCCACAAGCGGCAAAACTACTGTGATATAATTAGCTTACCCCTCTTGACATAGGATTTGCTATACCCTGATGTATTTTGTCTGATCTGTTCTCTCTTTTCTTTTGTGTTGTCCTTTCCACGCTCGCTTTTCTATTACTTGTGCGCTTCTCAAAATGTACAATCTTCTCATTACCTCGACAAATTTGCACTGGATTTATCCAACATCAGTCTTCATTCCAGCAAAAAAAACTGACCTCTTGTAAACGACCCAACTCAATCAGTGCTTTTTTGGTCAAACTCAATTGCCAGACTTGAACAGCAAACACAGTACCAGCCTTTTATCCGCCTTTTGTTTGTAGGCGGAGTAACTCATAGTGTGTGTTCTCTAGTAACACTCTTTTGCCACCATTACACAGGCAGATCATCATGACACAGTTGATTACAATTATGATACAGAAAGGGGTCGGTGAATTTTACGCACAACGTTTTACGCACTTTTTTGATCGTAAAAGACGAAGTGCGTAAAGTTGCGTCTTCCGGTGAGAAAAGTGCAACTTTACGCTCAAAAAAGTTTTTCGCTTCGTCGTAAAGCATACATTGTAAAAAAAAAGATCGTAAAATTGTCCTTTGATACCCTCAAATCTTTACTTTTACGCACAATATTTTACGCGTAATCGTATAGCGCAAAATATGACGTCGCAAAGTTGCATAATCCAATCGCAAATGTGCTACTTTACGCCACCAAACCATCATTTTGCGCTGAACAAGTCACTAACACACAGGGCCCAAAATCAAATTTAAAATCCCACAAACATCCAGTGGCTATAGGCCTTTTGTTCATGTTCAACTACTCACAAGATCCTTGTGCAATATACATTAGAAAATTGTGACTTCAACCGCTTTGTTCAAGACTCGCTGTTGATTGCACCTGTTTACCTGAAGAACAGGAACGTGTAGGAGATGGCTTTGAATGGAGTTCTTTTCAACTTATTAAGAGCTATAAACAAAGGGTAATTAAACTGAGCATTGCTATCGATTGATTGCTGATAAGTATAAGATTGAAACAAAAGAAAAAATCGACTGAAATACAAAAAGTGATTCAATGAGAGTAAGGATGAAAAAATATCAGGAAAAGACAGGCTATCCAATTGCTCTTCCTGATCGTGTCCGGCGTGAGGAGGTTTCAACCTGACTTTGAACGTGCTGATTGTCTTTGGGCAGTAAATCATTAGATTCTGGCCGTTCTTCAACCCACACCCAGCCCTTATGAGATCTCTTCGAGTCTCCACATTGTGCCTCATCCACAGTGTTGGATTCCTGTGTTTTACACGTCTTGATGGATTTTACTTGTTGTTTGACTTTTGCTGTGGCGGACGCAGTGGCATCGGCAACTAGTTGTGAATATGCAGGCTTCATGTCATCCACCAGCTTGACTCGTTTTGCTTGGGACAGAGGACACAAAGAGTTAGACCACATGGCTAAAACACCGACAAAACAAGACTTACCAGATTTCCCCTCTTCTGATGAATCATCTTCAACATGATCTATTGCTTTTTTCTTGCGCTTGCCCCCATTTTCGAGCAAGAATTTATCTGCTACAGAAGAGAACAACAAGCGCTTTCAGTGAAAACTCGACAGATTTGGTTATTGGCAGATATACACTTACAAGATGAAGAGTCTTTTGCATGGGAATGGTTGTGATGATCAGTTAGCTTGGCTCCGCCTTTAGACTTTGAATTGTCTTTTCTTATCTTTTCGTTTGATTCATTGACAATTGCTTGCTCGCTCTTGCTATACGTTTGAGAATACATCAACCAGCTTGTGCTTGGTGATGGTCCAGCAATACTGCTACAATCACTACTTAGCATCCGAGCGATCCCCTTATTGAGTGTATCATCATTCAACCATACTCCATACACTCCGCCAAGTGTTCGAACTACCTTGCACCAGTAATGCTTGTTACCCCAGTACCCGCGTGCCTTCAAAGTGTACTCATTACCTCCCAATTTCATCGTTGCTGGCCAGTTTGAATCGCACATAAAACTATCATATGGAAGATTCTGACTGAGAAGTGGTGTAATGTCCTGATGGATGTAGAGGTGAAGTGGAGGTGAAGTGAGGTTGTATTGAACTAGTTGATAGCAGAACGGAGGTATTGCTTTTGGGATTGCGGTGGCAGTCTTTAATGTTGATTTTTTCTTTTCCAGGATCAATTTTGCTTTTTTATCATCATCCATACATGGTTTACAATGATAATTTGATTGGGAGTAAACACCCACTGAACATAGCTTTTGAACAAGCTCGGGTCCTTGTCCATATTCAAGATCAGCAGCTTCAAAGTCTTCTGGCCGAAGGTTTAATCCAATTAATTTACGAATCTTGATCTTATTGTTACGGTCATCCGATTCATGATCTTCGGCACACTTGCGAGAGCAGGTGTAGCGACACTTGCGTTGAACCTGAAATATTGTTTGAACAGCCTTAGAAGAGTTCTTTCTTGGGTCAAACAAACCTTCCAAGAAAAGCTCGGCTGATGAAAAAGTGTCCGGTTTAAAGCTGCCTCTGTAGGCATCTTCTATTGCTTCATGAAGGTTATCCTGTCCCTTGCTGAGGATACTGACAATATCCCCTAAGTGGTTCATGTCAAATGATGTACGTGCTGAAAAATGTCACATCATCTTTGTGAAAATGTCACCTGATTTTCCTCTACTACCACGGTACCATAGAGGGTTGTGAATGGCATAGAGACACTCTAGCATCGAGTCTTCCCAGCACCGAAATTGTCTACCAGTAATTGATGATGCAATATATCCTTGATATGTGGTGATTGGGTTCCTGTCAACGTTCCGTGAACCCTTTGGCCGTCCTAACACTACACCAAATGTAATCTTTACCGGGCGGTAAAGAAAACTACTGACATAGAAAAGTCCTGAGGAAACAGGAAGAGAGCTAAAAATCTGAAAAAATATGCACCTTGTTCCTAGATCTTGGGGCGTCATGATGAGTATTTTTTTGTATTTTACACACAGATATTGGTTTATGTACTAACAATAAACGCTGAAAATCATCAAAAACTCACATGTAACAATACCTGAAATTTGGGTCATGAGTATGAAGGCAATATTTTGTGGTCTAAAAACTTCAATAACTTTTGCAATTCTGCTCCAAATAACTCGATTTCTGGTTCATTCAAAAGCTGAACTATTCTCCTTCACACTTCATAATGCTAGTAAGGTGCTATCTAGTCATTTAAACACTCTACATATGTTCAAACAGTTCTGCATGAATAGCTCTGTAGGAACTTTTCTAGACCAGCTACAGATGTGATGTCTCAATGAAAAATGTAGAGGAAAAGCTCACCTTTTTAATGCACTTCAAATCGAGTGATTTGATTCAGAACCGCAAAAGTTATTGATGTTTGAAGATTCCAAAATCCTGTCTTCAAAGTCAAGGGCCAAATTTCAGGTATTGTTACAGGTGGGTTTTTGATGATTCTCAGCCTTTATTGTTAGTACATTAACCAATATTGGTGTGTAAAATACAAAAAAATACTCATCATGACGCCCCAACATCTAGGAACAAGGTGCATATTTTTTCAGATTTTTAGCTCTCTTCCTGTTGCCTCAGGACTTTTCTATGTCAGTAGTTTTCTTTACCGCCCGGTAAAGATGACATTTTGTGTAGTGTAATTTCTTGCTTTTGAGACCAAGTGCCTCAGTGGTGTCCGGTGGCCGGCCATCATTTGGGACTGCACGCTGTTTTTGATGTTTTTGAGTCCAACCTAGAGATTCAGCAACTGTCTTGTAGTGCCTAGAGAGCGATCCATATTCCACTGTGATTCCACGCATAACATCTTCATGATCCCGCTCCAGTGTCTTGACAAGAGCATAGAGCTGGACCATTCCAATCTGTATGGAGCATTTTGTCTCACTACATAGATGGTGCCAGTAAGTTCAGACACACTTTCAATAAGTCTTCCAATTAATCACGTAGAGTTGTAGCTGACATACCTTATCATGTAGATCACACGGTGCATACTCTCTTGTGCATTTGTGGTTTCTGGCAGTTCATCCTCACTAAGGTCAAAATCATCCATTTGGGGCTGCCGCGAACAGAATAGCATTGCTTTTATATCGGAGGTCTGCCACCAATCAATCCAATTCTTTGCCTTAGGGAAAGTCCTTCGTAATTCATCAAGTTTCTTGTCGTGGGTTTTGCTATTACTTTTTTTGAGTAGATCTAGTGCCAATCCTTCAAATACATCCTGTGTTATCCAATGAAGGATAGTAATCAAAATATGTACTCAAACCAACCTGAGAAATCATGAACATAACATGAAGAAGAGTAAGTATAACATACCTCTTGACCTCCTGTGACCGAAGTTGCGCTTAAGCCGAGTGACAGATGCTCTGTAATGTTCTTGGCATCCATTGAGCCTTGATAGTGCTCGGTCTCTATCATATTCTTCAAAGACATCCATATAAGCTTGTATGAAACCATTTTTCTGAGCAGCAGAGAAATCAACCACAGTCCGAATAAGGGAGTCCCGCTGAGGTGGAGTGATAGGAGCGTCTTTCACCATTTTCATCAATTGTACAAAGTGTGCATGATAGTGTGCTTCGGATAAACCAGAGAGCCAAGTGAATAGAACTGGAATCCACCGGCAGAGGTCATTGTCATACATTGTTGTAGAGCATAGGTAGCCTGTTGCAAATAGCTTGTATGTCACATCCGTAAGAAGACCACCACTGTAAGCGCGTCCATCATCATCAATAGTAAGCAGTCGCTCTTTCATCCACTTTGTCTGGAAAGAAATATGTGCATTAGCGGGCGTCATGGTGATATAAATGATATCTAAACCACGCCTAAGAAACATCAGCGTTAGTATCATTTAATGACCGAAGATGAGAGTCTAGAAGATGTAGATCTCAATATGGACTTACTTTGCCCAACTCAACATATCAATCACAAATTCGTCTTGAACACCTTTACCCTTCTTGTCTGATATTATCCCAGCGTCTTTCAGAACCGAGCGACGTTCAGAAGCGATTCTTGAGCGGTTTCGATATGCTACGTGAATGGTGGAGACACTTTTGATAGGCTTTTTTCCGGCCAGTGCTTGCCCTGTCTATGCATTCCAGAACAAATTGCAAGTTGATATCAGATCAAAATATATAAGAAGAACAGTTTCACCAACTTTTAATTGCATTGGCTTAGACTTGCTATTATTTTTGACAACAGTTGCGAACTCCTCTTTTGAAATTTTGTCTGCCTTTGTACGAACTGGCCATGGGTGGTCATGAGTCCCGATGTGGCGAAGAAGTCCCCACTGAGTCTCTACACATTCATCTAGTCGGCAGAAAGTATCTTTGCATGCAACATGGATGACAATCCCTGGGCAGCGAGGGACCTTGCATGGTTTCTGCCTATGTTTCAGATGAAGAAAGAGAAGTCAGGAGATTTCAATTTCTAGATAGTCCGGAAATAACTAAAGAAGGTACTTACTGTTGCACAAGTTTAGAAATTTTTGTGCGACCAGTGGGAGGTGAGCCCCGGTATTTACAGCTTTCATTTGTACATTTGAGCACCCCTAAACACTTATATCTGGTGGTTTTCCACCGTCCTTTGACATCTCCTCCTGACATAGTGTAGGTGTAACCAAACGTTCCCCAATTAGTGATCGATTCGGTGTCCTTCGTGACATAGGTAGTACTTCCATTGATGAAGAGAGGGTAAGACTGTGCATCCATGATTGTACCATGATCAATGAATGTTTTGAACATATCCGGGTTATGTGGTGTAGTGAATTTCTTGCGACGTTCCTTGAGCCGAGCTTGCAACTTCTTGCTCTTAATCTTAAACTGCTTGATATGTTGAGCATTTGAAGTTTCTTTCTTAGGCGCAGTTGAAATAGAATGAGTCTTTGAGCTTGTTTTCAAAAGTGATTTGTCCTTCTTCTTTCTCATTAGTTCTGGAGAAGATGTTGGTTTTTTACTGATTGAAGAGGTCTGAGATTGTGAAAGGGAAATTTTGGAAGCACTGTCGCCCGTTGACTGAGCTTGGTCTAAATCATCCGCGTCAGCCTCCTCCACATCTTCAAAATCAGAATTGTCCTCTGGCTCAATGAGAATAGCACGTGTCTTTTCATCTTCACTTTCGCTTGTATGAGTCTCGCTGGTATTGGTATCGCTTGAATCAGCCTGATGGAAGTCTTCCTCGCTATCATACCGATGATCATGGTCTTTCAAACGGGCAAGTGTCGATTTCTTTTGCTTCATAGCTTGTAGGTCAGAAAAAACGAAGAAAATACTGAAGGATTGGAAAGGCAGTAATTCTTGGTCGAATCAAAGATCCTACTGGTTGTTGATTTGCGGTGTTCCTTTTGGGGAGACCCTGGATCTTGTTCACTCGCGAGTCACACTTACGTATCTTCGATAATCGAGCCAGTCATACGTTTCACCTTCATGAGTATGACTGGCTAAATTTGTGAGGCCCCTTGCGTCCTTTTGAAAAAAACAACGCAAGGGGGTAGAAGTATCATGACTCCCAATGCTCACACAATTCGCGGTGATGCTTCTACTTCTTGGTTGAGGGTAAATCATCTATTGGTTATGAGATCCAATATGACATCCCATATGGTGACTTGTTCAGCGCAAAATGATGGTTTGGTGGCGTAAAGTAGCACATTTGCAATTGGATTATGCAACTTTGCGATGTCATATTTTGCGCTATACGATTACGCGTAAAATATTGTGCGTAAAAGTAAAGATTTGAGGGTATCAAAGGACAATTTTACAATGAATGCTTTACAGCGAAGCGAAAAACTTTTTTGAGCGTAAAGTTGCACTTTTCTCAACACGAGACGCAACTTTACGCACTTTGTTCTTTACGATCAAAAAAGTGCGTAAAACATTGCGCGTAAAATTCTACTGACCCATACAGAAATGACAAAAATCTAGAAGTACAACATGCAACTGAATCTTGACATCCAAAAAATGGTTCGTTGATACATCAATGATTGTGTAGGTAGCAGCATTACACTTCCCCTCTCTGACTGATTATCTACGTAGAAGACTTCTTTCTTCGCATCTACTCTTTTCCTTTTCCTTTTTTCAAAACCTTCAAGGAGCGTCTCGAGGAAGTTCACTAAGATGTAATTCAGTTTCAATCCTTGGATTCGTTAAAGATGAAGAATCTTCTTTGTATCAATTTTCGCTTTGCGCAACTTGTCGGTGTCTGAAGCATTGTCAAAAAATAAGTAAGATTCAGTCCAACTCTTATGATCAATATGATAGAATCTTACATTTCTTGATGCCATCAATCGACTTAATCATACCGACTGCAAAGCTCTCTGCACTATCAACTGCAGCTAAAGCGTCCTTTTTGTTGAACTCCTGATACGTTTTACTATTTAAAATATGACGTTAATCATACCGTCAGCGAATTTCTCAACATCATCACATTCAATGTGGTCAGACAAATGCCTTGAAAGAGAATCACGCGGTCGAAGCAGATCACTTACTCCAACATTGTAAAGGCCTTGACGATGGATTTGGGACTCACGCCAACAAAAGGTAATGCAACTGACATTATTTGACCCCGCGAATAATTCAGTGTGACCAGTTGACAATACCCTTTCATGGCCACATCAAGCACCGTTTTGGGAACGTTTTTGTCCTTCTTCATATCCTTCAACTCTTTCAAATCGACATATATAGCTTCGAGGGTTTTTACAAATCGTAAGATTTCTTTGTCAAACGCTATTGGCTTTAGAGTGTCGCATGCCGAAGAGAGGCTAGCCAGTGAGAGTAGGACGACTACTAAGATGAGGTAATGTGGTCGAAAAGCAAGCATTCTGATGGAATTTATCTAGTTCACGGGAAGGTTTTAAAAACTTTATAGCTTTCTACCGTGATGGGTGGAATTGAGACAACTAGTAACATGGAAACTAGTGATGAAGCGTGTACAGTATCAATTTGCTAGGATTCGAAATGTGTTATTTATGTAAACAAGAGTGTGTGGCTGGATAGGGAGGAGATAAGCTCATGGACATGTGGAGGGTATTTATGGAATGAAAGTTGAGCGAAAGAAAAACCATCAAAGATAATTAGCGGTAGTCAACCAATGAAAGTTTACTTCGTTCAATCCTTTGACCTCCAGAGACCTTGTCTATCGATCTTGACTCCTTGGATTACCTGATGATAATGACGTACTTCGAGGACGGTTCAATCCATCTCTCATCAATCCTAATCGTCCAGAGTTCTACTTCTGAGACCACTCTTAAAACGTAACCCTTACCAAGTTCATCGATCATACTGATTTCAGTGAACATTGGTATCGAGCAACTCTTCGGAAACGATATAGCCTACCGGGACAGAGGGATACGACCTGAAACGGAGACGAGCGGATTGACTCATATACCGAACCCAGGCTGAATGGATCGATTCACCCTGAAAAGGTAGGTAGGACTTGGAACTCTACAGGCTCCATCGACGTGGCTATCACCCCACCATACGAGAACTAAGAGGATGATAGGACAGTGTCAGATGTAGTCGAATCACTCGCGAATGTCACCTTCGAGTGATCAATCCGGTGAGCTTTCTGGGTTGCTCGCTCTTCACTGTATCGTCATTCGTATTGTCGGCTTCCTCTGAGATGGTTCATTCTTTCAGACTAAAATCTAGCAAACAGAGTCAAATACATGCACACATTCAAGGCTATCGAGCTGCCAGTGATGACCTAATATCGGCACTTTGTTGCCGAACAGAGCTCGTGTGATAGTATCGTTTCAACTACATATACCTCACATGAAGAAGAAGAAGCTGATAAAGGCTTCGTGAAAATCAGCCGAGAGAGAGGCAAGCTTGATCCGTTGCTAGAAGTTATCATAATTCAGCGGTCAGACTGTTGGTAAGGATCGCACATTCGAACTTCAATATGAAAACTCCGCTGCTTATCACCCATCTTGTTGACAAAACAAATCCATAGATCGTCAGATCGATGTACTACTAATGCGAGGTGGTGTGGCACTGAGAAAGTTTGTCAAAGCGGCGAATGATTCCTTCCGACTAATTTTATCCCGAGATTCTATGTAGGACCGGTGGCGATGGAATCCTTGATAAAACGTTCACATTCCTCTCACTTTCAAAATTGTGAGAATCTTATAACACCGAAGTGGGAGTAGCCCTTCTGACTCTAATTATCATCTACCTTTTCTCTTTGATCATATCTCGCCGACGTTTTTTTATTCAACACTGACATTATATATATTTCATCCAAAACCTTTCAACTCGTTTGATCTAAGTTTTATGTCACTTTGAACCCTCAATCTTTTCTTCGATAAGCGTCATTTTATATATCAAAACACCAAGCCTTATTTGGATTGAGTTTCTCCGCACACTGAGACTTACAGACAAACACGCAGGTATGCATGATGAGTGTTGACCATTCAGGAATCATCTCTTCCATATGATCCAAGCTGATGCCGTACAAACAGTTCATTGACGTTCTTCAGTCCAAGCATTATTTATTGTTATTTAAACTCGCTTCACCGCCATGGAAACTTTAAAATGCCCCGAACGAAAACTTTATCAAACTCGAGGCTTCTCATTTCGTACTGGGATTTTGATCACTTTGATCATCTTGGACCTATCAACATCACTTCTATGTGAACCAATGCCGCCCGGGGCCCCACTGCCAGGTCAACTACCACAACCTCCTAATCAAAAAAGACGTGAGCTTTTGGACACGAAAATCTTCAAGACGATTTTAAAGAGGTCTAACGTTGATTAGATTTCTTTGAAAAACAATCTCAGCACCCTTGGGTTTCACTTCATCTCAATATTGTCAATGGAACGATTATGGATTGAAACCTCAAGTAGATGTGTTAGAAAGAACTGGGCTCAAAGACCTAGGCTTCAAAACCTTTGTCATAGCTTGTGAATGGAACAAGGGAATGGATCCAGAAGGAAAACTAATCGTGAGTCTAGAGGAAAGCACATTCATCAATATATACTGATTTGTAATTGTCTCCGTTTTTTTCGTATACAAAATATAATAGGTTGATGATAAACAATTTGAAGGTGGACTTACTGGCTTTGGTAGATTCTTACAAGATAAGCAAATGAAATTCGGTCTAAGGATAGATTCAGTGTAGGTAATCAACTTGATGATAAATAAAACAAATAGAGCTCAAATGTTGTATTGATATCAATTGTACTTCCGTGTGTTCATAAACTTGCGACTATCTAGGACTGCAGGATGCCCATGGCCACCTAAGAAGAAGAAAAAAGTTTTGGGAATTTTTCGTAGATCAGATGAAAACGAGAAATTAGGATTGAATAGTAAACAACTTCAAAAAAGGAAAGGAGATTATCCACCACTTGATCCAAGTAGAGTTGAGAATCAATTTCAACAAATCGCTTCCTGGGGTGTCACTCATCTTGAGTACAGACCGTAAGAACAGATCAAAAGTCATACCTAAATATCCATTAAAGTAGAACCATAATTCTGATCACTTTGGTCTTTTCTGTTAGTTGTCTCTTTGTCACAGCGGGGGCGATACAAAACCCAGATCTCTCAAAGGTCACGAATGTGAGCCTCAATTTTATCAAGAGAACTAATGAAGTCATCACTAAATTCTTTTACACCTATACCAAAAAAATAGGATCCATACATTCAAATGAAACAGTCGATTCAAAGATCTCAAAAAGACATCTTTCTTGCGTAAGTCATGATTTTTCGGCCCAAAAAGACAAAAACTCCTTCAAAATCTAATACTGACGATTCAAATGATCAAAAAACTCAATCTCAATGTTCTTCAGTACTGGTCAATGGGGTGTTACAGATGAAACAAGATTAGAAACAGCAGATACTTGGAGAGTCAATAATCCAGCAAAAGAAGATTGGCAAAAAATGTAAGTTGAAAGAGAATTTCACATGATATCGACACAAAAAAGAAGTTCATTGACTTTAACTGATTTAATTTTGACCTTTTTTTATGATCTGCAATCCAGTCGACAAACTATCAATGCAATGGTAGCTTTATCACATAAATCCGCTCCAGGTCATTTCAATGATTTAGATGCAATAGATTGGAATCATCGCGATCTAAGTCCGATGGAACAGGCTACACAAGTGATATTTTGGGCTGCCACAAAGTAATTATGCCAATGTCCAAATTCTTTCAACATAGAAGTCTAATGCACATGTTCTTGTAATAAGATCTCCTTTATTACTTACTGGTGATTTGAATCAGGACAACCCATCAATCCTGGGTTTCTTGAAAAATAAAGCTCTCATAGATATCAATGTAAGTTTCCTCCAATCCTCCTTTCAAAACTCTCCATAGGAACACATAAATTTTTAGATTTTTGAATTTTAATCCTTCCTGATTTCATTTTTTGTGTAAATGTTTATTTAGCAAGATGCACTTGGAAAAAGTATCACTTTTAGACGTCGTTATACCAATGACAACGATGTTTGGGCTGGAGAACTAAGTGACGGAAGCATGGTCGCAAGTAAGTTCCAAATTTCCATGAAGAATTCACAAAACCAAACCCAAAGGGGTGCTTACATGTATTTATACTTACATATATTTATGATATCAATTTAACCAAAACTTACCTTTGACTTCTTCCAATTCTTAAAATCTCCATCAACAGTGTTGATCAACTGGAAAGATGAAGAAAGAGAATTAACATTATCTCTGGCTGATGTTGAGTTGACTTCAGCAAATGGGTTTGATGTGATTTCAGGAAAGGATTTAGGCCCATCCAACACAACGTAAGAGACCAGTTTGAAAACATTTCTTTGAATTTCAGCAAGAACTATGTAATACAAACATTTTTCGTTTTTTGTCAGTTTCTCATCACATGTTGGACGTCATGCAAGTCTCTTAATAAAATTATATAACCCAGTCAAAGCAAAACCAAGGGAATGGGTAAGTATTCCAGTAACACAACAACCAACTTGTCGTCCATTAGGCAAAGCAGTCTTAAGACCAGTCACCGACAAATTGCAAGCCATGACATATTTAGAGCCAGATGGAGTAGGTGCAGTACAATTTGTGAACTTGGAAGGAGGTGATAAAGGTGGTAGACTTTTAGTTGCAATTGATTATATTAACTCTAAATTAGATGATTTCTCTCCAAGTTGGTGTCCAAATTGTCTGATTGCTAAAATCAAAGTCAATGATGCTCCTGAAGTTGAAATTGAATTTCCTATCACTGGATTGGTTAGTAATTCTTGACTCTGTATGAATGAAATCTTTTGAACAAGTTAAGCTAATTTCTCTATTTTATCTCTAGACAAACAATATACCCATGTCATATTTAGTAGAGTTAGATGGTTTTAAAGTAAGTTTCTCCTTCAAATCTTTCTCTCAAAACAGACACATCTAAATTCTCAAAATCTGACATAATTTCTCTTTTTTCATTTAAGCCTGGAAGTGATAATACACTTACATACACAGGTGCACACAAGCAGGCTGCTCCTGATATAACTCAAGTATCTTTTTTCTCAGCTTCTGCCCCATCTGGGTATCAGTAGTTTGATTGTATATAGTTTGATGTTTCTCTGCTTATCTTAACCATCTTTCAAGAGCATATACTTTATGACCTGGACATTCATTTTTTTGTTTTGTTTCAATCTTTAAATTTGATTTCCCTACAAATTTATGTTTATTTATTTACAGATAAAAACAAGAAAAATTACATGTCTTCAGCTTCTTAGACAAATATTAATCAGTTTGAGAGTGGATTGCCTAAGAATCTTACTGATGCCACTCATTCATAAGGTATGCCATAGCAGGTGTATTCCAGTCTGAAACAATGGAGAGATTTATCCAAAAGGACTGGATGTCTGTTTGGAAGTCTTGCTATATGCCTATCTAGCAGATGAGTTAATTGAGTTTCCATGATTTGAGTTTTGATTGTGTCTTGAAGCATATTAAGATTCACGGAATGATGTTGTGTGAGAGGATCTGCCTGGCCTATTCTATGATGATTGGTGGCTGTTCCTTGGACAGCTTGGAAGTGACCACACTGGTGTAAGCCAACCATCTCTTTTACCACCATAAACATATCAGTTACCCCACTGTGGACTGCACCATGAATACAGATGCCATCTGATAAGATATGAGCTCACATGCTCTCATGTCTGCTTGTCATACAGAGTTGATGAAACATGCCTGATCCTGGCCAGCTTAGCATGTTGATCCAGAGTTCTATGTAATCACAGAAGAAGGTTGAATCAAGGGATCATGTTGAATTCAAGGGAAGAATGAGTCATCACTGGAGAACGGGTTTTGAACTTCACTGAGATAATTCATGTGTCACAGAATCCTTACTACATTGTTGCTTGAAGAAAACAGATTGAGTGTTTCTCAATTGAAGTGGAAAAAACATTATCAAGAAAATACTTCATGTTGACATTGGTCATGCAGTGATGGATTGAGATTTAAAGGTTGGAGTAAGCATGAACAATGGGGTTCTTAAGTTTTATGATTGATCACAAATCCTGGGGATCTTCAAGCACTCAATTATAAAGAATTAATCAAATTGCACAAGGGCTAAGCTTAACCAAGCCCCTCTTCTAATGTGGGCATGTCCATTCTTGAAGAGGTGCTTAGGGCCAATACCTCAACCTGGCCTGAGACCAGCAGGATTTTCAAGCACTTCTGCTTGAAATCCCTTTGAGAGCTCTGAATATCATGAAACCTTGCAATAAATTTTGCAGAGCTTTTTCAAGCTCTTTTGATTCTCCTCATACTATTTATAGCCTCTCACCACTTCTAGATCATGAGGAAATTTTATTTTATTGAATTATCATCACAATAGTTAACATCCACTCAAGGCCGTAGCAACTATTCCGCATTGGTCATAGTATCCAACGTCTCCTTATTTCTCTCTTTACCATTCTCATATGTTTTATCTTTGTCCCAAAGCGGCGCATGAGAAGCGCAAACCTGATGAAAGATTGTTAACCTATGTATCGCGAAGTTATCACTATATAAAGACCAATTGTTTGCGTGTTATTGTATTTTCTTCACTCAAACATTATTGTGTCTCTACGTTGCTACCTTCCGACAGGTGCATACCTTTCATTTCCATCACTCTTAGTGATATCTAGCCATAGCGCTTTCCCTAAATCACTAATACGTGATTCCTTATCAGGTTCGCTAGTAGCTCTTTCTCTGTTTCTTTTCTTTCTCAACTTATGCTTGCTGCTTAATAGTAATTAATACTCAAACATTATTGTGTCTCTACGTTGCTACCTTCCGACAGGTGCATACCTTTCATTTCCATCACTCTTAGTGATATCTAGCCATAGCGCTTTCCCTAAATCACTAATACGTGATTCCTTATCAGTCACGATCTCATTCCTATCTCATTATATTTCAGTATCAAGTGATTTTGACAGGTTCAACGCGCATGTAGGCCCGTATTCTGAGTATAACCCAGATTTACAAGAACTCAACAGCTTAAAGTCATCACTTTACTCAAGTAAAGTGGTGCTAAAAGTGGCACAATTTGTGAGTCTGCACAATGTTACAGCCCTCCAAAAAGGACTTCAAGCAAAATTGCTGAACATCCTGCTGGTCTCAGGTCAAAGTCGGGGTATAAGCCCTAAGCCCCTGTTCGAGAGCGGACGTGGCAGCTTCAAAAGGGGGGCTCAGTCAAGCTTACATGAGGCCTCATGAGGGAATTCTTATGTGGAAATATCCCTGGGACTCAAAATCGATGTTGCACAATCATATCATTGTCGCATCCAAGTATATACAAACATTCCAGAGAATCGGGAGCTTCTTGGAATCCGAGAGCCCACACTATGAGTCAAGAGGATTGCACAGTACCAGACACTGGACAATACCGCAATGAGCAGTTTTTGTCAGTCGACAAAGCACAGATTTCACAACCCCAATTTTGAAGTTGTCCCTCCGACACCCAGGGATTGCCCACACTGAATGAAACATAATTTTTTGTCTCAATCTTCAACAATTGAAATTTGAGGACAATCATCCAGAATCGATATTTTTCCCTCGATGCCTTTCTGGGGTTTGCCTACGTGCGACGATCTTTTCTTCGTGTTGGTGAGGCAAATGCTTTGGTTTTCAGGAAAAGACATTCAATGAGTTTAAAGCCAAAAAATTAAAATTGCAATCGATTCATAAGCTAAGATTATACAAAACCTCGCACCCAAACCATTCCTCTCGATTCTATACAAGATCCAAACCAACCCCTAACCATACAATTGACCCAAACCCGAGCGATCTAAACAGCAATTGTAAAAAAAAGATACCAATCTTTCCAATCAAATCTTAATCCCATTTAATCTTGCCTTGATTCCATCTATCAACAATGATTGATCTTTTATAAAACTTGATCCTTTCTTCTTTAAACTCTTTAACAAACACATCTTCTTCAATTAAACCTTCTTCAACGAATTCACTTGATAAGTTTTCAGTTAATTGATTAGATTCATGTAAAGCTGTTAATAATCTTGATCGATTTGATTGTTCTCCAAATGGCTAAGCAGAAGAAAAAATCGAATGTGTGAGTTGTTTATTAAATTGAAAACGCGATTTCGGAATCAAAATTGCTCACTAGGTACAGTTCATTTTGTTCTTTTGTTAATTCTTGGAATTGTTTCATAAGTGAATGGGTATGATCGAAAGCAAGACTAGTCTCATCCCTAACTTTGGTCAATTGATCTTTCAAAGAAAGGTTCTTCTCTACAACATCATATTCAATTAGACTAATATAAACTTGAATGAATTCTACAATAAGTTTGTTTTTTCTTTGGAAATGAAAGATTTCACTCAACTTGCAATCACTTCATTAGCTGCAATCAATCCAGATTGATTTTCAAATAAACTTTTCACTTCATTTAATAAAATAAATCTTGAATTAAAATATTCTTCATCTTTTAATAAATCTTGTAAATCTTCTTTACTATCATTCATTTCAAAAATCCCCCAAGAAATTCGTTTATTATCTCTTTCATTCATTTGATTTTCACTTTTAATTCGAATCACAAATATCTTCAGCTTACCTGAGTTTACTTATTTCAGGAAAATCTTCACTTAATTGATCATTGATTACATTCGTGTTCATTATTTGATTATTATCGTTCATCTTATCCTTAGAACCTCGTGATATTGGAAAAATCGATTGTATTTGCAATCCGATGAGATTGATATGAGTTCTTTTTCTTTTTCTTTCGTTTCTGTGTGTCTGTTTGAAGTCGTAAGATCGGATAAGGTGATGTTGAAACTTGAGAGTGGCTCATGAGCTGAGTTTGTGATCTACATATAAAGTTTACAGCTACATGCATATGTGTCGAGAGCTGACCCCGGTATGGCCCCGGTCCCAAAGACTGCATAAAAGGTAAAAGATTCAACAGGTTTCACTGTGAGATTCTCAATTCTTTGCATACCAAATAGGAAGGTCATCAGTTCACTCTCACTATTCTATTGTGCATATCTATCTTTCTTAAATATCAGTAAGAAAGATACATAACTGATCATTTACTCCAAGTTCCAGAGCTTGGGTCAACGTAGGAATAAGGTGAGTTTTCAAATCTGATGCCCATTTGTCTTTTAGTTTACAACCCACTTTCAACTAGTTTATTACTGAAATCTTTCAAAAGAAAAAACATTCACAATTTTCACAATGTACTCCAAAAGAAAAGAAAAACGACAATCCAGATTATATATGAAGTAAAATAACGAAAAAAAACTTAAAACTACAAACCAGGCCAAAGAAAAAAACCAAAAAAAAAACACTTCTTTAACTTATTTCTTTTGATTCAAATTACACAGACTGTTCAACCAAGTTTGATTTCTCTTCAATCAAAAGTTCAGAATTATCAACCGCAATACTTTTAGTACAATTCTTAGTTTTATCTAAACCCCCCCCCCCCCCCCGACGAAAAGAAAATATCAAAAGAAATGAAACCAAAGATTAATCCAAAATTCAACAAATCAAGTTAAAAAGTCAAGAAATCCACTTACAAATTCCTACTAATCTTCTAGATAATTCAAACATATTATTCCTTAAAGAAATTATAATGAATTGAGCATTTTTCGTCTAAAAATCATTGATTTAAATCAATTCAATTAACGTTCATATTCACAAATCCTCGCAAGTTGGATAGCTCGTAGTTGGAAAAAAAATCACTAACTCGATCTTTAATATAATTTCCAATAATCGATACATTCCTAAAATCCAAAGCCTGTAGAAAACACCCAAGTTATGAATTAAAATCTTGATAATCCAAAATGAATAAAAAAGGAAAAAAACTTACTGCATCAATTTCATCCATAAAATATAAAGGAGTAGGTTTGAAAGCATGCAGAGCAAACACAAGTGCTAAAGAACTCAAAGTCTAATAAAAAAAACAAAAAAAGAACCATCAATTAATCGTTTCAATCATTTTTATTATAAATCTTTCAATTTTCGGTTTTACCTTTTCTCCACCACTTAAATTTGAGATATTCTTCCATGATTTCTTAGGTGGCATCACACTAAAAATGATACCTTCACTAAACGGATCCAAACTATCGACTAATTCTAATTCAGCATTCCCACCTAAAGTAATCATCTAACCAAAAAAACCAAAAAAAGAAATCAGAAATCAGAACTTTCTCTCTCTCTCAAACCAAAAAAAAAACTCAAAGCAATTTTTTTTATCAAAGAACTTTCTCTAACCTGATACATTTCTTTTAATTTCCCACTAATAATTTGAAATCCCCACATAAATTCTTCTAATCTTTGTGAATTTAAATCATCTAAAAGTTGTTTACATTCATCTCTTTGATTGGTTGTGATTTCTAAATCATTAGCTCTAGCCATAAATTCCGCTTCTCTTTTAGCATATTCTTCCAGGACTCCTAAATCTGCTGGTGCTCTTTCTTGATCCTCTGTTCAACCAAATCACAAAGAAAACAAGTTAATTCAAGTCATTCCAATTCAGAGGTTTATGACTGATGACGTACCTTCTAGTTTTGCCACTTCTGCTTTGGTCATTTCTGCATCGAATTTCTCAAATTCACTTTCATCATAAACTTTTAATACCTCATCGTCTTCTTTTCCTTCCTTTTCATCATCATCATCATCACTTTCCAAAAAATAAATATGTCAACTCAATTCAGTTTTTCATTTTCAAAATCAGATCTTGAATTAGAACTCACTAATGATCAATTGCAATCAATTTCAAGCTGGCTTGTTTCTTACGCCAATGTTCCAAGGTATGTTTCTCTTTAGCTAATTGAATCTCAGCTTTCTCCTTCAATTGTTTCAATTCAGTCTAAAGAGAAAAAATGGTCAATTCAATTCAAAATTAACAATCAAGTTCAAAAGAATCAGTTCTAGTGAAACCGAATGACTCACTTGTTGTTTTTCAAACGCATTCATAAACTTTAATTTCTCATTCCTTTTCTTTTGGATCCCAACCAATCTATCTTTCTGTTCTTCTAATGAAATCCTAGCCTGATCGACTGTATCTCTCATAGCCTCAGTTTCAGTAACCATCACCGAATTCTTTCCCTCAAGTTCTTCTAATCCAATCTCAATCAAATTCAATTCTTCGGAATTCTTTTCCAAACTTTTCGTATACTTTTCAAAATCTCGTTTCGATTTATTAATCGTCACTTCTGATTTCGTTAATCGATTAGACGTATGTTCGATGATCTCTTTTAAATCTTTGACTTTAGATTGTTGGGTTCTTAGTTTCACTCCTCCTACTTGTAAAATCTTTTCTTGTAATTCTTTGATCTCTTCTTCAATCGATTTGGTTTTGGTTTTCAATGAATCCATCTCTTTTTGATTCTTTTCAATAATCTTTTCTAAACTTTTGATCTCTTTTTCATCTTTTGCTTCTAAATTATCTTGTGACCTAAAATGTTCAAAAAACAAAAATCTCTCTTTCAGTACAAAATTAATCATTCTCTTTTGAATTCAATTGTATAACTATAAACCTTACCTAATATCTTCAATAGTTCGTCTAGCCTCTTCAAGTCGTTTGATCCCTCCACCCAAATCCATCTCTAACTTTGTAATCTTCATCTCCACATGTGGTAAGATCCCTTGTAGCCTATTCAATTCATCTTCAATCGAACTTTTAGAAGTTTGAAAATTATTTAATTTCTCTTCAGCTTTCCTTACATCCTTTTCAAACTTAGCTATTCTTTCTTCACTATATTCTTCATCTTCACCACCACCTATGATTGAAGATCCCATCAATCCTTTCGAAACTCGGCTTCCTCCTCCCGACATCGTTCCTGAACTATCAATCAATTTACCATCAAGTGTGACGACTCTCCATCGTTTTTTACCTCCAAATGCGATCCGATTAGCTTGTGTAAGATCATTAGCTACTAACGTATCCCGTAAGACATGATAGAATGCTACCCGAAAACTTTCATCCTTGGGTGTCACTAAATCAATTAACCTAGGTGCTCCTTCAGGCGTTTCAATCGGTTTAGAATCAGATGCAGAAAGAGCATTCAAACAAAGGATCACAGCTCTACCCGCATTGGTTTGTTTAAGATGAGCTAAACAACTTTGACCGGTTTCCACTGAATCACATACCAAGTTATCTAATTGAGGACAAGCGGTTGAGATGGCTATATCATACTTTTCATCTATCCTACCTAGATCTCCTAATCGTCCATGAAAGCCTCTTAATCTACCTTGTTGTTTTAATTTACTTAAACTGTTTAAAACTTGACTCTTGGATGAGTTTATTGATCTAGCCGTTTTGGCTTCATCTGCTTTTTGTCGCGCTGAGTTGAAATGATTTCGTAGTTTGGTATCTTCACTTTCAACTTTCTATTCAATTGATTCATTTAGAAAAAAATGTCTTGACTTCATTAATGGAATTGCACTGATGAAATTCGTCTTCTTATAAGAAAACTCAACTTTAAGTTCTTCCTGAGCATCACGAATCCCTTGTAAATACTCCTTCTGTTCTTGTTTCAAAACCTTTAATTCATCAGTCTAAAACCCCCACCCCCAATGAAAAAAGAAATCATCAATCGGCCATAAATTCCTCAAACAAAAAACAAACTTGAAGAATCAAACCTTAGTTTTACTCTCAGTTTCAATCTTTTTGATCGTCTCTTGAGCAGCTTCGAGTGAAGCTTTCACATCTTCCGTTTTCTTCAAAATCAAATTCCTTTCACTCGTAGCCAAATCAAGTGCAGCTTTCTTAGTCGTCACTTGTGCTGCCCATGGTGCAAGTTCGGCTTGTTTAACTTCGATTTGATCAGCAAAGACTTGAGTTTTATCTTTTGAAAAAAATAGAATTCATTTCCATTCATCAGTCATTCATCTTGAAAAATCAATTGGAGTTTTGAAATTGTGAATTAAATCATTTACCTTTTAACGAATCTCGAATATGATCAAGTTCAGCTTCTTCTTTCTCAATCAAAGCTTCCTTTGCCTCTAATTCAGCGCGTAACTTTTCGACTTCTGATTCACTGTCTCGACTAGTCGCAATTGCAGCTTTCAATGCATGTTCGTCCTGTAGTTCAAAGTTTACAATAAGTGATTATGAATAAATTCTAAAAACTCAATTGATCACCACTCACCTCAGTGATAGTTTTCTTCAACTTCTTTTGTTTTCCACGAGCATGTTTCATCTTCTCACCCAATGAAACCATTTCTCTTTCTTTCCTTTCAAGTTCTTTAACCATTCCAGTCGTCTCACTTTCCACTTCTTTATACTTCCCTTCTTCTTCTTCTAACGATTTCTCAAGTCTTTGGTTTTCCAAAATATCCACTTCATTCTTCTTAACATTCTCTTCAATCTCTTTTAAATGTTCTTCAACTGATCCTTCAATCGTTCCTACATTCTCTTTTGCACAATACACATAATATTGCCATAGTTCGTTTTGTCTTTGGATAAGTAAATTCGTTCTAGCTAAATAATCATCGGCTAATTTCTTTCTCGCTTCAAGTGCTCTCTTCTCTCTTTCTACAAGTTTCACTCTTTCTAACTTTTGAGCTCGTAATGCACCTAAAGACTCAAGCTCCGTTACTGCAGTACTGATCGGTTCTCGGAATCGATTAGTACCAATGATATCTTCTAGGTATTCTAATAAACCTTCTTCATGCTCCGTGACGGCCTTGGGTTTCATTTGTGCAATGGATTCCACTTCACCTTGGAGAATCAGGAAACGTTTGTGATCGAGATCGATTCCCTTGTCTTTCAACATAGTGGTTACCTCGGTGAAGTTCGAAAGCTGTCCACTGCGTTGAAAATTCAAACTCACCAATCAGTCAAGGACACAAAGTATCATTTGATAACTTCTTTACTGACTTTATGGTGTATTTCGATTGATTAGAGCGAGTAGCTGTACGAGCCACAACTAATGCAGAGTTCGGAACAACAGTATAATCATCTGCTCCTTCCTATTACAAGTTAACGAAAAAAATCAGGTGCATTATGCATCAAAACTCCCTTCTAGACCGTTAGTTGATCACAATTACAAACTTACCTGATCAATAATATTTCGAAACCAAACTTCAACTGAACATGATTCGAATCCACCACTGGGAGAAGCTGAAGAATTATGAATCAATTCTGAAACTGAGGATCAAAATGAATAGATTACGATGGGTTAATTTCATTGATCAATTTGCACTGTTGATAACTTCATAGGCAGTGTGAATTGCACTCAACGTTTTCCTTGTCTCATCTTAGTAGCCTTAAACCCAAAGACAAACAATAACGCGTCGATAGTGTTAGATTTGCCCGATCCGTTTGGTCCAACAATAGCAGAAAAAGACTAAACAGAAAGAAAATTCACGCTGATGAATTAGACTATTCGAATAGCTGATCAAATAGGAAGCTCAATTCACAAACTTTATGAAATGGTCCAATAACTTGTCTGCCAGCATAACTTTTAAAGTTTTTTAATACGATTTGATGAATCACCAATCTTGGTTCACCTATACGTGTAGTCGTATCCAACTTCATCTTCATAGGTGGTAATGGTGGTGGTCTGGCTATCGGAGGAGGAGGCGGTGGTGTTGCAACACGCGTTGGTGGATCTGTAGATGGATCATTGCTGACTGGTTCAGGGTCATCAGAGGTTTCTAGATTATCGGCTTTCTTGGATGAATCTTCTTCTAGAACCTCGGTCTCGTCATTTTCGCCGGTCTCATCATCTTCTTCACCTTCTTCATTTACCGTCTCATTGGGAGCAGTCTCCTTATCGCTGGGATTGTCTTGTGCCCGATTTCTGATAGTATTCTCACCGTCTTCTTCGTCCTCTTCGTTCTCAACAAGCTTAGTTTCGTCCTGATCGTCTTCTTCTTCTTCAATCTCTTTAGAAACAACCTGATCTGAAGTTTCTTCTTGATCCTCTTCCGCTTCTTCTTCTTCAATAACTTGAATTTTTTTACTTCTCGAACTTGGTCTTCCCGATTTAGATTTAGGCTTCGATTTCGATTTAGAATGATCAATAATCGGTTTAACATCTTCTTCTTCCTCTTCTTCTTCTTCTTCTTCTTCTTCCACTCTTGATGACTGTTTTTTCGATTCTGGTTCACGTGAAGTGGTTCTCCTAGAAGACCTAGGTTTTTTAATCGCTTCACTTTCTTCTAAAACACTTTGAGATCTTCTTTTTCTTGTAGATTTGATTTCGGTTTCTTGATGATCAAGTTCTTTAGTCCTTGAAGATGATGGTTTTGTAGGTTTGGACATAGGTTTCGATTTAGGTTTTGGTTTTAAGTTGATCTCTTCTTCTTCTTCATCAGCTTTAGAATTAGTTGATTTTGAAGTTGATTTTGATCTGGGTTTTGATGCTAGGATTGGTTTTGATTCTTCGTTACTAGATTTGGCGGTTCTGTTTGATCTTCTACTGTTTGATGTTGGTTTACTGGTATGTTCTTGATTTGATTTAGCCATGTCTGTGAGATTGATTGAGCTTCGAAAGAGTAAATGCTGATTTGGTTTTCAACGAAATCTCACTCGCGGTACAATCAAAACTATAAACCACGGGTTCGATTAACTGCCAACCCCGCGGGTACGGGTTCCGACATGGCCCGAGTGATAGGGTAACTTCCACTTGAATGGATTGCAAGGTCATTTCTGTTCATTCACCCAATCCAAACATGAACACCAACTTATCAATCAAACATCAACATTTCATTGACCAACACAATCGAATCAGTTTACTAAAAGGAATCTCCATTTCAGGAAACTCAAAACTACCATCAAACTCAGCAGAACTAAATTTACATGAACCCCAAGAATTCTTCAAGAACCATCGATCAGTTTCATTTATTGGAAACCCCATCAACTTAACCGATGCTTCTTTTCATCTAAACCAATTAAAAACTTTGGGATTCGAATTAATTAGACTAGTTATCTGTTGGGAATCTATCGAACATTTCGGTCCAGGTGAATATGATGAAGAGTATTTAAATTATATTGGCAAGTTAATTGAGATTTGTGAAGGATTGAATCTTTGGGTGATTATTGATTGTCATCAAGATGTTTGGAGTAGATTGACTGGTGGATCAGGGGCTCCTGGTTGGACTTTAGATTTGGTGGGATTCCAGTTGGAAAACTTGTTGGAGACTGGAGCTGTGACTTTACATCAGTTTAATCATCAGAATGGAACTTGGCCTACTGGTTATCAAAAACTAGCTGCGTGAGTCTTGATCTCATTCAACTTCAATGATCATCTGCTTCATTTTTTGATTTTTGATGTTAATATTTTAATGCTCAAAAATCTGTAGAGCTACTATGTTTACTTTATTCTTTGCTGGTCAAACGTTTGCTCCAAAGCGTACAGTAGATAGATCATTGCATTCAAAATGGTCAAAGGATAGATCAGGTGAATTGATCTCGATCGAAACTTTCTTACAAGAAAGTATGATCGAAGCTTTTGGTGAATTAGCTGATCGGCTCAGTGAATTTAAGTGTGTGATTGGTTTTGAAGTAAAGTAATCTTTATTTAATCATTGGATCACTTAATCTTCATTAAAATTCAAAGTTGATTGAAATCTTGACTTTTTTGGGGGATTTCTTTAGCCTATGAATGAACCGCATCGTGGTTATATCAATCTATATTCTCCATATCGATGGAATATAACTACTGATCGTAAGTTCTCCACCAGATCAATTCAAATGACAATTCGTATCTATCAGCTCATCTCATCACAACTCCAATCTTCTATCCGCAGTTGCTTTATACGATTGTCCAAATTTCATCGAATCCTTAGCCTTAGGAGACGGAAAACCACAAAGCATCGATTTCTATACCCCAACCTGGCCGATGCCAGCCATCAGATTAAACCGTAAAAAACTAAGTCCATCTGTAAGAGCATGGAAATCAGGCGTGGAATGTGTTTGGAAAGAACATGGGATTTGGTCTTGGAATCAAAAATCAAATCAACCCATCGTTTTAAAACCCAAATATTTTAATTTAGATCCACTGACGGGAAAAACCTATGATTTTTATCATCAAGCGTTTTTTCCTTTTATTAAAAAGTTTTCAAATCATATTCAAAGAAAATTACCTAATGTTAAGATTATGGTGGGACCTATTCCTAATGAAGTATGTAACTTTCTTCTTGACTTTTTTTGGAAAAAAAAACTTGATTGAATACTTATCTGACGTCTCTTTTGTTCTTTTTTTCTTTATTTATTTACAGTTTTATCCTGAATGGAAATTAGAAGAAAGACCTAAAAATTTAGTTCTTGCACCTCATTTCTATGATTTGTTTTCTCTTGTACATAAGTCTTTTGGTAATATCACATTGGATGTTCAAGCGATTTGTTTGGTTAGTTTTTCTTTCCTTTTGTCTTATTAAACAAAGCAGAACAACAACAACACGAGTTGTAAAGAAGTAGAAACTAAACTGGATTTTGATGTTTCTCTCTAAATGGATCTTTGAATGAGTCATAGAAAAGACCTATTTGGGAATGGATTTACTTCGGACAATCAGGCGCAAAAAGAAAGTAAGCAAACCAATCCAAAAAAACTCACATTCACATTTCCAAAAAAAAACCGAAAAAACTGACCACTTTGTTTTTCTACTGATCATCATTAGTTATACGAATCAAATTAAAAGAATTATAAAATCAGCTGAAAAAACGATAGGAAATGTACCATGTTTGATTGGAGAGATTGGAATGTGTATGGATTTGAATAAAGGAGAAGCCTTTAAAACGGGTGATTTTACGTGGCAAGAAAGACAAATGGATGCTTTGATTTGTGGTTTAGAATCTAATTTTGTTTCGTTTGCGTAAGTCTCTTTCATCGTTTTAAACAAAAGATGAGTTTACATTACTCTACTTTTCGATTCGATTCAGCTTTTGATTGTCTCATTTCATTCGATTGGGTTTGTTTAGGTTATGGAATTATAATCCTTATAATACTGATCTACATGGTGATGGTTGGAATGGAGAAAACTTTAGTTTTATTAGTTCTTCTGCTCCTAAAGATTCGAATGGGAATCATCAACCAAGACTCTTGAAAGCTATTCTTGTAAGTCATCAAACCCTTTTGAAGTTGATTTTTGTGAAAAGCTTTTTGATGCTCTTGGGTTTGATTTTTTGGATGAGATGTTTTTTATTTTAGAGACCTTTTGCAAGAAGGATTGCAGGATTACCAAGGTTTACTCGGTTTGATTATGAAACGAAATCTTTTGAATATAGATATCAGAATCATATATCGGTTAAACCTGATACAAATCAAACTGAGATCTTTTTACCCAATGATCTGTATAATGAAAAGTCAACTAAGATTGAAATTAGTGATGGAACTTATTTGTGGAAAACTGATGTAAGTGATTCACCGGACAGATACTCAAGTTGGCTTTTGGGGTTTTCTGACATTGGATCTGGGGGTTTTGACGTTTAGGTTCAATGTTTGATTTGGACTCATGAGAATGAAGAAGAGAATGAAGTTCATTGGATTAAGATTCAATTAAAAGATCAAGACCCAAATGATCAAACAAATCAAAAAGGTTATCATCAATTGATGTATACTGTTCCAAGTATCTTGATTGCTTTAATTGGGATTTGGTCTTTGGTTTCTAAAAAAAATAAATTGTCTTGAGATTCAGATTGTATTTAATGATGATATTCAGATCTGGGAAGTTTTCTTGTGTTTTTATAGATTTGTTGAAAAATTCCAAAAGATTGATTGAAAAATCATGACTCTCTTTAAAGAAAGATGACCAGACTGGGGTCTTTTTTTTGATACAACACACAATATCCAAAGATAATCAATTGAAAAGATGACAAATCTGCATTCTTGCAAAACTTATAAAACACGCTCGTGATTAATTTTGATTTTAAACATTATGTGTAAATAAGAAGATTCACATATTTTGCAAATTGATTTTATAAGAATTGATTTTGTATCTATGATTCGAGTCCGAGATTATGAATGCAAACCATACCCAATCAATTTTCACTACATACCACATTTGAACGCGCTCTAAAATAACCCAATCCACTTTTGCTCCATATATCCCAACCAAATCCCATTCAAATCAATCTTTTCACTTCTTCCCATAGTTCACCTGTACTTTGAATTTGATCAGATTGAAGAAACCTAGAACAATAAGTTCTAAGTCCAACTAATAATGGATCTTTAAATCCATTTGGTACTTTTGGATTCTTCAATGCACTTAATAAGCCTTTCACTACGGTTTCTGATCTATCAATTGGATCAATACTTGGATGTTCACTTTGAATTTAAACAAACATTAAAACAGAACATTAGTATTTGAGTCTTTCTTTGTTATGGGTTTCAAGAATTATAGAGAATGGATTACCGAGCAATAAGTTCCAAGAGTAGTCCATACGTTGGTTCGATCTCTTCGATATCTACTTCGATTGGTAAACCATTCAAGACCCAAATCTCTAACATTTGATCTAAATCATCAGGTTTAAGACTCTCAATTGGATTCCTAATGATCTTAGCCACTAGTTTGACAACAATATCACGTCAATCTTTTTGGGTCGATTGCTTCTTTATGACGTTTCTTTATCAAAACTTTTCCAATTCGACTTACAAGCTGAAACACAATTCTCTCTTGCAATCTTAATCGCCATTTCTTCTTCTTCTAAAGAAACGCTTTGAACTTTCATTCCTTCAATCAGTAAACTTAAAGAACCTGTCAAAAGAAATCCAAAAAATCGTAGACTGATGAGATTTTCTATTTGGTCTTTCATACGATTGCTCTTTTTTTCTTCTTTGATTTTTACAAAGTTTTAAACTTACTTTGAATAAAGGTTCCAAAAACTGGATTCGAATCTGAATGTTGAGCACAAAGTCCAATTATAAACGGAGCAAGACCTCGAATACAAGCATCTATGATAATCAATGGATCAAGGTGCTTAAACGTCAATTCACTTATCATATTGAAACTTATCTGAATCTCGAAACAGAAAACCAACCTGGATCTGAAAATGCCTTCTGTACTTCGCCTGCCACCGGTCCCAAAACTAATTCCCAACACATTCCGCCATCTTCCATACCTTGCACAAACCCAGCCACCATTCTAAAAGCCCATCTTCTCAATCCTAACTTAGGATCATCCTCTGCTTCACCATTTTCTGCAACTTTAGCATAAAGATGAACAAAACCAATGATCTTATTCCATTTTGAATCGATGCCTTCAATTACTAAACCTCTTAATGATCTAGACATATCACTCAAAGTAGTCATCATGATCTCTTCTTGATCGACATTCGTTTCTCCACTACCATCTTCTATCAATTGTACTTCTTCGGCAAATCTTTCCAACAAACTGTCACATATCTCTAAGAATCGATTCGATAATGCAAAAATCGGTCGGATCAAGTCATATATCTCGGTCCAAGTTGAAAGTAAGGATGGTAATAGGGTAGAAGGATGAGGTTCATGTGATAGGATCTCTGAGATCGATTTCGCAAATGTATGTCCAATGACCTTGAGTTGTGTTTCTGAGACATTTGAAGCTTTTGCACCTATTGTTTAAAGTCAAATAATGTATGCGTATGTCTTCAGACTGCCATGAATACAAAAATACTAATGACGAAATGAAACATAAACCCAAGTGAAAAAACTGACCACGCAGGATTGCTGGTAGGATCAGTAAAGCCGCCTCTCGAACATCATCGTTGAAACTGCAGACCGTCAATAGCACTCGTTAGTCTTCTCGTCGGTGAAGCATAAGAAGGAAAAATACAAGACTCAACTAAAACTTCAGGAGCGGTAAAACACCTCCTGCAATCACTTCAAAGTGATTGATCAATTGGGAATGACTTCGTTCGATCATGATCAACAACCCTTCCAGTGCTCCTATTTTCTCTTCTAGAGCTGAAGTCTTGATTCCAAACGGTCTGTCTCCGATCATCACCCTAGAGTAAGCCGAAAGAAAACGACAACCGCAAATCAATTAACCCGGCGAGATTTGCTTTGGAAATGAAGGAAAGCGGATTTGAATCATACGATTGCCATTCTTGATCGTGATGATGATCATGATCATCGTCCAATTCACTCATTGAAAGTTCCGGTTTCTCGGTCACATATTTCATCAGATTCTCAATCAACCAATTTAGATATTGTTGGATCTGAGTAGGTTGAATAGATTTTGATAAGTAACACAAGGACACGAGAAGTTCGATCTTTTCTTCTGTTCTTCGATCTGAGGTGTATCAAAACAAAAAATTGATAAGCAACATGAGAGTGAGTGTCATAGTTGAGTTAAAACTTACTTATAGCAGCGATTGATCTTTGAATCCAGCCGGTTGAATCAGATGAAAACCTTTCTTCCCCAAGTGCATTAGCTACAAAAAAGTGCCATTAAATTGTGAGGTCATGGATATGTACGTCGAATCGGATTTTTAGAAGACTGACCAAGATAAGCTAAACAATTGTACACTCTTTCCTCGAGTCGACTCGTTTGGTGATCCAATTCACTATTCAAGACCTCGTCGGCTATCATCTCGAGCTGTTTTCCCAACGCTTCTTGTTCATATGATACCTGCATGAATTGAACATCTCAATGAACGTGAAATGAAAGTCTGAGAAAAATAGTGCAGATCATACCAAGAGAAGTTGTAAATCCAGATGTGACCAAAGTCTTGAGAGGGCATCTAATCCAGCTCTTCTTAGAGAGGTGGGTTGATGCGATAGAGTCATAGATAGGAGTGAACGAAGTGGATTTGTTGTTTGAATAGGAATCGGATCCAAGTTGTCCATTCCGGTGAGATAATTTACGATACACATCGCACCATAAGCTCTGATCCGAATGGATTGATTGGGATTTAGAGTTGTTTGAGATAGCGTTTCTAAAACTTGATGACCAACAGTAGATTGAAGGGTTCCCTTTGGTTTGTTTGAAGTGAGAATCGAGTCAAATTGCAGTATCAGTCACATTGATTTCAGTGTCCGAAGTGGAAGTACGTATGAAATTGGACCAACATTCAAGCTTGAAGATAGTTGAGCAAGTGCATAGATCGCAGCATGAACCACTCTAGGGTTCAAGTTGACAAGACCAAAATTGATGAAGTGATAGGTTCGATGGATATGTTGTGAGAAGAATGATTGGTATGAATCAGCTAAAGCACCGATAGCAGAGAGAGTTGCGTGGATCTCTTGCCACGATGTTGAGTGATTGGATGACTGAAGATGATCAAATCTCATGATGGGTAAGATCAGTTCAGGAGAAGGGCCAATAAGATTGATTAATCTATCCAGGTCTTGTTCGGCTATCACCCAAAGCTGCAGGTCTTCTTCATCTTCACCATTTTCTTCATTATCTTCACTTTTGTTTAACCACTCTGGAGTTGGCTGATGTACCTCGGACATGACAGACAATAACAAGTTGTAGAATGATTTGATATATTCCGACTCATCGTCGTACGGTATTGTTGATGATGCTTTTTGTTCTTCTGATAGTGGTGATTGAATTGCGACTGCAGTGTCTATGAAATTTAGATAGGATTCAATGGCGTTGGAGCGAGTTTGAATTGAAGCGTGAGTGTTGGAAGCTAATTTGAAAAATGGATTCAACCATTGATGGGTTTGTTTGCAGTGGATGATGATCTTGGTGATAGCTTCCAGCGAAATCAATTCTGCAAGTGAGTTTAAAATCTTGTTCAAAGTATCGTCATCATCAGGGTTCATTCCCATGGATACATTGTTGACTAATGGTTCCAATAGAGTAAAATAAATTTCATTCATGATAGATCTCAAGATCGGATAAAGTGGCTGATCGATGAGCGTTCGAGATGCGAGAAATGGATGATCGCTCGCCTCAAGATACGAAAGAGTTGAGGTAGAAGCATCCAGCCCGCTTAATCTAAATTCAATGGATTGGTCTTGATGGATAGCTTGAGAGATGAGACTAAAGACTTTGACTAAGTTCTCATCCGAATCTTCGATGATTTGGGGCGAATTTGAATAAATCCCCAATAATCCATTTCTAATTTTCAGAGGGAGTCCGACGGGCGGTTCGAGAATGAGGTTTTGTAAATCCTGCCAGTGTTCTACAAGTTGAAAAGAGAATGCACGATATATTTCAGTTGGATACCGAATTTTAGAGAAAAGTTGAGATATAAATCCATGACTTACCTTGCTTATTGTAGAGTTCATGAGCTACATCTGATATAGTATGACAGAGATGTGTGGAGATCACATCCTCATTACTCTCATTGAATCTCAACAAACATTCTAAGAGTGTTCTCAAAATTTCATCTTGCTTTAATTTTCTAATTCGATCCCATGCTTTCAATTCAGGTGTTTCAGTACTTGATTTGAACATCAACTTTCTGATCAAGACCAAAGCTTGCATTCGAACCTGCAAACCGTTTATCAGATTCATTCAATTAGTACCCCGTTCAGATATTGCTCTCAGCTGGACATCCTGCATCTTTTGATCGACTCACTTCAGATGGATACCTGTTTTGAATTGCGATCGAAATGAGTTGAGTGATCAAGTTTTCCGGTACTTCTTCGATCATAGACACGGTTATCATGCTTTCTATTTTCTGTCTCCTTTCATTTTGAGTGTTAGGTTCGATCAGCTCTCCAATGATTCCAACTAGCTCTTGTTCGTTTTCCATCTTTGTTTTATATTGTGATTTTGTCTGTTTGAAATGTTTCGTTAGTCGTTAGATTTCTTGTTTTCCTATTGGTTCGTGAAGGTTTTGATCATCCGATGGTCATTAAATTCAAAAATTGAAGCTTTAAAGCTCAAACGCATACAATTGAAGAACAATCTGAACCCGGTCGAGATCTCAAGGAATCGGATTATCCGGACCGTCAACAGATCACTTCGGGACCAAATCATTCAACGCAACTCTTGTCTCAGTTCAAGCAATTGATTTCACGAACCACTTCATTCTCAAGATCCTCATCGCACTTTTTTCATAAATAACATCACTTCTTCAGCCTATAGCCTTCGCAATGCCGTCGAAACGCCCTCCGGGCATTGACGAGGACAATCCGTCACCTCATCCGAAAAACCCCCGACCGAATCAAAGACAAGTGGACCCGGAAGCTATGGAAGACGTTCTCACCTCCTTAGCTAACACCAATTCAGGCTCAAACGACACTCTACTACGCACGGTCATTCAAATGTTATCGATGTTCATGGAGACTATCCAAAAGCTCAACGATAAGATCGACAAACTGGAAGCCAATCAAAACAGGACCACTCCTTTACCATCTGGTACGAGCAATCACCATCAAGCAGATCAACCTGTGGGCATTGGTCGCCCAACCGTCAAACCGAAAGCCTGGACGAATCCCTACCCAAAACGCCAAACGGAAACCGCCCCAAAACCTCCCCCAAAAAACGCTGAAATTAACAAGTTTAGAGCGGCCACCCTCATTATACATAAAACCCCCGGCTTAGAACCCTTCAAAGGCATGAGGCACTCAGAAATAGTACGGAGTATCAACTCGGCACTCACGTCACTAGACGCTAAAGTTAACGACACCCCAGTACGAGTACGAGGCGCAGAGGTCCTCAAATCCGGCGACGTGCTCATGAACATGGATAATCGACTCATGAAAAACTGGCTCTTAGAGAATAAACACATCTGGACAAAGCTAGCACATAAGGAATTCGAAACTACTCAAACTAGGTACCCAATCTTGTTCAACTTTGTCCCGGCCGAGGTTGATGTGAACGACGTGAATTTTCCAAAGATACTCAGTTCAGAAAACGATATACCACTGGAATCCATTCATTCAGTTAGATGGATCAAAAACCCTTTAGACACGAAGAAAAAACATGGGACCATAGTTCTAAACCTGCTAGACAAAGAACTCGCTCAAAAGATTGAAAAAGGTGGATTATATGTTGACTGTCGCAGGGTTAAAAGTAAAAGATATGAACAGGGTCCTACTATGTGTTTTAATTGCTTAGATCTGTACCACACCCATACCTCCTGCAATAATCAGCCAAATTGTGCCAAATGCGGTGATGCCCACAGCACTCGTGAATGTGCAAACAACGACTCAGATCAAGTTTGTGCCAGATGCTACGATTTTGACAGCCACAGGTCTAAAGACACGATTGATAGATTCACTTCCAAATACAACCACTCCCCCAAAAGCTTACAATGCCCATTACGTAACACACAACACAAGATTACGCCACACCTACTAACCAAAGATGAGTTATAAGGACAACTATCGATCATCCAACAGACCAACCTCCCCTCAATTTCCTGAAAATGAAGAAGAAGCGGACGAAGTTGATAGCTCAATGTCAGATATTCCCCTTTCCCTCAACAATTTTTCCATCCTACATTTCAATTGCCACAACTCTATGCAACACACACACGAAGCACTCACCTACACACAATACACGATCCTCTCCCTCCAAGAACCTTGGTTCAATAGTTACTCCCTATTGTTCCCACACCATGAGGCTTGGCAATGCATCTCAGCCTATGATTATCACCCAACGGCTTGGACAGACAGACCCAGAGTTTGTATTTACATCTCAAAACTGATCCATTCATCTCAAATCACCATCCTGCCGAGCAGTTCGGACATCCTCCTCGGCATCGACATCAAAGATCCATCCTCAGACCTAACAAAACTACGCATCATATCCTGGTATAACCCTCCGGGGTCCCTTAGAGGACTAATTACCCTAGAACACTGGCTAAAACACAATCATATCCGCCAGATTCCAACCGCCATTACCACCGATTCGAACTTACATCACTCTTCTTGGAATCCACCGGATTATCCCCCGTCTGACCCCCAGGCCAAGAAATTGATCCAACTACTTGGTTCAAAGGGCTTCAAACTTGTATCCCCAAGAGGCTTAGCAACCCGTTTTTCCACGGGCACACAACCAACCACTATCAATCTGATATGGGCTAGCTGGAACCTCGCGGAGAAGGTTTTGAGCTGTAAAGTACTAACCCAAGCTCTAGCCTCAGACCATTTCCCAATTGAGACCTTTATCGACCTCTCTCTAATACCTCCTATAGCATCGCATATTGCTTTGAACATGGCTAACATCAATTTTTCTCTCCTCTGTAGCACAATAACGAGTCAACTCAACCGTCTCCCACCAGCTTTTAATAACCCTACTGACGTTAATGAAGCCATCACGTCTCTATCAGCCATCTTGCTTGAATCAGCTCAAAAGCAAGGGAAGAAAGTCAAGACCAACATCAACAAATATAAAAGCTGGTGGGACAAGGACACCTTAAATCCAATCCTCAAAAATCGGAATCGAGCAAGAAGGTGGTGGCTCAAGTCTAAGACCCCTGAAGCACGTAAATGCTTTGACGACTGGCAGAGCTTCTTCCGAGAACAGGTCTCTATCACCAAAACAAGACACTGGAAGACTTTCCTCGCTAACTGCTCTGGTAATGATTCTTTCAAAGCCTTCAAGTATGTCAAACCTAAGTCCACGGGCGAGATTGCTCCCCTGAAGAAACAAGACGGATCCATTGCTACTAGCAAGGAAGAACAAGCTCGACTTCTGTACTACGGCACTTCAGTAGCTCACATTGAAGCAGACCTCTCGGACATCCCTCAACCCCAAATTTCATCGAATCAACTCATATTCCCGGAGCTCAAACCGGACGAACTCACTAGGATTGTCGACAATCTCCCTAACCGCAAGGCTAATGGTGGCGACTCCATCTCAAACAAACTCATCAAAGGAGCCCTACCGGCTATCAAAAACGATCTCTGCCAACTTTTTAACGCATGTTTCAGATTAGGTTACTTTCCAGATGCCTGGAGATCCGCGGTAACGATAATCATTCGGAAGAATGGGAAGGAATCGTACTCGGTACCAAATTCTTACAGGCCTATAGCCCTACTGAGTTGTTTAAGCAAAATCCTTGAGAAAGTCATCACCAGTAGAATCACCTTCTGGGCTGAGACCAGAAATAAGCTAGCAATAGGACATATGGGAGGTAGAAGACAACGGTCCACTGAAGACGCACTACTTATACTCACATCATGGATTAAAAGCAAGTGGAGAGAAAATGAAATTGTCACGGCCCTTTTCCTCGATGTTAAATCCGCATATCCTTCGGTACACCGAGAACGTCTTATTCACACGCTCACAAAGCACAAGTGCCCCGCTTACTTAGTCAGGATGATTCAGGGCTTCCTAACAGAAAGATCTACCAACCTACGGCTTCAGGATTTCCTATCTGAGAAGTTCAACATCGAAAACGGTCTTCCTCAGGGGTCCCCCCTATCGGTTATTCTATACGTTATTTACAACTCAGCTTTGCTAAGCAAAGGCAAATTAGACCCAGCTTCACAAGAGTTCTCAATTGGTTTCATTGACGACGTAGTGCATGTTGTAGCATCTAAATCCCTCGAAACCAACATGGTTAACCTCCGACGGATAGCATCACACTCCTTGAGATGGGCAGAGACCCACGGCGCAATTTTCGATAGGAAAAAGGCTCAGCTAATTCACTTTACAAACAAACGCATCAAGGACCTACCAGACTTCCAATTTGGTGATGCTCTACTTAAACCGGAGCTGAAGGTGAAATGGCTCGGGGTCTGGTTTGACATGAAATTACTCTTCAGCGATCATCTTAAGTACGTCAAGAAAACAGGAGAGTTCACAATCCTCCAACTTCAACGACTAAATAAGTGCTACTCGGGGCTTTCACCGGGTGAGATAAGGAAGCTCACAATGGCAATCCTATTGCCAAGGGTGCTCTATGGTAGTATAGTCTGGTTGACGGGTAAATCCCATGGTAAAGCACAAAAAGTCCTTTCCCAAATCCAAAACTCGGCTCTTAGGATCATGTTAGGTGCTTTTAAGGGCACTTCGTCGGAATTACTTAATCATGATGCATATATGACTCCCTTTACTACTATAGCAACGAGACGTCATCACAACTTCCTGATAAAGAGGCTAACTGCCCCGGATAATCATCCCTCATTACTATTCATTCGCCACGAACTCGCCTCAACTTCGACAAGGCATAAAGGCCCTATCCAAGATGTGTTAGAGTCCCTAAATTTTCGCAAGCTTGCCGCGGAGAAGCTGGAAACCATCTTCGGACATTCGCTAGTACCTTGGTCGACTAACTTAGGACAACTGTTCAATTTAGACAAATCGAAAGACAAAGCCACGGAGCTTGTACCGAGTCAAGTGGAAGAAGAAGAAAGACGTAATGCGCTAGTCATATTTACAGATGGGTCTGTAAGCGACGAAGGCGGCGGTGCAGCAGCGGTAACTAAATTGACGAACAAGACCCTCAGGATCAAGTTTGAAGAAATTTTTTCCAACCATGAGGCGGAACTCCTAGGCATAGTACAAGCCACGGAATTAGCTATAGAGGCTTTTAGAAGACAGAGACCTCCACTGACAGGCCTAGCAATCTTCAGCGACAACCAAGGAGTGCTGAGACTGATCCATGATGCCCCGAGGCAATCCTCAGGACAACATCTTGTCATCAAAATAAGAGCTAACCTGAGATGCTTACCCACCGACTCTGAAGTTCGCTTTTATTGGACCCCAGGTCATACAGGCGTAGAGCTCAACGAGAGAGCAGACGAATTAGCCAAGGAAGCGGCGACTGCAGAAACGACCGGAACTATCATTCCATCCAGTTTAGGGAGCGCTAAGAGACGAATCAAGGAACATCTCAACATTAAACACATCGTGTTCAAACCAGGGAAGAACGCCTTCAGGTCAAAGCCGGAGGATATCTCCAACAGCCTGCTAAAGTTAGATAAGGGTGGGGCGGCGGCTATTGTCCAACTGAGGGCTAAACATAGCCCTCTTAACGCGCACCTCTTCAAAAGACATCTTTCTGACTCACCGTTATGCCCACATTGTCACCTTAATGAACCTACTGAACATTTCCTCTTATATTGCAGACGATATAGCCGAGCTCGAAAACTTTTCAGAGGCCAACTGAAGAAGGAAAAGATCAAGGTTAATTGGAACAACGCCAACAAATTGTTGGACCATCCCAAAGCTTTCCCTTTACTGAGTGCTTTCATTTTCAACACAGAACGTTTTATTCATTTCCATAACTACTCACAGGATATAAACCCCAAAAAGACGATCACGAGGCAGAAATATGGGCTGGCTACAGAAGGATGACACTCTTTTACTTCTCAGCACGCTTTTCCTAGAAATATGTTCAATCCCTTGAAGGGTTCGGCGGATTCTTTTTGGAACCGTTGAGACATTTTCATCAACCAGTCTTTTGACTGTAACCGCCTCAAATACGTATCAGAAATTTGTTCAATCCCCCGAGGGTTCGAATGCCTCCAAGTATTGTCTTGGGTCCATAGGCATTTGAGACACTTTTCGAACCAGTCTTGGTAAACTCTAAAATACTAGTCAATACATACCGACTTTGTTCAATCCCTTTAAGGGTTCTTCAACCTCCAAGTACCGCCCTGGATTCATAGGTTGTTGAGACACATGTCGTTAAGGCTCTTTTTCTAGCTCTAAACACTCACTTGGTCAGCTTCCCTAAAAAGGGGGTACGCAAGAAGTTTCTTGAGTCTAATGACTCTATCTTCTTTCACCTAGTTCAATGGGGTTAGTTGGTAGAGGTCCATCGCTTTCCTGCGGGTGGGCTAAATGCCTAAAGATGGATTTAAAAAAAAAAAAAAGGAAAATAAAGCTTTAAGCTAAGATTCAAAGATGTCATCCTATCTCATTGTCACTCATACTATGTTTTCAATTAGATGGCCGCTCTTTTAAGGTGTACTATTCCTGTATTTTATAGTTTAGATAGTGTTATATGCAATTAAAGCCAAAAAGCACTTTAAAAAAAAAAAAAAAAAAAAAAAAAAAAAAAAAAAAAAAAAAAAAAAAAAAGGCAGTGCTGATGTCAATGAGGACTTACTGAATCAGACCCTTTGACCTGTGGCGAGATGTCTGCTAAGACGGCATTGTTGGACAATCTTGTGGATCAAATTTCTATCACCTTTTTTACCCCCTTGAGCCTCAGGCTCATGAACCAAAAGTGTATCAGCATGGCTCAGAGTTCTGGAGAAAAAGGCTCAAAATCTCAGATGTCTAGGAAAGTTATGATGGTCATGTATACACCAGAATTTCGGAAGCATATGACAAAAACAAATCCCTATGAGACATAGGGTAATAATTTCTTTGAAAACAAATGGTAAAAATGATAACAACAGTTGAGAAACTCATTGAGATAAATTGAGATTTGATTTCCAGAAACAACCTTGGTGAGAGGAAATGATTGGAAATCGAATTGTCCTTTTGTGGCAGTTCAAGCCTTGAAAGTGTACATATTTTATCAACTCCTATTAAGAGTCTACATGATCAATGATTTGAAAAATTCAAAAAATGTCCGCCGTTCAACTGATATATGTGGTTTTCTTTTGGCTTCTAGGTAGGATCCAGACATTTTATTAGTTAAAGTATTCTGTCAAATGCAAAGCGTTCATGCAATTCTACTCACATTTTCACGCCAATCTTAGCCGTTGAATGTTTTTCAATTTATGGCCAGCTTTCCCTAGTCCCTCCCCAGTTTTGGCCAATAGATGTCCAGTCCCTCTAAGTGTCATCTTTGCTATTCGTGCAAGCAATTTCATAACGCCAATTACCCCTTTCCCCACTAGCCGAACACCACCCAAAACTCCCATGGCCGTCAATATTCCAACACTTGCAACAGCCTTTGCACCAACCTTTGCAGCTTTCACTCCAAATTTAGCTGTCTTTACAACACCTGTTGCGGTTGCTGCACCAGAAGTCTTGGCGCCCTTGTAAAATAGCCTTAAACCTTTTCCTGTGACCACTATAGTAGCTTTTGCGGTTCTTCCAATGGCCCATCCGACCCATTTCCCCCCGATGATAAAGGGCTTAGCAGCTAAATAAAATGTAGCTGCTGTTAAACCAACGGCACTCTTGAATAGCCCCGCAGAATGTTTTCCAACTTTCTTGGCGCTGTTTTTGATCGAAACGGTTGGAGGAGTACGAGCGAAGGTGGAGAGCTTTGAACGGAGAGTCGGTTTGACCATTGGTGGTTCATCGAGCCGAGCATGTTGTCCATTCTCGGGAAATTTGGCTGGATGATTTGGAACATCAGGTGGAGGGTATGACATTCCAAGTATACAAGGCGGAATGCCACGCTTTCTACGATACCGCCTCAAGAGACATGGGTCAGTCGAACCTTCTTCAAGTTGTCCCGAAGAAGTCGAAGGAGATGGAGATCTGGAATATTGTGAGGCCTGAATTGTGGTGAAAGGGGCATCTGATTTCGGGCTGTCTCCTTGCGCCAGTTGAGCCGTTGAAGGTTCACCACCTTTTGTAACTTTTTCAGGTGTCTTGACCGAGTTAAGTGATGATGCTTGATCTCCTTGAACATGCTTTCCATCGCCTATCGGGTTTTTGGCAGCGTGTTGGATATCTAAATGAGTTGTATCCGGGATATGTGATGTTTTGAGCGAAGGATTAATTATATCGACGTTGGCTTGAGCGTTTTCCAAAGGTTTTCCCCCAAGAGTTGCGATATCAGCACCATCTCTGACAAGCCCTGATACTTTGGCTGCTTGATTGAGTCCCCCTGCGCTATCCTCAATGAGTATGGCATTGTGAGCGGCTTGCATCGCCATCCGGCGGTGGAGCAATGGATGTTGGAGGACTGTGGCAGACGTGAATTTCTGAGATATTGCGCTTCGAGGTATCTGCCCAGCAGAGACTAGAATTGGGAAGATCAAGATACTCCAAAGAATCACCATCTCCTTTTCTGAGCCTTCTGTGTTGAGTGGAAATGATATATAGTTGATAAAGAACGTAGGACAGTCAATGAATGTGATTATCTCAAGTTAAGTTATCTTCATTCGATAATCTTGCGATAAACTGAAGATAAATTAGAGGTACCAGACTCGACAGGACGGATCGAGAGAAGTCAGGTCAATAAAATGATGTTGGACAGGATTGAAGATGAAAGTTTGACGAAGCGATTGTTTTGTGTAGATGCCAAAAGGAAGTCGAAATCTCGAGTAAGATAAATATGAACGAAAGCGAAGGATAAAAAGAAAGATACAATGCAGGGCCAGACGATGGATCCTTCTCTCATATTGAAGTCATTCGAGCTGGTTGAGTTGGACCGAGAAACAATCATTTTCGAACAACTTCGTTGGTGCTGGAGTTGGGTCTTCCATAAATGGTTTCACTGACACCTCACTTGCACCACGGACGCGCAGAAACTTATCAGGCCGGCGACGAAACGTTTGAGTCACAACAATCAACAGGCATTACCTTAAGTTTGACTATGATTTCGTTAAACTGATGTCCCCGTCCCAACATAGTTGACCCGTCTATTTATTCTCTTCCCGAAAAAACATTGGCTCGCAGCCGGTTCTTGAACATGGTCTCATTGTTTGTTTGTCACAATGGCGGAGTTACCGTCACATAACCATGATAGTACTTCCGACTTGTCAGAACGCACTCAGATCCAATGGGGAGAACTATTCGAGGAAAAATCGGATAATGCGAAGAGCTCAATCCGCCATGTCTTTTGCGTGGCATTTCTTGGTGAACCAAACGAGCAAATATATGTATTGTGGATAGTGACTTCATGTCGCTAAAAATGGAGTGGTTGACTTTCCTCACGTCGCCAGCTTGCTAAGGAAAAGTTAAGAAGGTGAGAAAAGCCAACATTTCAGCGGATTTGGCAAAAGAAGCGATGGAGACTGTGATGTTGTCTAACGCACCTTCAGTAGGACCACAGTCACAGATCTGGAAAGAAGGCATGTGAGGTGCTTGAGGTCTCCTGGGCCACTGCTTGAACCAATTCACTGCGGCTGGAGACCCTATAAACCACCCCAGCACCAACCGGCTTCTTGTCAGCGTCTTAAACCGGGCTCCTCTCTTTCTGGTTGAATATGTGAGAGGATTTTGTTTCTGTGGGTCAAACTCCACGCTTAACAAAGATCCTTCCCCATCAGTCACCCTATGGATCATGATCACTTTTCTTTATGCCTCAGCATGCACAGCATTCCTCAGCATTCCTTTTCAGCCTTGCACCTATATGCAGTAAATAAACCTCATTCAATATATTTAATGCACTCTTGCTTGGGAGTACATAGTGACATTCAAAAACAAAGAAGGTATGAAATCATAGTTGTGGTATATTATCAGTGTTGCTGGATTTGGCCAACAAATTTGGGGGTTGGAAAGGGTGATATCTGAGTAAGAAAAGAAAGTCAAGCCAAATGAACTTGAGGAGATAGACTTCAGGACATGCTGACTCAAGGGCAACCAGCAAACCTAAGGCAAACAAAACCCATGATTGAAGAAGGTTGTGGACCCAGTCACCACAACTCTCTTCAATTGGGTTTCAAACTGATGTATTCCTGCAGTTATCCACAAACTTTGGCATGAGCAAGAAACTTTTTGCTGGGGAGTGTTTCAACCCGCCATAAGTTCATAACCTTTGAATAAACATTCTTCAGACCAAAGAAGGGTGCTGTGCGCCCGCTAAACCTGCTTACATCCATGTATCTAACTGTGTATTTGATGCAATGATTGCATAGCAATGCAAGGCTGAAGTTTGCATAAAAACCAAAATCCCTGAGAAAGCTGCCAAACCTGTCAAAAGATCACACCAGGCAAGCTGAAATGTTACATGTAAACACATTTTTCAACTCTTTCTGTAGTGCTGCCCTGAAACCAAGAGAGAGATTCCAAAGAGCCAGTATTTATAGGCTGAGCAGGTGCATAGGACCTTTCTTTAGTCCAAAGACTGTTCATTTGTAAGTTGAAAAGTCATGCCGGATTGAAAAACTCCCCAGTCACAAGTTTCTTTCTCACACACCAAGTTTATTGGATAACTCATAAGTACCTCTCTTGCAGGCTTGCCCAAAGGGACTTTGTTAGGTTAGAGCTACAGACTACTCTGTACCTCACTCCCCCTGTCAAACCAAACTTTGTTTTTGAGCTCAAGAGTAGAACCCTCAAAACCAATATTTCAAGGAGATAACTATATGGGTAGAAGCAAATGAGGGAACTTGAAGCATTCATAGTGGTAAGGCCCCAAAACAAGGCCCCAAAACAAGGCCCCAAATCAACCAAATCCAGTTTAGTGGGGCCCTAGACAACTTGGGTTTCAATGTGAAGGCTCCAAATATTGGTACAGCCCACACACCTTGAGGTGTAGTATGTGTTTCTTTACATTTTTGAAGTATGTGGTTGGCAAGTGAGGCAATTTGGGGCTTTCTGCAGTGCTACTGTTGTCAAATTTGACAAACCAAGGGTTATAATTTGGAGTCAGCCCCAAATACATTTAGTGATAAACCATCACTATCACCGTGTCCGTATCCGTGTAGCACGTCGATGTGCACACACCAAATACTTTCAATACATACTTGAAAGACCCATTAAAGAGGTCTCCACAATAGGCATGTCTTCCCTTTGTCAACTGGGACGTTGGCACTCAGTTGACCCCAACTGCTGACAAAGGATCCCACAAATTCTTTTGTCAAATTGTCATTCACAAAGGGTGCTCGGCACCGATCTCAGTCTAAAGCCTACCAAACAGCTTTCTGTTTTTTTTTCAAAACTCTCCGTGTGTGCACGTCAACGTGCTACAAGGATACTGACATGGTGTATATGTCAACCTAGAGAGTATACGTACTTACTCCTTAGATAGACAAAGACATTATTACATTATTTTATTAATTCAAGCTTTTTCAATATTGAAACATAAAAAAAGCCTTTTACAACTCACACTCGAGTATCAAGAGTGAAACAATAGTAACCAAGAACCCTTGTCTAAACAAGGTCAATAACTAAAACAGGATCTTAATTAAAACAACCAGGCAGGGTCTAAATGAAAACCCTACCCACGTTAAAACCCAACCAGGCAGGGTTCAAAATAATGAACCCTACTAAGGAAACAGTTCGATGACAAAACCTTCGAGTTGACCCAGTCCAGGAACTACCTGAACCCTGACCGAGCCAGCCAACTGGAATCATACGCTAATCTGACTAATAGCGTAAGTAATTTGGTATAAATATCCTACCTGTCTGACAGATAGAACGAATCTTCATCTTATACTCATCACAAAAACTCTTACCATCAAGTCAAAGTTTTAAAACCTTTTACAAAGCTTTTATTTCAAATACCACCAGCCGATTACTCATAACCTAGAACGAACAAGCCATCATAGCTACTACATTCTACTTTATCTGACATCGTGGTTTTTTCCTAAAACCTTTGGATTGATTTTATATCCTTAACCTTTGATTTCCAAGAGTGACGACCATCAGTAACAGATCAACTCCTTGTCCTACGAATTTGTCGAATATTGTTCTCAGATCTGCATATTAGAATAACTAAGAGTTATACTCCAACGTTTTCTAATATACGGTAGAATTTAGACCACCCTAAGATAGGAATACTCAGGTATCCATCTTTAGAAGACCTTGAATAAATTGATTCTTATTCAGTGAGTACCTTTTGGTTCTGCCTTCTATAAAGGATATCATCTAGAAGCTGACCTCCCGGCTCGAATTTATCTCAACAGCAGTATCTGGATACTGGGTTGTAACAAAGCCAACAGATTTAAAAACTTCTACAATTCAAGAACTGTAAGTAAAACTGTTTTCAGTCTCGAGTTGCTTGCTTTCTTTAGACTCAAGCTGATAGTATAGCACAAATCTGGGGCCCTATTGGTATATTTGGCAATAGACCTGGTTTGGGACATGCCACTGTGGATGCTCTCAATCTTTCTATATTTTCTCAAGGTCATCTGAAGCATTTTCTGATTTTTTTTCTTTTGATGATCAACATTTGGGACTGGAACAGGCTACGTACCTAAAATCCCTACTTAGGCACCTCAGTGGCTTCTGTTTTGAGTACACTACCCGAGGGTACGGACTGCCTGCCGGCCATCATCTGTGGCCGTTATCAGGCCGCCCATCCCTCTGCACGCATGGGCAGCCTGAGGGTAGACCTTGGAAATGCAGTTTGTCGACCGCCTGCAGCTACCGCCGTACCGCGGCCCAGAGTTGCTTATCAGATCATATCAAAGCGACCTGGTGGTGGCCCATCTAAGATTTTGGAGGCACACAACGAGGCCGGGTCAGGGCACACAAGGCACTCAAGGTGCGGTTGCAGGGTGCGGCATGAACCACCACATCCGATTTGGGAGCCCAGAAAGCCAGTTTTGGGGGAGTAACCAAAGGGCTGTGAAATTTTGTAGCGGCTACTGCTACCCACTACAAATTGGCTACTTTATGACACACAGATTTCTCCACTGGGAATTTGTACTGCTGACTTCAAACAATACCAGCCAAAACAGACCATGCCATTCCAATAGGTCATTGACAATGCAGACACCTCATGACATACACGGTACATAGTGGAGGAATTGAAGTTCACTCTTTCTATCCAATCATTTTCACCATTCTATTGAAGTAGAAATGCCCCTTATAAAATCCAGGTGTCCTCCAACAGGCTTGTGCGTCCTATCTGTTTGATTCTCGAGATGATTTTCACAATTGATTTTCTTCAAAGCCTGCTGATCTCAAGAACACCTTATCATGAGCCCTACATCATCATAATATTGCTGGTTGATTCCGTGATGGATCATGATCCATGCGAGCCCATTTGAGGTGTACAATCAATCAGCCGTGTATACCCTTAGGCTCAGATATATGCGGCCAGAATAGAGACATACAAGACTAGCAAGGATTTCGAACTTCTGCCTTATCACTTGCATATCTTGTCAGGGAACTGAGCACATGAAGAATAAGCCAATTTGGCCAAAGTTCTGGTTGACTATGTACATCAAGACTTGTGGCGAGTTTGTTTCTCTGCAATCATCAGCACAACCGGGTGCCATTAGCTCTCTCCATTAGCTCAACTTGATCCCAAGTGTGTCCACAAAAGCCCATTTGCAGCGAGTTGGGTGACCACTGATACGGTTGTGTTTGTATTGCTGGGTCTGTGTGCATTGTACAATCAGGTCTCACGGTTGGACAAATCCAACATCTGTGTGTCCAGAAATGATTACATAGCAGATAGTAGCAGCTACAAAATTTCACAGCCCTTCCAGTACTCTGAGTTTTGGCCAGGTAGACAGGATTATACACAAATTGGTAATTCATTTTCATTTTGTTATCATGGGGGACATCACACGTGTTTGGTTTGACAAGAAAAGGGGTAGACAATAATTGAGCACACAACATAATGACTAAAAATGTGTAAAAACGGGATTTGTTCAATGATCCGTGACAGTCGTACATGTCTTGATTGGGCATGATTTTGCTTGAAGTTTGTCAATTTTGCTCAGGGTTGTTTCCTTGTCCCACAATTGCCGCGGTGATCTCCTCCTCTCCAAAAGGCAATTGGAAATCAGAAAGTTGGGCAATGTCTTGATAACAGGCTCGGCTGTTGAATGTGGTACGGTCATCATCATAAATGATGTTGTACTAAGGCCTCAGGTACCTAGCCTATGGTGTTATTTATCCATCTGAAGTTATTCTTTTGTTGACCAAAGTCTCAACATTTGGGACCAGTCCCACATCTGGTGATGGGAGTGTTATGAGCCCATAACAGGATTTATGCTTGTATGCTAGTAGTGAGATCACACTCTACCTGAGACTTACAGAGTCAGGGATTTGACATTCTCATGTTACAATCTTATTCTATCACCAAGGAACCCTTCACTAGACCCTTGATCCAAGCTACAAGAATGCCTATATCATGATCTCATCTTACTATAATCATAGTAGACACTTCTGCTTCACATTAGGGGTACACAAACATGAAAACCCAACCTAAAAACCCATGGACAAAACCCATGACAGCCCAATTGTTTTTTGGGTTTTGTCCAACAGGAAAGCAGAAAACCCATGGACAAAACCCAAAAAACAATCAGGTTGTCATGGGTTTTGTCCATGGGTTTTTAGGTCGGGTTTTCATGTTTGTGTACCCCTATTATCATCAATGTTGACCAAGAAACTCTCATCTCAAACACAAACATTTGATCAGTGTGTGGAATTTGACTATGTGGTTCTTTGCCAATATGTAGATGTCCTACCATCTATTTATTTATAGTTGATGAAAACCATTTATGTACACACTGAGTGTGGTCTTCTGTGGGCCCTTGGCAGTAATGTCACCCAATGCAGATTGTGAACAGGGATGATCCCAAGCATGAATTCAAAAGGACCTTTGTCCCCACGTGGTGGGAGACCTGAGTGCATTCAAAGTCATGATATGACATAATTTTAAGACTGAAGTGTAGGGCACAACACTTCAATCTGTGCATAGGTTTGCAGAGACTATTGTGAGTCTAGTCAAGGTTAGACTAGATCTTGTATGAGCAGGAAGGGCAGAAGGGTTAAGAGGCTAGGCTGAGGGGGGTTGATTGATTTTAAAGACAGATGAGACAGACATGGACTCATGAAATCAATGATACTCATGTTTAACAATGATGTGTTTTTAACACCAGAACTAGCTATTCTTTCTTCGGGATAATTTTACCACTGAGGTCAATAGTAGTCTTCTTTTGTAAGATTAAGTGTCTAACATTCAGGATGGAAGCCTATTTGACTATTTTGCGAGCGATAAACGCGTGTCAGATCACAGTATTGAAGCTGGAAAACTTTTTCTGGCTGAAATTGTCTTTGTTTATTCTTTTCACTTCGATTGTGCTCGGATCATGATGTCTTCCTAATGAATTTTCTATTCGTACATATATGTGTACATGCGTGCCTGGCTGATCTCTAATGTTAGGTCTTGCTGAAAATTTGGAGCATGTCTAGGTTCTTTTCGAATCCTTTTGCTGTTCTTTTCGAGCTTGTTTGATCCTAATAGATGAAATCATTGTAAAAAAGCACTGGATCAGCTAACAAACCCGAAAGTATGGAAAGAAAAGTTATGGACTAACAAAACAAGAGATACCAAACCTGCAATAACAGCCATAAAGAATAACAAAGCCACAGCCGGAATCCTTACGGCCCATTCTCGATCAGGAAAGTATTTTTGAATAGCTGAATCAGGTTCAAAGAAAGGTGTTGCTAAAGTCCAAAGGGTATAATAAGTGAAGATGCTAGCGGAAGCGAAGAGCATTAAGCCTTTTTGATTGATGAAGATGTTCGGTATTAGCTTGTTGACCGAAAAGAGGGAGAACAGGAAGTTGACTGACCTCCTAAGAGGCGATCCGAATTACCCTGAAAGCATCCAAATGAACCATGATGAGTATATATGTGATAAATTGTGAGAAGTGTTTAGTTTGACTTTACCATGATAATGAAGGGATCCAATCTAATTCTCGTCAATCGATCGATCACATCGAAAACCCAGAATCAGTCGATGAACCAAATTCACTCAAATGTCATGCGTCTTCGCAGACAGTGATAGGCTTGATAGAGGTTTCACAGATCATAACAAATGCTGAGATTAATGTTTCATCATTCCTGTTGATACGAATCAGTGAAGATTAAGACGAGAAATGAGATGAAGGGAAACAACAGTTCCGGATATCTACAATCGATATCCACTGGAAGAGGACATCAAAGGCAAAGTAAAACAAAAGGGAAGTGGTCCTCCCTCTGTTGAGCGTTTGTTTGCTGTGAGTACATACCCGAAGCTCCGATGCTTCACTGCCCGACCCATCCTCTAGCTGCGGGTTTTTGGCCCTTTGCTGCAATTGGCATTGGCAATGAGCCATGAGCCATGAGCCGAGTGAGTTTTGAGCTTTTAAGCGTTCTTCATTTGATTTTACTTCTTTACCTTCGTCGACCTATCTTCACCCCGAATCTCATCGACAAGCCATTCACCTCACCATCGGCTGAATTCGAGCACGAAGGCTGAGAAACAAGAAGCAAGTGCATTTAGAAATGTAAACCTCTCTCTGATTTGATTAGGAAGATGTTTATCTATTTACCTTTCTTCATCTTTTGTCTTCTTTACCTAGACAATGTCATTACCTCAACCTCGTAAACGAAGGAAAGTTCTACCAGATTATGACTCGGAATCAATCGATTCACCAGAGCCTTCAACATCAATTAACTCGACCGCTTTGGCCTCATCCTCTCGTCCGGATTCACTGCAGGTTGATGATCAGAAGGCACTCAAGTCTGATCAACAAATCATTTCACGCAATTCTTCTGGTCCAGATCCGTCCGCTATGTCTGCGGTCGATACGGACAAAAAAACCCCGGATATTTCTCGGTTATTACAAGTTGTTGAAAGTCTTCAAGAAACTGTCAAAGTACTCCAAGGATCATATCAACTCAACGCGCCACATTCGGAATTTGCAACCCAAAAAATGTTGGGCCAAGTTCAAGAATACGCGATCAAAGAATTCAAAAGTCTCCATGCTCATGTGGATGAGCGACTTGTTCAACTTGAAAGTTGTGATCCGAGGTCAATGAGAGACAGTATACAAGCTCTAGCATTTCAATTCAAACAAGCTTTCGAATCAAGTCAAGATAAATTTGAAATCAAGTTGAAAGAATTGGGACAAGGACTGGAAAAGAAGATCGTATCTGAATCTCGAGCTGTACAGAATCAAGTGACAAAAACTCTATCCGATGATGTCCAACGTTGGGAGAAGCAATTGACGAGTCGACTGGGACTGATTCAAGATCGAGTAACGAAACTTGAAGGACCTGATCTGATTTCCCACGTTGCTAAACGTTTGAAAGATCACTTTGACAATAGGTTGGGACTGATTCAAGGTCGAGTAGCAAAGCTTGAAGAATCCGACTTGAAATCCGACCAGGTTCGACGTTTGGAGAAGCATTGGGATAGTAGTATGGGACTAATTCAAGATCGATTAGCGAAACTTGAAGGATCCCATCTCAAAGAGCAAATGGCACAGATGCGAAATGAATTTGGGGGAAAGATTGCACAATTGGTAGCAGAAACTTCACTTTGTCACGCCAAACTCGCAAATTCATATACCGCATATACAGATTTAAAAGCACTTCATCACTCCTTAGAAAGTAAAGTAGTCAAAATCAAGACAGAGCAGCCTGAACCTTTACAGGGAAGCAGCGTAAGTTCATCCTTCCTTATTATCTGTGACGAGTTCGAGAGCATATCGTGCAATTACTGAATAACGTCTTACATCAAATGTCTATCTTAAATAGCAGATACCCACTTCTGGCAATGCTAAACGTTCCTTGACACCTAGTCACTCGACCCAAAGTACACGTTTACAATCAGCTGCTCCAAAGTCCAGGTCCCACAGTACAATGCTTAATGATGACGAAGAGCCAGCAATCCCCGCTGGCGTTTTAGACTATGATGCACCGCCACTCAAAAGGAGAGGATCATCAAAACTCGCTTCTGAAAGAGGTGATCGGCACTCATCGTGTAAACAGGATTCTAACCTTGATGATGTTGAACACTTCCGACCGTTGATCGAGGAAGAGATCGCGAACATCATGACGGCGAGCTACGAAGAAGATCTGAAAGTCTCGATTCAGTCGGACCTCATGAACTATCTAGAATCCGAGATTTCTGTGCTCAACCGACCAGCCGATTTGATACGTGAGGAGCTGAAAGGATATGTTGAGAAACGATTACAAGAATTTCAAACGTCTTTCTCACTACAGAGTGCTCAACCTAAAGATCACACTGCTATGGCAGGACAAATTCCCTCATTACCTTCACCTTCACCTTCACGTGAACAACAAAACCAACCGAAATCGACTCTCAACAATGATCTCGACTTAAAACAAAGGTTATCATTCCTGACCCATCGAACCAGTTCGATACCTGTTGAGAGTCCTCATACTTCGAGTTCAAGACCTGAACAACACTCTCTCAGGAATCTTTCCAATCCTCCAGACACTTCTCAACTTCTTTCGATTCCAATGGCAACTAAACTCTTCGCACCACTTGATCGACTAATCACATTAGAGGAAGACTTGACCTTCCTCACTTCTCCTGAATCTCAACGTAAAGCAACATTTGTTGCATTAGGTCTATGCACAGCAGATACAGATCCAAGTAATACAGGTAAATGAAATTCTGTTTGGGTTTTGTGGACTCATCAAAATATCAAATGATTTTCTTTCTGATCATCTGATGAGTTTTTTTTCACACAGATATAAGCATTGAAAAGATGCTTTTTAATTTACTTGTACATGGATTGAGAAATCATAAAGATGAAGACTACGTGAAAGGTTTTACGAGTGAAACGGGTGTGATTATGAGGGAAGTTTTTAACCCTATATTCAAACCTATGTTAGATGCGATCGATAAAGTTGTACTTGGGTGAGAAATTATCCAATCCGATCCAATCTATCTAAACATCCAAGTTCAATGGCTAATCTTGATTTTTTTTGTTAAACTTTTCAATGATTAGGCATATAAGTGAAGGTCAATCACAAAGTAAATAAATTTATTCCAAGATTAAGATTCAGTTTATTTCAAGTTAATCAAGGGGATCATTCTTTCATGATTTGAATATTTAGTAAATATTCACACTTAGTTTGGCAAGGCAGACAAGTGTATATAGGTTCTTATTTGGTGTTGTATTTTCTAACAAATTGTGTGTATGCAGAGAGAAAATCAACAAGGTATAAATCAGGCAATTAGTCAACATAGAGAAGTCTCTTTTTCATCAGAATCGTTATTATCTCAGTTCAGTTTTAATTCAAAGTTCTCATCCTCGTGATAGCTTGATTTTTCCAAGTCTTATATAGACTCATGGCAAACCTCGACATTTCAACTTTCACTTTGAGTATTTGTAATATATGTAAATAGATTTTGTTTATTTTCTCATTCGTGATCTTTGGACTTTGTAATCACTGTGCTCTTAGGTCTGACAATCAAGTTAAAGTCTGATAAATGATATCAAAGCGTCATGATTCCAAACATTTAAATTTCATCAACTGATCAAGATGCATCTAAAACCAAATTGCATTTGGTCTATCTAAAATTTGACAAAAAGAAAACAGAAATTAATCTTCATCTTCATCTTCATTTGTACCACCTTTCGAAGCCCAGAATGCATATAATTTCTTTCGATTAACTTCTAAACAATCTTTCTGAGCACCAGTTTGGAAGATACTTTTCAATACTTGAGATCTGATTAATTTAAGATCATTGATTGAAGATTGATTCGAAAGACATAATTGGGTTGAAAATGAATCAAAGATGATGATAGTTGAACTTGATGGAATAAATCGTTCATCAGTTGTAAGATGTGCTTCAAAGTTTTCAAATAATGGAATTAAAATGGTTTCAATGATTTTTTGAAAAATAGCAATTCCTGGTCTTGAGTTTGATAAAGCGTATAAGAATGGTGAAAGTAATGAGTTGATTGGAGCTCTTAAGCTTTCGGTTTCGATTTCGGATTCAGATTCAGATTCGTTGGATGAGGAGATTGGTTGAAGGGTTTTGTTGAGTTCTTCTAAGAATATATCACAGAAATGGTATGCTAATGACATTGGATTGGTAGGATCCGAAACACTAAAGAAACCAAACGAATTCCAAGATCAGTGAGATATTCGAACCGAAAGAATACGAAATTTGAATCGAGAATAAGATATAGGAAGAGAATACGAACTTGAGAACGGTTTCTTGTAGGATTTCGCTCCATTCTTCGATTGCTTTTTGATTCCAATGAACCCGTTGAAGTAATCTTAACCCAACTCCCAGAAACCTTCTACAAAGCAAAAGATACTTATCGATCCTATGCCGATCGATTCCATGCCATTCAGCTCTAATAGCCACCCAAAACGCTTTCCAGAACCGTAAGGCACCTTTAGTAGTTTGAATCTGATTAAAAGCTGTAGAAGATCCTAATGGGTTGGGTCTATAAACCAAACATAGATCGGATAATTCATTGGCTAATTGTTGTTGGATTAAGGGTTTGTCTGACATCCAATAACAATAAAATAATCCTTTGTATAGTTTAGACATCGATAAGTTGTCTAAACGTGCGTCATCTATTGAAGTATGTGAATTCCAATCTTCATTATCGAATTCTATGATCGAAAATAAATCGTTGGGGGTTTGGTCTGAGTTAGAGATGAAGGTACGTAAAGCAGCTACAGCTCGATCACGAGTTGATTTATCTGTTCAAAGAGAAAAAAAGCAAAAACATTCGAATTCAGTTGAAGAAATTCGAATATAGATGGTGATGATTCAAATTGAAAAACGAATGAATAATTCACATACCATTACTTGCTAAAAACTTTCCTAATGGGATCGTATCACCTTTTAAAGAAGCTTGAACCTTAGATTTGGATGAGGAGGTTTTATTCCTTTTTAAATTTTCTGAACTTTTCTTTATTGATGATTCATTTGATTTTCTTTTTAATTGGTTTTCATTCGATCTTGTATCTTTCATTTTTTTCTTCAATAGTTCTTGTAAATAGTTGGTTTGATGTTTTTATGAAAATGTCAAGCTTGGAAAGTGGTGGTTTGGTTTGAACTTTTTGCAATTCCAAATTCTAAAACTTCAACTTTCAGGTCATGTGATCTTAACCCTAACCCGGGTTGATAGTTTTGATGGGACAATCTTAAAAAATACATTTTTGAATGATACATAATTTATCAAAGCGTTTGACTCTGAGCCTCTGCATAATGTGAATATGAGATTCTCAACTCATGCATTCAGACTGAAGACCGTGGTCCTAATACTATGGAGATGATTTTAGAGTATTGGAAGCTAAACATCTTTGCCAGTCAAAACTGATGTGGAATTCTATCATGAAGACATCAAGTGTTTAATCTTCTCACATTTCTTGTCTTCAATTTGCGATGGTCCATGCTTTGCTTCACTTCTTGCTTCATCAATGACACAAGGCATACTTTACAATACAAAAGAAAAATCAGACACAAGAAAAATTGCTGACAATCAATGAAACATATGATAAAGTTTCATCTTCTTTAATTCATATTACACTTGTTCTTCTTCTTTTGCTCATTCAATTGATTTTGTTTGATGGAATACATCCACGGACCGTTGGTAACTTTGAAGTAAATAAATGATGTAATCAATAAGTTGGTCAATTTTTGATACTTTTATGTTCCTTATTAACTTGATCATAAAAGTCGAATCATCAATGGAAAAACTCACATTAACCATTCCACTACAACAGTAAACAAAGTTTCTTGGAGCATTACATTTAAAATACACTTTGGATTCGTCATTACCGCCGAAACCCGATGACACAGCTGAAAAGAATATCAAAAACAACAATAAATGGAGATATTGATAAGGGAATATGGTATTAAAAAGGGTGTTTATCAAAACACTTACCCTGTTCGAGAACTCCAGATTTAGTGCTACTTTCATTCGAGCAGAAGCCATACCATTGCGGATCTTGAGGATTAAAGATCCTTACACAGGCAAACCTTTGAGAAAGCACTTCGATGGCCGAGAAAAAGAAAGAAAATATGACAAGAAAAATAGATGATCTCATTATACGAGTGGACAAAGGTAAAAACAGTAAGATGATGATGATGAAGTGCAGGGATGAGGTATTCTTTCAGAGTTTGAACGGGCAAAAGTGTTTGAAATATGGAAAAGGTTTAGGTCGCGTAACAATTTTGAAAACTAGTCTTGATTTTTTAGTTGTGTAGCTGAAGTAGAGAGGTAGTAGATGACTTGATGAGGAAAGGAATAAGAATGTGCGATCAAAGTTCGGCTCTTATAGGTTGCTCTGTGGCGGTAAAGCCGGCAGAGGGGAGAAGTGATGCCCCAAAATTGCTCACCGCTTTGGTCAGTCGCCGAGTCTGACTCCGAACCAGTGTGATTCTATAAAATGACTCTGAGATATTGCTCTCTGCGGATCACATTCTTTTCACCTTGTTTGTTATAACCTCTCACGCTGAAGAAGGGGCGTGCGAGCGACTTGGCACACATTCCCTGCCAGTTTGCTGGAGTCTTGCGAGCAAAGTTGGTGAAGCTATATTAGGGCGGTTCAAGAAGAGAACCGCGAGCCACGTGGTCGCCGAGTCGCGATCAGTCTTTTTAAGGTTGCTCAATCCTTAAAAAGCTTGATTGCAAAGCAGCGAATGCTGTAAACTTACGTTTTACAGCTTTGTAAATTCAGGAACACAGTCCCAACCGTTCTTTTTTTGGCTTTGTTTTCTTTTTTGTTTTCTTGTGTTTTTGTACAGAATTTTTGTTAATGAAAGAGGAAGCCATCGAGAAAAAAAAATACGAGAAAACGAGGTCCTTTCTTGACCAAAAGTCGTCAGAATCCAGGAACAAAAAAAAGAAAGAATGGAAGTAATTCTTTTTTTCGGGTCAATTGTCCCTGTCTTTTGGAAATTCAGGGACAGAATTTAAAATTTAAGGCCGATTACGAGATTGCCAAACCGTGAACCACCTCTAAAGGTGGTTCACGACCTTAAAATTTTACTTAAAATTTACAGACCCCGAACAAGATGTAAAATATAAAAAAGGGCTGTAAAAGCCCTTCAAATTGACTGTAAAGCGTTTTTTTTAATAGATGCATAGCCTCTAAATAAACCTCCTCGTGCGTTACCGTCAGTGGCGGTACATCAGTAAAGAGTCACAAGGACAAAAAAGCAACGCGCCAAAATTGCAAACCGCTTCGGCCGCTCGGCTTGCAGAATGGTGACATGTGATGTGCAGTCGTTCTCAGAAATGTTGGAAAAATCCAACATCTCGAGCTGAGGTCGTGGTCCCGAGGAGGTGACTTTTTCATGACATGTGTCACGGAAAAGTCATGGCAGCTGTCGAGTGGAGATCAGTGTCCCTTTCACCAACCTCAACTCCCTTGTGTCCTCTCCATGCCATCCTTCCTCTGATCCTCAGCTCGTGTTACAATCCCTTAACCATGAAATCATACGTTTTCACCATTTTTCTGAAGAGATTGGTCCGTTAGCCTGGCCATTGGCAAGATAGGTTGAATTTTCACTGGTCTCAACTACTTTACTCAACTTTCCAAGACATCTCATTGAACATGTGATTTTCTCAACTCATGGAATTCGAGTGTTGTGGATAGCTTATTTCATTTCTAGAATCATGTTCTCTTCAGTCACCAACCTACCAGGCTCAAATGGGAGAGCTTCTTTCAAGCAATTTAACATCTTTGTTTTTTTTTGCTCTCCTCGATCCTTACAACACTTGATTAATGAGGCAAGGATGGTTTGACCAAAAATTTGATTTGAAAGTTTTGCATGATGACATCATCGAATGATCCAGATCGTCATGTGATCAATGATTGACGCTTTGACTGGTTTTGTAAACCAAAGCGTCTCGATTGCTTTACTTTGATTTCATCTTCTTCCGCCTTTTCCATCTTGTTCCTTTTTCATTTCCTTCCTCCATTCTCTCCATCTCATTTCCCTCTTTTTGCTTCAAACATCATTCTCCAACTTTTGAGATATCTAGGCCGTGCAGCCGCAGCGATTGCGCTGTAGTAAAACACTCAAACCTGTTCTTCTTGTAGGTATATTCTGCTCTTGGCCATCTGAGCCAATATCTACATAAACGGTTCTAGGTTCAATAACCTCAAATTGGCACTTAGAGTATCACGTAAATGTAAGTACCACGATCTTCCTATTTTCCATTCCACACTTCAACCAATCAAACCTGTACAATAGTCTCCCGACTTGAAAAACCTTTGATTTACTAGCTGCTTTAAAGCTATGAAGACGAGCTTGAATCCTGTTGTTTCAACTCTAGCGATTGGTAGACCTTATTCAATGTATCTCTTCAATAGACTTGTTCAAATATAAAAAAGAAATTTGAAGTCCATAATTTGAAGCAAACAATTTGGAACTATGTTATTGCTACAGTCTGTACATGAAGGGTATGAGATGTACGAAGCGAGCCAATTTCTATTCGACTTGAAATTTTTGGGGGGTCTCTCAAAGTTGGATTTGAAGTTTGGGATTTGAACCTTTTTAAACCGTATCTTTCCTATCCAAGCATGTCACAGTATATCTACCACCTCCCTCGCGCTACTCTCATGCTGTATTAGGCTGTATTAATGTGGGACAGGCTGAAATGAGCGATGTCACTAGCAAGAGAGTCCAAATCTTTTAACTCCAAAACTTCAAATCCAACTTTGAGAGACCCCCTAAAAATTTCAAGTCAAATAGAAATTGGCTCGCTTGCTGTCGCTTCTTAATCTCATACACCCGTCTCTACGGGCTGTATGTAATAACATACTTCCAAATTCTTTGCTTCAAATCTTGGACTTCAAATTTCTTTTTTATATTTGAACAAGTCTAATAGGTGCTTTCAAACTAGGAAAAAGTCAAAATGTTCACCAGAAAAATTGTCAACTGCGTAATTACAATACATGTGATACAAGACTGTAGTGCAATCATAGTTTTTCATTACATGCTTTTTTGCTCCTTCAAAATTGTGAAGCCCTACGAGGGAGGAGGAGAGAGGCCCTGGGAGGGCCCCTCCAAATACAAAGTTGAACTTTGTGATTGCACTACAGCGATGTATCAGATGTATTGTAATTACACAGTTGCGAAATAATTACACAGTTCACATTTTTTATTGTGAACATTTCGACTTTTTCCTAGTTTGAAAGCACCTAATGATATGCTCATCTGGTTTATAATCTTCTTCTTTCCTACATATCTCTAGTTCCCCATCATACTTATCCTTTGTTTTTGTTTGTTTGGGATAGGCCTACTACATTGAATTCATCTTTTTGGACAAAACCTCATTGGCTGAGGTCAATCAAAGAGCCGATAGGTTTTGAATGACAGGGATCGTAATGAATTTTGTTCCTTCAATTTTACAACTATATCAACACAAGAAAAGAGGATCATAAGAAATACCATATCAAATCGTATCTCCAATTCAATCTTTTTCCCTTTCCTCTTGCTTTCCTTCTCACCTCTCTACAAACATGTTATACTGATTCATTCTGTTTCATTGAATTGATAGGCCGGTCTCTCTGGTTTCTCATGGCAATTAATTCAAGGTAGTTGCGATGTCTTACCTCCTACCTCTGCAGTCGGCTGAAGTTTGTAGCCAAAGTCATGGTCATTGTCAAGTTTGGGTCTGATTGATTTATTAGGGTTTCATGTTATCATTTTATCAGTTTCATTATTGTTTTAGTTGTTTTTGAATATGCATTCCAAGCAGTTTTAAATCATGCTTTTTGTGGAGTGTCATATCAGTAAAATGAATTTGAAAGAAGCATCTTCATGGTCTCAATCAGTCATCCCAGTTTGAGAAAACAGCTTGTAGATCCCTCTAGAACAGCCTGTAAGGTATCATAGGTTGTGATATATAAAATTGATCCAAAGCTGCACCAGTGCTCGGCAGCCTAGATGCCCAGGAGACAGCGGTAGAGAATCATCTGCGAACCAGCGCTGCATGTGCCCTCACGACAAACCTTG